CCTCTTGTATCTAGATTTACTTCGCATGAGGAAGGCTGCCACTGGCTTTGCTACCTGAGCGCAGAGAACCAGTGCCGGCAACTTGCGGCATAGCAACAATACCAATTTTTGAGCCAGATTATCAAATCCACGCTGCCGATACGACTGTACCTAATAATGAATTGTGAGGAAGTGGAAGTTGGCATCTACTGCTTATGCAAAGTTTATTAATATACAAGTACCGTGACAAAGGCTGGTTGAATTCCTTTGCATTGTCAGTATTGAAGCCTCCTTCAAGCGGCCACTCTTGGGAATCATCCTGGAGTTTCGGCCATGAGAGGTCGACCCTATTATCGTCGGGCACCGGTAGCTGGAAGATTATGCTGCGTTATCGTACAAAAGGATTACAGAGTGCAGACTTTGGACGAGCGAAGGAAGTGAGTGCCCTGGTGGGCCGTTGGCCATCTTGGTATCAGGTATCATGAACTTAACATTTGGGTAGCATAAACTTCGTCTTCGTCGACGCTCCTGCTTGGGAGTCTGGGTGTGCTGAAATGCAGCATCGTAGGCCTGTATCGATTGTCCAAAGAGAAATCTTCCTCCGTCAATCTGCTGTCAGCTGCTGATCGCAGTCTTGACGAACGGGATGACGGAATGCTTTCCCATCGCGACGAGGAGGAATCTAGTCCATGCGTGTATGTCCTTGCGATGCTTATTCTTACTGGAGCAGCGTTATCTCGGAGCACAATGGGACTGGTCAGGGATGGTCTTGACTCCAGCAGCTCTGAAACGAAAGCATCAAGTGCACAGATCATCGTATACTTTGAAGAGTGGGATGTGATCAGCAAATTGTGTATTAGCAGCAATACCAGCTTTGAAATTGCAAAATGGACTTGGCAATGGAATTACATGTAACCATGCATGCCTTGTAGCCAGGACCACTCGGAGTCTTGGAGATGAAGACTGACGAAGAGCTGATGAAGCCGGAGGTCGCTAATTTTGGTGTGTTTTTGTGTTTTTATTGTACTTTTTACAGTTGGGCTTACCGTTTACTTGTATTAATTTTAATAGTACCTTGTACCAGCACCACCTTGCAGCTTCAACTTCTACCTTGAAGTGAGAAGGGAAGAAGAACGTAAAAAGGGATTTCATAGCCATTTCAGGGGCTCCACTGCATTCCTGTTAGCTCTTGTCAGAACTTGTGCTGCCCCCCAAGAAAGAAAGCAGTTGCGAGCGAAAACAGCAACCAAACCCAAAACCCAAAACCAACTCCGCTACCGGTACCATACTGAGAACTACTAATACTAAAGCAGTAACAAAAAGGCGTCCGAAGGGAAATAATGCTGTGCAGGAGCCATTGAGGATGGACGAGTTACTGAGTATGGATCACGGATGCTAAGCGTCTTGAAGGAGCTATTGAATGGAACGCCAGCTCATACTGAACGCCAACTAACTCAGACTCGGTCGATAGAAATGGGAGGAATGCTTCTTTCCGCTTCAGTTATTGTCGGCCGCCCATCTGGATTGGCCCAAAACACACAGATCCAGCTCAGATTCACAGAAGCCGAAGAAGAAAACGAAGCAACCTCACAGTAGCTAGTAGCTAGAAGGGCGACCGCATGAATCCGGTAATGATATGCCTTTAGTGCGTGCCTATGTGCCTATGATGGCTCCCAGGCCAGAAGAGGTTCACTTGAAGCTATATCAGCTCTTGCTTGCCATTTTTGGGGGTTCGCGGTGCAGCCATGATTAAATTTGCACCGACACCGCACTGTATCTCTGCGACAGCCCCAAGCCAGACCGAAACGAATGAATGATTCAATCCAGTGGTACCGGTGCCCTTGACCTTCAAGTTGAACCACTCGGAACTGCCCAGAAACCATAATGTGAAAGCCACCGAAGGCGCAGGGTGCATTTCCTTGCCAAGGGCGGATTAGTAGTACCGGTACGAGCGAGCAAGCTGAAATATAGCAATGTAGTTCCCAAAGATTCGATTCAACACAGATTGGTCGAACATTACGGTGCCGCATGTGCATGTACCGATAGCACAGTACTCGTACTCAGTATCTGGGAAAACTGTCCTCCCTCAAGGTACCGGAGGGAAATACAGAAAGGTCTCTAGCGCCTTGAACCCAGGTTTGTGTCTATGCGGAAGGTCTTCCATAACGGTTGGACTGACCCGACGGTGGCGGTGACCCGGCACCGAAACTTGCAGAGCAACGCGCGGCTCACGTTCATCGCTGGAGACAAGACTCTAGCTGGCGCGAAGGGTGAGGTATTGGCGGATCTGACCGACTCCACATTCATCCAAAGTCTTTTGTCTGATTCTCAATAGCTCACTAAGAAGTAGCTATGGTAAATTGGGCTGGCGAGCGACTCTCCAGCTATAGTTTAGATCGTGCAGGGCGGGGTTTTGGTTAAGCGTTTTAAAGTTTCTTTTGGTAGTTTCAAAAGTCTGTGATCAGAGAGGGCAGCCCTTTTCCTTCTGCTTCAAGTGGGCTTCCGGGCTGCTGCTGCTTGCACAATCGAGCCCATCGCCTACTGATTCTGGTGGTCTTGTCAGATGGCCTAGGTCTATAAGAAGATAATTGCCGCCGTGGAACGCTTTTGAAGGCATTCAGTCAATGCCGATGACATCATAGACTTGGACAGCAGTCACCACTAGCTTGCTTGTTCAAGTTCTGAAGTTGCTTCCTTTGGTGCCATGTGAAGTCATGTCGTTCTCTCAACGTCCCCATCGTCAACGCTCCTCACTGGGAGCCTTGGTGCACTGACACCACCTCGTGGAAGCTTTGAATGTTGGCCCACCCCATCCTTTGAAGGCATACTTTCCCATCTTGAAGAGGGGTAAGGGTGCAAAGAACGTGGGTAGCGCTTGGTAACGCGAGCCACCCGCCTGGAATGATTCTTTTTGACGTTCCTGCTGCGGCCAGCAGCATGGTCTTCCACAACGATTGCACTTTGCAATTGCGGAGTTGACTCTACCAGTTGGGAAACGAAGGCATCCAGTACACTGCACATTTTTTAGAGACGCGACAATGCAAATTGTGAGCTGCTGCAAAAAGATAAGACTTCTGAGCTTTTACTGGGTCCTCCGAAAGAGCTTCCGGAAGAGCCAAGCATAAAGCTGTCTCTTGGCGGGATTGGATTTTTAAGTGCGCAATTGAATTCAAGTTGAAGCTATCTCAATGGTGTTAAATCCCAATACTAGCTAGCTGAGAACAGGTAACAAGAGATGAAAGGGTACTTCTCTGAAATTGAACAGCAGCTATTGAAAACAGAACTTGGCCAGCTTATTATCGACCAAGATGGAGTTGGAGTTTGCGTGGCAGGGAGATGGCGCTCGTCCGATATCTCAAAGCAACAAAGGGTGTTGTAAAGCTGAAAGCTGAGGAGGAAGCAAACGAACCTCCAGATCCATCCTCTTGTGCCCCCCCTCAGCAATTAAATTCAAAAGGCGCGACCATCTCAGTTTCCATCCGTATCGGCGGCGGCGGGATTGGCTTTTTGTGTCACAAACTGAGCATTGCAGTGCAGCCAAAAGCAAGTTTCTGCCCTGAATTGCGAAAAATCACTCAGGACCGTTCGACGGTTTTCATTCAGGCTTTAAAAACGGACACGACTGACTCAGAAGTGTAAGGGATTGTTTAAGGGATTGTTTGTTAAGGGATTGTTTAAGGGATTGTTGCAGATTTAAGGGATTGTTGGTTAAGGGATTGTTTGATAAGGGATTGTTTTAGGGATAGTTGAAGCAATAAGGGATAGTTGTATGGTGTTTCCATTTGGCGTTAAGGGATTGTTTAAGGGATAGTCCAATATTTAAGGGATTGATGTTAAGGGATTGTTTTTTAAGGGATTGTTTAAGGGATTGTTGATGAGTTAAGGGATTGTTTAAGGGATTGTTTAAAAACGGTTATCAGTCGTGGCAATTTCAAGTTTTTTAAATCCTGATTGAAAACCGTCGGACGGTCCAGTGTTCTTGTGCTTCGCTCATCTTTCTTTTGGGGTGGAGGGTCTTGCCTACTAAGAGCTATCAAGATCTGTTGGATTTTCCAAAGCAAGCAAGTGCAAGCACAACGCAAGCATTATTTTTTCATAAAACAAGGAGAATTGGGTACTAGATCGCTCAATCCATTCGCCAAGCAAATTGGCCGTCCAACGTCCAACCTTTCAACGTTTGGTTCTATACTAGGCTTGAAGGTTCTGATCACGTGTCCTGCCAATCTCCACGAGTTAGGAATGGAGTAGAGTGTAGTGCAAACAGTCAGCGAGCACCAGTGGTTCTAGACAAGGTAACGATCCCTGGGGGCAAACGACAACATGAAGAAGACCACCATACATGATACTTACCATAGTAGTGAGCGAACGTTCTGCAGCCAATTCTCCAAGACTGGACGGTTCTTTAGAACGAAAGAACAGATTGGTGGCTGAAGGTGTGGCGCAGAAGGCGACTGTCGAGATAGATGAAGTGTCCTACCTGGAGTCGACCACTGAAAAAACGCAGCAAAGTGACTTCAAGTTTTGACTGCTGCCAACAAAAAATCCGCAATTGCAAAGTTGCCAGCCATTGGCCCAAGGAGGGTCTAGCCAACTAAGTAATCGCCGTGTGCATCCTTACTGGTACAGGGCCCGTACAAGCAAGTTGGACAAGGGAAGTTCAGTTCACCACCAATCCTGAGCCTCACAAAGGGACTTCCTCATTGGCAATGAAACTGATTTGGTGGGCCGTGTCCGGTTTGAGACTCATTCGATTCGATTCATTCTTAACCCTAATATAATGTTGTAGCGTTAAGGCTAACAGAAGCGTTAAGGCTAACACAGAAGATCCTTGTGCTTCGGCAACTTTCCTTCGACGATGGCCTCCATCTTCACAAACCCTCAATCGAAGTGTCGGCATCCACAATAGCGCAGCGCTCTTGCGGTCTTCTCTTTACAGCTATCAATCTACTACTAGCTAGCAACCCAATTCGCTAGTCTAGTCTCTCGTTCTGTAGTCAAGTACAACCAAACCATTTGCAACCATGGGTAATATGCCACCAGGAATGGGCGAGGGCGGCTCCGGTGAGGGCGGTCAAAATCCTCCCGGCAAGGATGGCGAAGGCGGCGAAAAGAAGAAGAAGAAGAAGCGCTTTGAGCCCCGCCCTGCCAGTAGCAACCGTCAAGGCCGCCGCCGTCGTCGCAAGGGTCCCTCTGGTCTGAACAAAATCCCGACGGTGGTCCCGAATTCCAAGTGTAAATTACGCTTGCTGAAATTGGATCGCGTCAAGGATTTCTTGTTGCTCGAAGCCGAATTCATTCGCAACCACGAAGTCTTCAAGCCCCACGAGGAGCGTGATCAAGAAGAGCGTGAAAAGCTCGAAGAGTTGCGTGGCAGCCCCTTGGCTGTTGGGTCGTTGGAGGAATTGATTGATGACAATCACGCCATTGTCAGCAGCAGTATGGGCCCGGAGTACTACGTCAATATCCTCAGTAGTGTCAATCAGGATTTGTTGGATCCTGGATCTTCCGTGCTGCTGCATAACAAAACCATGAGTGTCGTGGGAATCCTCACCGATGACACGGACCCCATGGTGTCGGTCATGAAGGTCGAAAAGGCGCCGTTGGAAACCTACGCCGATATTGGTGGATTGGAAGATCAAATCCAGGAAATCAAAGAAGCAGTCGAATTGCCGTTGGCGCATCCCGAACTATACGAAGACATTGGGATCAAACCACCCAAGGGTGTCATTCTGTATGGGGAGCCAGGAACTGGAAAGACTCTCTTGGCAAAGGCTGTTGCCAATCAGACATCGGCCACCTTTTTGCGTGTGGTGGGTAGTGAACTCATTCAAAAGTACCTGGGAGATGGTCCCAAATTAGTCCGAGAACTCTTTCGTGTGGCGGATGACCTGTCTCCAACAATTGTCTTTATTGATGAAATTGACGCGGTCGGTAGCAAGCGTTACGAGTCTTCCAGTGGTGGAACTCGCGAGATTCAGCGTACGATGCTCGAGTTGTTGAATCAGCTCGATGGGTTTGATGAACGTGGTGATGTCAAGGTCATCATGGCCACCAACCGAATTGAATCGCTCGATCCTGCCCTAATTCGTCCGGGACGTATCGATCGAAAGATTGAGTTTCCACTCCCAGATACCAAGACCAAGCGACACATTTTCAACATTCACACCAACCGAATGACCCTGGCGGACGATGTCGATCTCGAAAAGTTTGTCATGGCCAAGGATGAACTCAGTGGAGCTGATATCAAGGCCGTCTGTACCGAAGCGGGAATGTTGGCGCTCCGAGAACGCCGCATGAAGGTCTGTCAGGAAGATTTCGTAAAGGCCAAGGAGAAGGCGTTGTACCGAAAGAAGGGAAACATTCCTGAGGTGAGTCTTTGTGAAAATTTGTGTTCTTCTGAGTTGGATTTCATTCATGTCTCTCATTTGTCTCTTTTCGTTGTCTTCCATAGGGTCTGTACTTGTAGGCGTTAGGGCAAATCCCCGGCCAACTAGTAGGATTCATCGTACTATTTCTTGCTACTAGCATTTCGTCCCTCTATATCAATAGCGCCAGCATGTGACCAGTAGACTTAGACTTCATGATGATGTGGGCTTGGTGCACATGGATGGTTCCAATAGCATTCTAGCTAGGAGCTTCGTATCCAATATGCAGGGCTTTTTACAAGAGGCCACCACCTCAAGATCTTAGCGTGCCCTACTCCCGGAGACGTAGCAAACTTGGTCAGAGTTTCCACTGTCACCTTCATGGCAATTCATTTGTCCTTTGTAATGTCAAGCAATTTTGCATGTGTCTAGCTAGCTAGCCACTAGTAGAGTTGCTGTTGGTCTCTCTGTGGTGCTTGCTTGGGTTGTTCTCGCGATCAAATCGAATTCAATCGAACATTCGGATCGGCGCAACAGATCGTTCAAATCGAATGCATTCGATCAAACCCAAATGACAAACGGCTCTCTCGTTTTGCAGAAAAGAAGAAACAAAAGACAACGACACCGTCATACGTAGACAACGCCACCGTCGTAGACATTTGAAGTCCGAAAGGGTCCACACAAACGCAAAAGATGGGATGGTCGATCGAGATGCAAAAGTGTATTCAAGCGAACGATGGTGCTGAAAGACTCCGGCGTTTGCTCTCCGAGATGCGACGCAAGCTTTCGAAAGAGGAATTCGTCAGGGAGATCAACATGAGGAATCTCAAACTTGGCTGGACTCCCCTCAACGTTGCTTGCGCATGTGGTGATGTTGACTGTGTGCGATTGCTTCTAGAGGAGGGAGCGGATCCCCATTTGCCTATAGCAAACAAGTACGCCGGGGAGTCACCAATGAGAGCTTGCGTACTGGCTGCTGGAATTGTCGAGGATCCATCGGTGGAAACCTACGTGGACTGCATGAGCGCCCTCATGAAGTCAACCCAGTTTGCTTCGAAGAGGTTTATGGAACAGGATCATGATCTCGTGCGTTGTATCGTTAGCAATGGAGTCGACAACAAAAAGGATCGCCTCAAGCCAATGCTGGATTTGTTACTTTTAAGCGGATTTCCGATCCAAGTCAACGGTGTTCCGGACTTGTTTTTGGCGCTTGAGAATGGACACTTCAAGTGTGCCTTGTCATTGATAGGAGCTGGCGCAAGCATCTTCGCATCCGCTCCAGGCAAGCCAACAGCTCCTAAACAGCGCTTGAAGTATAAGACTTGCTTGGAAGAAAGCTTGAGAAAATTCGGAGAAAACAAGACGTCTATATTGCAGAAAGAGTATCTTTCTACTCGGTGTTTCATCGGTCCAACCCGACTACAGCGTTGGTTGCAAGGAGGAAAGGCGGACAGGCTGCGCTTGGCAAAGCGACACATCAAGGCATCGAAACAGTTGTTAGCCGTCGGTGCCTTCTCTGAGGCATGTTCGGCGTTGTGGAATGCCTACAGCTTTGGCCGAGAGATCCTAACTCGAAAAGAAATCTTTTTGGTTTTATACGACTTGGTTGGGCTTGCTGGTACGAAGCACGCAGGACATCGCGCTCACACCTTTATCATGAAGGAGTTCCCAAATGATCCGATGGCACAGCTGCAACACGCCAGCTACCTGCTCCACCCCAATAATCCTCAGCTGGATGACACGAGCATGAAAAGGGTCAATGTGCTCATCCGTGTTGTCGAATATCAGCTCGAGAAAGGAACGACGCAGTGTGTTGTGGATACGTTTGCTCCGGGTGACATTCGAAAGCGCTTGGACCACTTGAAGAAGAAGCTTGAGAACTACGAGAAGCGGGTGCAGTCCCCCATCAGCTCGCCCATCTATCGAGCAGAGCGAGAAGCAAATGCGGCACTGTTCGAAGCAAACATTGGCAAGGTTGCGACTGTCGTCGAACGGATCCAGCAAGGTGGCCACAAGCTCAGTCCATATCTAAGGTTCTCGCGGGGAATTGTCTTGAGGCAGAGGGCGCATGATGTTGTCGTGGGCGTATCGGAGGACCTGTCAACGGTTCTCAAAGACCCGAGCAGCCCGTTGGCCGCGAGCTCGTCGATGGAAGCCACCAAACTGTTGGAAATGGCGTTGCAAGAGTTCGAATTCCTCGAAAGGTTGGGTAGTCAAGGGGTTGCCGCGGAAGCCAACTCGTGGCATCTTTTCCTGACTTCCGTCAGCCTTGGCCGATCTGACAACCTTCGACTACTTGCAGATCGAAGCATGAAAGCACGGCTACAGAAGCGTCGCGATGGCCTTGATCTCAGCTGTCTGGACCGAGACGGGGTATTCTATGAGCCTCATTTGATGGGCGAGCACATGTCTCTAGAGCTATCCCGCGCCTTTCGAGCCAGAAGGATTGAAATCGTTCGCTCTGCAGTTGTGAAGATGCAGTCCAGTGAAGGTCATGATCGGCAGCTGGGTAGTATTTTGCGCTTCATGATAGCTTCTGCCTTGAAGGAAGGAGTCGAAGCTCGCATTGCTTGTGAGAGTCTCGGCCGTGTCGCGGTCTCTCCCCCTTTGAAGATGACGCTGGACCGTATCAAAGAAACTGGAGTTGAAGAGAAGATGCAGCGTTCCCAATTCGCTTCAATGCTCCTGGGATATGTTGATGAAGTCCAAAGTTCCCGTCTTTGCTCGAGCCGCATCTTGGGCAGACTCGTTCATGAAGCTATTTCCTGGGATCCTGAGGTCGAGCTACCGGAACATCTCCGTAAAGCATACAAGAAGTTTGCCCCTCCAGTTCGCTGCTTTGAATGTGGAGCTTCCAAACCACCAAAGAGCTGCCCATGCAAAGCAGTTCACTTTTGCGACGAAGAGTGTCAGGCAAAAGGTTGGGAACGCCACAAACCTACCTGTGCGACTGTCACTCGTGCCAACAAGACGATTGCTAAGGCCAAAGAGGGGCGTCGAAGCTGTGGCCACGGGGAAACGAAACCTCCGGCCGCCCGAATCCAAGTGCCCCGTGTCAAAAAATGGCAGTACAGCCACAAGGCGGATGGTCTATTACCGACCATTCAAACACCAAATTGAGCTGCTAGGGACTTGCTTTGGCAAGGAAACAAAAGGGGAAGCGTAGGTGACAATCGATGGTCTAACCAGCCTGTGACGCGATTGCTCACCAACCAATGGACCAAACCGACCAAACCCTACCGCTATCAGATAACACACGTAGAATAACTGTTGAAAAGGTGTGAACTTGAACGCACAATTTCTCTAATTTAATCAATATCCTTCCAGCTCTACTGTCTAGTAGACTGGCTATTCGTTTCGTTTTCTCTTTCTCTCTCGTTCAGATTGTGAGCTCTACAACTGAGCTCCGATATGCATACATATACCAGGATCTTTCGATCCTCTGTTTCTCGCAGTTTCATCTGCAGATAGATCTCGTCGATCTATCTTCCTGAAGTGCATGGTTGGCCCTGGAGGGCTTTCCCACTTTACTAAACCTATGGACCTTCATCCGTCCATTCATTTGCTCCGTCCCATCGCTCCTTGCATTCATCTCTTCGACCTAACTTCCTAACCTTTGTAGTTGCATCATCTAGACGACCATTGTCCCCGTTCCTCGTACACCTGACCATCTGATGATGATCGGATAACCATCTGATTTGAGTCACACATCCCCAATCACGAACCGTGACTGTGGATCCCGAGTCGTCTGTCCGTCATACGAAAATACCTTTCTAACAAATAACAACACAATGTTTTAGACAATGGCAACACAAGGATTGGGATGCTCATTGTTTTCGTGCGTTCCTGGTGACCGGGTTGACGGAGTTGGTGATAGGTGCTGCTCTTCATGTTCCCAGGCAGGAAAACACGCTGGTTTCAACTCTCTCCTGTGCGCTTCACCTAAAAAATGACACTTTCACTCGCCTTCCCTTGGCATTGTTTTACGTATCGTACCAGTTTAACAAAAGGCCGCAGAACCCATGGATTTCTTTCTTGCAACTGTCTGCACAACAAGTTCGCCTCTATGTTCTCGCAGAGGCTTGAAGGTCTGGGTTAACAATTCTCGTGTGAGAATTGGAAAGGTCCCCGATGTTTAGGACCGAGATTGTGAGCATTGCCTTGGATCGTATACTCGACCCCCCTTCTATTAATTAATAGTACAGTCGTACCGCTACGGCACGAAGACGGAGGACCGATTAGTCATGTCTACTATAGAAAATACAGTACTATACTACCTCTGTACCGTGCAAGTACAAAACCTACAGCCGTGTAGAAAGCCTACGTGCAAAGTACATACATAGTGCACGTAGGCTTTCTACAGCCGTGTAGAAAGCCTACGTGCAAAAGGTATGTAGGTTGCACGTAGGCTTCTACAGCCATGTAGGAAGCCTACGTGCATTACGTAAGTAGCTTTCTACAGGTTTGCACGTAGAGGTGCGCACATGACGTCAGTCGCGCGCATCGCGCGATCGCGCGCACCGCGCGAACGAATGACGTCAGTGCGAGATAAAATCGAATCACGGCACACCTATTGTTAAGATAACAGCTTTTGCTTGCCACCTTGCTTTTAAGATATTACGAAAGGGTACATACCATACATGCATGTACATACATAATCCCCTCTGGAGTGTAACCCTCCTCCTTCTCCCCTCTGGAGCCCCTTCAACTAATCACTTTTACGGGTACCACAACTCAAAACATGTGCAACTAGATGCTCTTGCCCAGACTAGCTTAACCCTCCTCCTTCTCCCTCTGAGCCCCTTCAACTAATCACTTTTACGGGTACCACAACTCAAAACATGGCAACTAGATGCTCTTGCCCAGACTAGCTAACCCCCTCCTTCTCCCCTCTGGAGCCCCTTCAACTAATCACTTTTACGGGTACCACAACTCAAAACATGTGCAACTGATGCTCTTGCCCAACTAGCTTAACCCTCCTCCTTCTCCCCTCTGGAGCCCCTTCAACTAATCACTTTTACGGGTACCACAACTCAAACATGTGCAACTAGATGCTTTTTCCCAGACTAGCTTAACCCTCCTCCTTCTCCCCTCTGGAGCCCTTCAACTAATCACTTTTACGGGTACCACAACTCAAAAACTTGTGCAACTAGATGCTCTTGCCCAGACTAGCTTAACCCTCCTCCTTCTCCCCTCTGGAGCCCCTCAACTAATCACTTTTACGGGTACCACAACTCAAAACATGTGCAACTAGATGCCTTGCCAGACTAGCTTAACCCTCCTCCTTCTCCCCTCTGGAGCCCCTTCAACTAATCACTTTTACGGGTACCACAACTCAAAACATGTGCAACTAGATGCTCTGTCCCAGACTAGCTTAACCCTCCTCTTTCTCCCCTCTGGAGCCCCTTCAACTAATCACTTTTACGGGTACCACAACTCAAAAACATGTGCAACTAGATGCTCTGTCCCAGACTAGCTTAACCCTCCTCCTTCTCCCTCTGGAGCCCCTTCAATAATCACTTTTACGGGTAACACTCAAAACATGTGAACTAGATGCTCTTGCCCAGACTAGCTTAACCCTCCTCCTTCTCCCCTCTGGAGCCCCTTCAACTAATCACTTTTACGGGTACCCAACTCAAAACATGTGCAACTAGATGCCTTGCCCAGACTAGCTTAACCCTCCTCCTTCTCCCCTCTGGAGCCCCTTCAACTAATCACTTTTACGGGTACCACAACTCAAAACATGTGCAACTAAGATGCCTTTGCCAGACAGCTTAACCCTCTCCTTCTCCCCTCTGGAGCCCCTTCAACTAATCACTTTTACGGGTACCACAACTCAAAACATGTGCAACTAGATGCTCTTGCCCAGACTAGCTTAACCTCCTCCTTCTCCCCCTGGAGCCCCTTCACTAATCACTTTTACGGGTACCACAACTCAAAACATGTGCAACTAGTTGCCTTTGCCAGACTAGTTAACCCTCCTCCTTCTCCCTCTGGAGCCCCTTCAACTAATCACTTTTACGGGTACCACAACTCAAAGAACATGTGCAACTAGATGCTCTTGCCCAGACTAGCTTAACCCTCCTCCTTCTCCCTTGGAGCCCTTCAACTAATGAAGCACTCCTTCTCCCCTCTGGAGCCCCTTCAACTAATCACTTTTACGGGTACCCCGGCACGTAGGAACCGGAACCGTTATGCCCCCCTTTAGACTTTTATTTAAAATAATAGCAATATTATTGTTGTTTTTCTCTGCAGCCATCCAAAGCGAAACGTTGATACCGGTACTACCAGAGCCTCACAAAGATACCAGTACGAGCTAGAACCCTGTTGTGTCCTCAACCCGTAGCTGCGTTCCACAGCCATTGGCCATTACCATTGCTATTGTCCTTCCTTCGTTTAATCAACTCCGCATCAGTCAGCCACCATGAGTATGAGTTCCAGTATTCCGTTTGCCAGTTTCAATCAAACATCGGAGCTGACTTCGGTTCCGCATGATCCCATGCTGTCGTTGGCATCCAATTGTATCCGAGATTATTTTGGTCCTACCGTGCAATTGGTTGCTGATGGGCTTGTCTTTCGTGGAGAACCATTGACACTTCAGCAGTTGGTTCAGTGCTTGAGGACGAAATGCCGGCAGAAAGTGTACAGCCAAGAACGGATCCGTTTGCTGGGCCCAAAGGTGGCATCACGCCTTCAAAATCAATCCTTGCAATTGCCTCCCATCAAGGCAGCTCTGTTGGTTTTGATCCAGCACTCCATTGTGACTGTCACTGTCAAAAAGGTCAAGGGAAAATTGCAGTACCAATACACTTATGACCGAACCAGAGCTCGCCTCTTACCCAGGTATCCTCGCTATGTAGAGTATGCCAAGAGGGCCCTGGATGATAATGCCGTTGCCTTGGTGGAAGAATTGCTCGTGCAAGGACGGCTCAGGACTGTGGATGCAGTCTCCAAGACTGTCGAGAGACTCGAGCAAGCAGCTGCTGCGAATGAGGAAGCTGCGAATGAGGGAGAGGACGATGACGAGAACAAGCCGGATGATAGCAAAAAGAAAGAAGACAATACTGCCTTGAAACAGACGGTTCTAGAGAGTTTCAAAAAATTGGCACAAGCTGGCTTTCTGGAAGAAGTACCCAAAATGAAAAACGAGTCAGAAAACGCGGACCCAGATGCCGGAGAAACAGAATTTGAAGCCAAGGAACCACCCAAAAAGAAGCAAAAGACAGGCAACGATGCGGCTGATGACAATGTCAAACTGCAGGAGGAAGAAGATCCTGAGATTGTCAGTTTGCTGAAAGGCTCGGCCTACAAGAGATTTCTGACTCGTCACACGGTCTGGAGAGTCAACATTGCCATGTTTCACGAGTCTCTTCGAAGCTTCATCTTGGGACGTCTTGTGGCGGAACGATATGGACACAAAGTACAATCTGCCGGATCTATGGTCACTGCGGCATTGAAATATCTAGCCCACAGGCGACATGCCGAAAAGAGTACCGATACCGAAATGACCTTTGATGCAGCCAGCATTCAACGGTACCTTCCCAAACCCGTTCAAGAGTTGTTGGAGAAAAAGCGACAGGCAGCTGTCGCCAACAACACGAGTCGTAATATGGCGGTCGTTTCGCAAGTGGCAAGAGCATTGCAACAATTGGCATCGTACAAATCTCCCATTTGTGTCTTGGAAGTCGAAACAGGGGCCAAACCGGAGGACTCTCGATTCGAGATTTGTACTACTCGAATGGTCCAGTACCTGCAACAACGCATCACCAATCAAATGATTTTGGATCATCACGGAGAAGTGGGCGCTCGTATTGTCACCGTATTGTCTCGCAACGGGTATTTGGAATCGGATTCTCTTGCCGAAGTCTCCATGGTGCCAGCCAAGGATTGCAGAGAGGTGCGTACGATACATGCGTGAGAATCGAGTATTTGTGGATTTGTTCTCGTTTCATTTATTTTTATACCTCATGGTTATTTTGTTGATGCTTGTTCGTGGCAGATTCTGCATCGTCTGTATCGCAGCAAATACATTGATCTTTTCACCCTCAGCCAAAGCCGACAACATAATCCTTCCAACATGATCTACCTCTGGACCGTCAATGGTCAGCGCATCCTCAAGAATGCGACCGACAATGTCTGCACGGCGCTTCTCAATTTGCGGCTGAGGCGCCAACACGAAGTGGAAGTTGGGAAGAACTGGATTGAACGGGCCCAGGAAGCTGGTGATATGGATGAGAATGATCACGAGGCGGACAAACAGAATCACAAAAAGTTTTGTTTGGGCCTGGAACGTTTGTACGGCTCCTGTCTCCAACTCGATGAGACCCTGATGATTATGGAGGATATGTGAGGGTTTAGTACTGTAGCACCGATAGCACATTGCTGGTGATTTGTCTAAACAATTAATTACAGCCAGTGTTCTTGCCAAGAAACGCCATCAACACGAGGCCACGCACAAACAGTTGTGCCACCGGTAATGAGTGTCAAGCGCGTATTGAATGATACCGGTAGATTGAATCGGTGATGCTGCTTTGAAGCAATCGAGGACGACGAATAATTCGATTCGGATCCCATGCAACAGGGCGCGGTTTTCGTGTAGTGCACTACAGTATGGTGCAGTCGAGTGAAAGAACATCAGTTCGTTCTGGACTGCTGTGATCTAGCTAGGAGCTACCAATCGGAGGCTGGAAATGTTGCAATCGGACGAGGCTGGAAATATTGCACTGCTCCGTGCAATAGTCTTTCACCGATGCTGCAGCAGTTTGAATTTGGGGTACAACTTAGTTGGAAGCCTCAATCGAATGTACCACCAGTAATCGTGGTCAAATGAACCACAGGTCTCTCCTCAGGTGTTGAAGCAGGAGGGTCACCAGCCTCTTGCTCTTTGAGATAGGTTTCTAGTAGAGGTCCAGAGACATCATCATCTGCCTCCACCGTATCATCTTGATCTTCACTGCCAGCTTTTGGTCTCAAGATCCTGGTTCTGTTACCAATATTTTTCATTTGTTCCGCCATTTGTTTATAGTTTTGTTCCAGCACCATCAAGTTCTCGACCAAAGCATCTTTGGAGAGTCCCGAGAGTGCAGATCGCTGCTCCTCGGCATTACGTGAATTATTCCATACAGCACCCAAGTTACCACCATACTTTCGCAGCCACGGCATGAGGGTTCCTGTGAAGGCCATGCGCCACGCTGCACCCCCGCGAGTTCCAAAGTCAGATCCTTTCCGTAGCTTTATCATGAACAGGAGACCAAGTCTTTCAATCAGTGGATGGCGATGCTGTAGCATGGGAACAACACAATAACGAGTGTCAGGCTCACGATGACGCAGTCCAAACAATGAGAAGCCAGTAGCTGCTTGTGCCAGCAATGGCACGGCAGCAACCGATTCAACCACGTACGGCCTCATGGATCAGTAAATCACGGGCAAAGCAATGTGGCAACCCATCCAAAGGTATATCATCTCTGAACCATCCAACGCCAGGAGCAAACACTTCTCTGTCAATTCGTCCCAAGTAAAGAAGGAAGATAGCCTACACAGCGCAAGATTGACTTTCTTTGTGAGAGAGTCTCACCATGTTGGCATTGCTCAATGAACAACGTACCATAAACTTGAGGCCGCGAACCAAAGCTGTGAAAGTCGTTAGTCCAAGATTCCATACTTCCTGGATTGTGTTGCTAATGTTGACAATGGCGGGACGACTTCGATAGTACCCTCGACTCCATCGGCTTCGAATGAACAACATCAGCACCTGTTTGAGTATCATCGTTATCAGCATTCCGATACAGTTGGCAGTAAATCGAATCATCATTTGTTGTGTGTCAACATATAAGCACAAGAAGGTAAAGACGCTGAAAAGGGCGTAAAAGGCAGCTGCAGAACACAAGCACGTCCAAAAGGCTGCACCGAACAAGAGATTGGCGGAGTCCACTGATCTCAGCAAAGATGGTTGTGTTAGATTCAGTGGCCAAAAGAACCTCTTCTGGGAAACCGATTGATACTCACTGGCAAACCGATTCTGCAAAAACCTCCTATCATCAAGGCTGCGCAGTTCTCCGCAACGGTACTTCAGAATACTGGACACCGCAGAGGGAACATAGAGCAAGCTAGTTGAAATTGCCGCGAAAAATGCTGGTGGGAACCCAACAGCAAGCACAAGGATAAACCTTGGAATTTGATCCACACAAGAAGTCGATGAGTCAAACTCTGCGGGCGATCGTCACAGAGTTAAGAAAGGCCATTGGCCAAATAGACTTACTTTTCATTGGACAGAAGATCAGGTGCCACCTCTTCCTCCTTGGTCAGAACAGACAAACCAAATGCAAAAACACCCGCTATGATGAGAACTGCCGTCCACTGGGCAATATTGCTAGCTACAAGTCTGGGCCAAATGTATATGCCCTCCTCATAGAATAAAGTGCGGTCACGGATTTTCCTCCATGTCCAGAGAATGCCTCCTGCTCGCTCTTGTTTGGTAAACGACTGATTGTAGCGTGTGATGGACGTGGATATCTTGCCGACTGACCTGCCAATTGAGCTCTTTCTTTTCCAATTTGCTGGCCTGACACCAACGGTATCCACATGGCACCGAACGGCATTCAACACAGCTCGGTCCACTTTCATGTTAGCTGCCTTTTTCCATTCAAACGCAGCTCTCATTGTTGAAGCGGAATTCTTGCAAGATCGTCCCATTTGCCCAGGTATAGTCAGCCGCATTAGCTGCATCATTTGGACACACAAGAGAAAGCACCCCAGCAGAAGGGAGACGGGTCCCAGATAAGCACTATTGTTTGGTTGGACGGAGCCGTCATTCTCTTCTGGTGGAATGGAGGTTGGATCCGAGTGAAAAAACCAAAAATCTGCCCGGTAGAAAAAGGGCAAGAACACGTACAAAGCTGTGCTGAACATCGCAACACATATTAGTGCTGCGACCTTGCTCTTGTCTTGGTTTCGATCCAGGTACACTGAGTTACCCAGATTGGCCAAGAACAAGAATGGAAACCCAACAATGGACAAGGAGACAAACACCTCAAGCCAGTGCAGGGTGGCTACCGTAATGGCACATCCAACCTGGGATTCAGCGGTAGTGCAGTCCTTTGCTTGCCACTGGTAATTAGGTGATACACCGTTGAACAGATAGGCCAACAGTATCACCACTATGGCATACCAAGAAGCAATAGTCCACGTCTTGCTTCGATAGGTGTCCGCATTGGCATCAATGTTGCCGGCAGTGTATATTCTTCGTAGTTTCGATTCGTCGCTTCCCTCCATCGCGTTTACCTCCTCAAATGTAGTTTCTTTGGTATTCTCCAAGTCCACATCATAGGCTTCAATGTCATCTGTCAAAACTCGCAACATTGTGTCTTTGTTCAACCTGGGTCTAGCATCCGGATGTGATGCCAGTGCCGTCTCCATCAGGCTGTCAATATATTCATCACTATCGTTTTTGTCTCTTTTTTCACCGAAAGAAAGAATATGGAGCAGTACATCCCTTGTGAGTTCTTGATCATATTTGAGGCCGGTTTCTGACATTAAAATGGCCAAAAACACATCAATAACATCCACTTCATCAGTTTCCAAGCCCTTATCAGCATCTACTCGAGCTTGCCTCAGCTTGGGGATCAAAATCAAGCTAGCAATCCGAACCAAGTTCATTTTCAGTTCTTCTGTTTCAGTGTCATCAGCATCAGTGTCATCTGTGCTACCATTGTCATCATTTTCCTCCCTAATCAGCTTTAATTGTTGGTGCTGGTACTGCTTGTACTTTTCGTAGTCATCGTGGCTGATTGCTTGAGAAACTCTCAGGGCCATAACTCTCTTGGACATGCCCTTGTTTTGTTGTGCTCCTGCTTTGGGTTGGTGCGAGTACTCTCTTGGTGGTGGCTGAAGTTCCTCATCTTCCATGATGCAATCAAAAAACTCGCCAGTGGTGCTCCTCCCAGCATCCACCTTGACAGTACTAGTATTCGCAACTCCATTTTTTGTGGTGATGTTGGACGATTGCAAATTTCGTTGCTTGCCTCCAGGGCGGATAACACAAGCCATCTGGCAAATGATGTCTTGCTCAATTTTTTCTACAGGAACTCGAACACCATGGCGACTCTTTAAATAAAAGTGGATATCTCGGGCTGTCAGAGATCCATCCTGCCTCAGAAAGAGCTTCTCGGTTTGCATCAACGCCGAGATGAATTCTAGCTCTGCAACATCAGCGGTAGCACCCACAGGGCGATCAAAATAGATTGGGGCGGTCAACATCTCCACCACAGCTCTTCTACAAGCAAAAAGAGAGACAAGTCAAGGGACAAGAGAAGAGGTGATTGAATTGGGAACGCAACAGGGTCGCCGACTATGACGAGTGGCTTTTCTTTCGTCATAATCCCGATAATTTCGGACGGACCTTCGTCGGTGTGGGGTTGTGGTACCGTACGTGTAGGCCTATTTTAGCTCCACTGGCTTGAATCTTTTTAGACAACGTTGCAAGCACCAAGAGAGCCGAGGACACAATTGAGTGGGCTGTACCAGTACCGGTATACCAGTATCTGCTTAACGTAGCTGCTGTTGTTCGAAGCTTTGGATCAGCTCGTTGGACCTCTAGCTGAGGAAAGATTGACGGGAGATGGGTAGCTGCTTTTGACGGGGATGCCATCGCTATCTTAAAGATTGAGATTGCTCATTATTTGGACCTCCCTGAAAATAATGACGTCTCGATACCGGAACAAGCTCTTGACTCCCGTCATTTGGTGTATCCTCGCCACGGAATTTTCAGAACGGTTTTGCTACTATGGATTCCGAGGAATCCTTACCCTCTATTTTACCGTGGACTTGGGCTATGATGAGAATCGGGCAATAGCCATGTTCGCCCTTACCACCGCATTGGCATATCTCTCGCCAATGGCCGGGTCGTTGATGGCGGATGGACATTGGGGTCGCTACCGAACCATTATGGTCTTTGGCTCTGTCTACGTCATTGGGATGATCTTGCTGACAGCGGGAGCATTCCTTGCAAACTCACAACAGTCCCAAAGAGGATGGACCATGGTGGGTCTCTTCCTCGTTTGCCTTGGGACTGGAGGCATCAAGCCCTGTGTTTCTTCGTTTGGTGCTGATCAAGTAGGAGATGCCACGAAACAACCACAATCTACTCTTAGTTTGGATGAAATGGAACGGAACCGGCTCTTGGGGCAACATAACTTGGAACCAGTCATATCTCGAGACGAGCAAGTGCGGGCATTCTTTGCCTACTTTTACTTCTCAATCAACTTTGGGGCTCTGTCTTCGCTGGCAATAGTACCCCTTGTCCGATCTCACTATGGATTTGGCATGGCATTCTTAATCCCAACACTCTTTATGATTACTGCCATGGCATTGTTCGTCTCCATGCACGGATCCTACGTTCATCACGTCCCAGAGTCTTCCTTATCAGACACTTTTGTCCTTTGTTGGTGGCTGATCAAGAGAAACACTTGCTCCTATCTACCTCCTCCAGTCCAAAGAATCTTCCCGTGCCTGAAGGAAGGACCGAGACCCGCCCAGCAGCAAGACCGGCATTTGGCCATACCAACGCATGATCATGAATCGGATGACGGAAGGGAACAGGACGACGGTGTGTTTGACCAGAAACTCAATGATGCACGTCAGGCAGTACACATCCTACCCATCATGACGCTACTTCCAATCTTCTGGTGTCTATATGACCAACAAGGCTCTGTTTGGACACTGCAAGCAACGAGGATGGAACTCAACGGATTGCAACCAGAACAGCTGAACATTGTCAACCCATTGCAAATCATGATTCTCATTCCGCTGTTTGACCAATCCATTTACCCATGGCTGGAACAGCGACGGGTCAACATTCGACCACTTCGACGCATGGCTTGTGGGATGTTGCTGGCTGCCGGTGCCTTTGTCATTAGTGGATGGGTCGAGTCGGCCATTCAGAACCGAGAAGCAGAGAATGCGCCCAAGCTGAACGTATTCTGGCAAATACCCCAAATCACGCTGTTGTCGATTGCCGAGATTTTGGTCAGCGTGACAGGTTTGGAATTTGCCTATGCGACATCCCCTGATAGGCTCAAGGCTTTTCTGATGGGCTTGTTTCTCTTGACCACATCTGTTGGTGACTTTTTTAGTGGATTCCTCTACTCCACTGTCTTTGTCAACCTCAATCGGGCAACAATCATGCACATTTGTGGATCGCTCATGCTTGGAAACCTGGTCCTTTTTGCACGTGTCTCTTGGTGGTGGGAAGAGCAAGAACGGAGGAAGCAGGAAAAACAAAGCGAAAACCCCAGCACCTTTTTGGATGATGGTATTGAAATCCAAGAACAGAGAGCCCCTTGACTTCAGTAGCCCTCTAAAGATCGACAATCTATCAATCTGCCATAGACTTCCAGACGGGAACGAACTATTTGGAGGATACAATCCACTTCATTATGACTCTTAGTTTGTGCCACTCTTCTACTCTTTGGAAGCCGAAATCCTCTTGATCTTACCATCTTTGTCCACCTCAATCACCTGCTTCACATTGATGGTAAAGAGGGCAACCTTTTTGCTTCCACGGCGCTCGACTTGGTTGGGATTTTGCTCGTGATATTCTCCAAAGAGTATCGTGGGCATGGTGGCATGGGCTCTGGGGAATTTCTTGAGCCACTCTTTCTTGCTCTTGAATTTACCAAAGGGGGACATGAATTGAAATTCGTCATCGGATAAGAGAAGGGAGGCCTCCTCGTATTTGTTTTCCTGAACGAGTTCCTCAAAGTCGCGAGCTGTTTTTTGGACGGGAAACATCTGCGTTGAGGGAATAAGGCACCATGAGCCAACGACCGCTGAGGTACGGTACTTTTGAAATACAATTATTAATATCATAGACTTACCATGGGGGCAGTTTTGGTTTCGGTGTTTGCGTTTTCCTTTGTAGCTCTCAAAGTTTTGTGGGATGTTCTTGCGTCGAAATGGCTTTGGTCTGTGAGCTTTAATGACACGCGTAATTGTGAAGCGTGAAGTGATTTGGAGCAGTTTCGAAGCGAGTTGACTCGACTCGACTCCCACGGAAAACGGGAGCGCCCAGTCACAGTTAGGACTGGAAGCCAATGAGAGCTGAGAGCTGAAGTTTTTCCTTACCTGGTACCGTAGCCCTAATTGGCTGGCATACGTCATACGGAAGAGAACCGTCACAATTTTGACACTCACTTTCAGTTTCAGCATCCTTTGAAAAAGTCACTTCCCTCCGAACACCTGGACAGGACACAGGACCACTCCTCAATCTCCAGTGGTACAGTTGAAACTGCTGCCTTTGATCAGGAGAGAAGTTAGATACGGTAGAATATTGGAGAGGTCAGAGCTAGAAGCGTGCAGTATTTGTTTAAAGGTGCCAGGAGACGAAAGATTCAATAGAGCGCTGGATGGAGGACAAAGGGTTTGTTGAGAGTCGAGTATAGACATTGGTCTTTTTGGGTTCTTTGGACGAGATGTCAGTCCGTTCCTTAGGCACTGGCTCAGTTCGAGCAGATGAAACCATGGAAGTTGAACTTCAGGCCGTAAGAGAGGAGAAAGAAATCGCCGATGACCCTTTAGACAATGATACCGAGAAAGGCAAAGAAGACCCTGACGGGGAACAAGAACAGCCACCAAAAGTGGCACCTTTCGAAATTGCCGGCCCGACGTTTGAACGTGATCCACCCAAAGGGTTCCTGCTGACATCCTTTGATGCCTTCCTGGTGGATTGGTGTTTTACCATTCTGATTGGCATCTTGGTTGTTTCCTACTGGAGAGTGAGTTTTGTTGATTCCCTGAGTTTGTTTGTGTTTCTATCGCCACTCATATATGAGACTTGTTCTGTCGGTTTGAATGTGTGCTTCAGGGGGGATGGGTGATCTTTGATATTGTCTCCTGTGACCAGCCAGGCACAGCAGGAATGCTAAACGGGGAATCTTTTTGCTTCTTAGGCCTCGGAACGGTGGAGGACTATCGTCACAACACAGCCGTTGAAGCCCTCATTGCTGGGTATACCCTTTTGATTTCCGGGTTGCTCTTGCTCAGTTGTGGGGGCTGGCGTCCAGCAAAGACGTTTCTCCAGGGTACAACAACAAATCTTCGACTCAAAAGATCATTAATTCGCGTTGTCATCCTCTTGCTGCTTGGTGGCGGTACCATATGCCTCTGGAGGTCCATATGGTACCTGCTAGACTATGTAAGAAGAATTCCCTGTGCAGTCCACCCAGATCCATGTCTGCATCTTCCGGTATATTTCTTGTTCTTCCTGTCCCTCTGACTCGACTCATTGGTTTTCTTTGCTGCACTCATTTTGCTATCATTATAGTACGTCTATCCCGACGATCCATATTTCAGTTTTCAGCTTACGACGGCTCTAGGAGCAATCTTGTGCAATTGCTTGTGTGCTTCAGCGAGTATGTTGGCTCCACCCGCAATTTTTCTGATGGACGGGCCCTCTCACTTGCCACCGCCAGTTGGAGTCACCATCATTACGTCCTTTCGCAGTATTGCCTTCCCTGCGCAAGTAGCCAAAGAGAAAACCGCCAAAGATCCGATCTGGCTCGTGACAGTTGACTGCTTTATCAGTTACGTTCTACTTCCCATTGGCGTCGTTGGATTCTGGCGTGGGCTGTGGGGACTGTTGGACACGTGGCTATGGGGCTTTACTGCATCTCAAGCCGATGTGAATTGGTCAATCCTTTGGAGCTTCCTTTGGGGATTAGCCTGTCTCTTTGTTGGCTCGGAAGATATGGTTCGGCACTTCAGTCCAGAAAAGGTTTTGAACAGCGAGGTTGCCGTTCGAGTTGCCAATATGGTTTTCGGGAGGACCGTAAACATGATTCTGGCCTTTGGGGCCGTGAACTATTGGCGCGCAGTGTGGCTCTTTTGGGATGAGTTTCTGGGAAACACGCATCTCTGGTCTGCTATTTTGTCACACCTCTTGGGTATCTCCGGCCTGCTCTGCCTGGGATGCCTCTCTTGCATAACAGCTCCTCCATCGACGCTTGGTGTTGATGCCATTGCCCATCCAGACTGTGCCGATGAACCTCTCTTTCACACCACACCAGTGCCCAGTGAAGTACTTTACTTCTTGTCAATTGCTCGTCGACCAGAATCGGTGTTGACCAAATCTGTCAAGGGACCCGACGGCAACGCTATTTCAGACCCAAGTCTGATTTGCGATCCAAAAAATCAAGCCTCCATGTCTCAAGATATTCTTCAACCCGTCAGCAATCTGCTTGTTCGGGAGGATCATCTCTTTTCCGAGCAGGGCAGGTCAACGAGATTCACGGAACAGACGTCGTCAATGGTGCAGTCGGCCACCCGAAGCGAGTCTAGCAGCGTCCTGCGCTTGTCTGATCGACACTTGATCAACCGCCGGAGCAATCAGTTCTTCCGTAGTCGCTGAGGCGCAGGTTGCTTTATCCTTCCGTGTCCCCCAAAACGTTGTAGACTACAATCATGTACAATGATACTCATGACATCTGTAAAAAGAACGTTTTAGTGTTCTGTTTCCATAGTGCTATGGTTGTGTCTTTCTTGGCAATCCTCGCACACGATGGTTCCTTTTAAGAGATCACGACTTCGTGGTTCGCTCGCTTGCTGCGAATGTGTGACCAGCTGACCCATTTGTATCCCTTGAGAGCTTCAATCGAAGTAAACTAAAACGCCTCGTGGGCCATGTTTGGAAATTGAGATCGTATCCTTCGCATGGCCCGATGCAACAAGAGACGGGAAGAGTGTGCAGAAGTAAAAGATGGTGGCATTCGAACAAAGAATTCTTACAGATAACCACAAAGCAAAGGACGCCATACAGCATCAGTCGGTCTGCTGCTTTCTATTCTGCTGGGTAACGGGAGTGCATGTACTAGCATCGTATGGCTCCACCGGGAAGAAAAGAAGGTGCATTGCACCTCTGGAAACATTTTATTTCTGAATGGACAACATGTAGTTACGTGTTACATGGAAACGATGGAAGCAATGACATTGGCTGCAACCAAAGGAATCAACAAGGCAGCCTGAGTGAGCTTCCTGGCCGTGGTTGCTGAAGATGGGGCCGGTTCACCCTGGGAAGCATCGCTGTTCGGGTCGACTGCTTCTGCCTCACCAGCTTCTGCCTCACCAGCATCTGCCTCGCCAGTTTCTCCCGCCGCCGTTTCTGCCTTAAGAGCCTCCCTCTTCTCGTCCAGAGTTACTGTTCCGCCTTTCCAATCTACCTCGATGACGCCACGGGACATTCCGTGGTACCCTGCGAACATATCTTCGCCGTTAGCTCCCCAGATCAGCTTGTCAGTTCCGGTGGTGTTGAACGTAGTGTTGTAGATCCCAGCAGTGAAAAATGTCATGGCAGTGTAGCAATCAGTCTCCACTATACCGTAGGAAGCCGTATCGCTGACCGCGGCTGCGGAACGGGCAACGGTCGAAGTCAGCTCCCCGGAAACGTCAGTTCCCCCGGCAACCGGAGTCTGCCACCAACGGAACGCCTTATCAGTGTCGTGAATAATGTAGTCTGCAACGAGAGGATCATAGCTGTAGTTGAACCCTGTCACAGGGCTGTACATCTCGCTGGGGGTGGCCGTGATGACGATGGCGCCGTGCATGGCATTACCGCCTGGGTACCCGGCGAAGCCGAGGGATGTGAACCCAAAGATACCGTTGTAAGAGAACATTCCCTTGACCTTGTCGTCAACCACAGACCACATGAGGGTGCCGCCCTCCATCAAATCTGCCATAAAATCATACTCGTCTTTGTATGAGGCGACAAAGCTCTCATATCCTGCGTCAGTACACTCCTCTTCGTCACGGGGATAATCGGGAAGTTTGGGATACGCAGTTGCGTTTGGCGCAGTCTCTAGATCGATGCAACCGGGGAACCTACATTTATTTGACGAAAACAGGTGATTAGAAACCGGAGAGACAGTAAGGAGCTGAGCCAAGTGGTGAATGGAATCATTCGCAACTTACCAATCGCCATGGGAAAAATCAGTTTTCTGACCGCGAGGATTAATGCAGTACAGGTCGAGGTTCTGCTCTGCACAAATCTCTTCACTAACTCCAGCGACTTCGAGACTCATGCAGCGATGCCAGCAATACAGTGTTCCTTCTTCGCACGAGGATTCTTCCAGTTGACGAGAATGAGTAAAGGATGAAGAGGAAGAGCATCCCAAAGCCAACAAATCCTCATTTGTTTCAGACGACGGGCTGGAGGAGTCAATGAGGAGTTGACGAAGATGTCCAAAAGTCTTGCCGTGCTCTGGGTGAATGGCACTCGCAGGAGGCAACACCATGCGACCATACCAAACACGAGCCGCGTTCTGAGGGTCATGATCGGGCACGGTCAAAGCATGAGGACAAGCACGAAGCTTGCGCCCCTTGTTGTCCTTCACATTTTCATTCACGTACTGGTTGACGCCGTCGCCAAGCATGATGACAAGGTCGTCTTCAGGGCCCAAGTCAACAACAGCGTGCGTGCCATCGGCAAGCTCCACGAAGAATCCTTCAGTCTCGCCCAACAGATTGCTCCTGGAGCGCACACCTTCGCTTGCGGTGGTCGTCATCATGCCAGGCGTGAACACCAGCATGAGACCTTGATCCGTGTGCCACTCGACGGTGGACGGAGCTTCCGGGTCAGCGTTCGTCTTGTTGTAGGAATGGAAGTGCTCGAGATGTTCTCCATTCTCAACCACATCCGCGACGGTCTGAAAGGGATAACCTTGTTCAGTTTCCAAAAGGGGCATCTCTTGATTCAACAGACCGCTCACTCGACTGGCGAATGCTCTCGTGGTCTTATCAACCCCTTGACGAAACTTGGCGCTGGCCTGGCTAAAGGCGTCACAGCGAGGGGACGATCCATGGTCAATGGTCTGAATACCTCCGGGGATGGTATGTGTGGCCATGGTGCGGCGACGAGTACCATCGGCAAATGTGTGCTCTTTCATTGCTGCCGATACATCGCCGCAAGGATTCGTCCATGCCAGAGTATCCCTCTTGGCTTGGCGGAAATCTTCTGGCATGTTAGTCACCGAGACCATACCAACTTGGCTCAGCGCATCCAACAAGATATCACCAGATGTATCGTCGTCACCTTTCGCAAAGAGATCAGAATAGGGAATCTTCACAGGACGAAAGACGTCTCCGCTCTTGGAACTTCCAGCCATTGCTAGCCCACATGACAAAGCAAGGAAAGCGATCTCAACAAAGTGGATCTTCATGGTCAACTAGTGATAACTTACGTACAAATGGGTACCTCAATTGGCAAACTTCTTGACCACTCTTCAGACTGGAAACAATGGGATGTTGCTCGCCTCTAACCAACAAGCAGATCACCTCAGTTCGTACCAAAGTAAAACCGCATTGGATACAATCGACCACATGGAGAATGAGAATTTAGGGCATCACAGTCAGGCTTTCCTAAAAGTTTACGGGGGTTTCTAGAGAGTCTGAAGCCTCAAAAGGGGGCCCGAATTAGGAAAAGAAAAGGACATTTTAGGGACCAATCACGGGGGTCACATGGAAAGAGTTGCAGGAATCCACGGAGACAATGCTGAATGGCTTTTGTAAAAATGCTCAAAACAACGTTGCTGTTGGCGTGGGAATCGCGAAACACCCGCGGTCCTGTGTTATCATTAATCAATGTAGTTTGTCTCTCGTCTTAAAGAAAAAGCCAACAATTTTGGATTCCTGCATAGCGCTGCGTAGAATTGGTTGATTTTCTACAGCGTTCAACTTCTACGTTCCCTGGTAGGACGGCTGGCAGGATCTTTCATCCGTGGAAGAAGGTCCAATTTGGGGGAGATTTGGATGAAATACTGATGAAATCACTGCAAATACAGCCAAGAAAGTGGGGGTGATTAGTAAAGTCAAGTGTCAGAGAATGGACACGTGCATCTTCAATCAATCGGATCATGCAAAACAAAAAGTACCAGTGGTACCGGTATCGCTACATGTACACGTAAAAGCTACCGTAGTACTGTAGCTTGGCTGGAAAGCTAAAAAATGACCTTTCGAATACCGCAAGTTTGAGAGACTGAAGTTCTTATTTTTTTAAAAGAAAACTAGATAAAATTTTTCTCTTGGTGTTGAAACTACACGTACATGTAGTACATTCCCCGATGTTGCCCATTACCAAGGTCGTGCTATTCCGCTCATGAAAGATATCTTTTCGTGCAGACAGTGTTGGTGCGCGATGATGGATATTGGTGCAGTGTTCTGTTCAAGATGGATGGGAGAATATTCAAAACCCATCTGAAGGCAGCGGTGTGCGTTGCTTCTCAAAAAAATTGACCACGGGCCCACCTTTTTCCATTAATATCCTTTCCAAGTGGACCTGAGGGATGGGCTCTACTAGGGAATTTTGTTGTTGAATATATGCAAATGTTTGGCTACGCCTGTGCCGTTCCATTTCACGACGTGCAGCACGAGGCCGAACATCGGGACGTACCCTGGGTCCACCCACTTCGGTGACACGGGCACCATAGCCAGGAGTGATTCCTGGACCAAAACCGGGACCCGCTACAGGACCAACTCTGGACAGAACCACTCCAGGCCCCCGTCCTCCCAACAAACTCTGGTATAGTACTCCAGGGCACACTTCAGAAGACCCAACACTCTATCCATTGCCAGAGCCCACTCCCGGAACAACCGCTGATGGCACCACCACTCGGCGTGAACAAAGAACGACAACCTAGCTAGCTAGAAGCAGCAAAGAATTTTATGAAATATATAATTGAAAATAAAGAGATGTATCCTCTTTTCCAGGAGCACAGTCCCACCTCATCATTCCGTATCGGTTTCCGTGGGCTTTGCCTTTTGGAACCAACGACCTTTCCTGCTGTTTTTGCTTCTGCTTCGACTGGTGGATGTCTTGGCCGACTTGGTGCTACCGCTATCGCTGTGACTGGCCGTGGCGCCGACGGGTTTGTCTTGGGCCCACTGCCCATCGTGCCGTACTTTTCCATCGGCGCCAGTTTCAATGCCCTGCCCGTGTCTCATCCCGTTGAGCCATTGTCCAGAGTAGCATCTTCCGTCGACCCAGATGCATGTCCCGCTTCCGCTGTACTTGCCATCGGACCAGCCTCCTTCGTACTTGCAGCCGCCTCCGAATTTATAAAGCCCGTGGCCATCCCTTTGTCCGTCAATGAAATCTCCTTCCTATAATATAGGAAGCATGTGCAAGAGATGAAAGCGAAGCACGTGTCAGTCAGCGGATTCGCGGTCAATTAATAATTCATGCAGATATATTTTCACACTTACATAAACAGCACCATCGGGCCATCGAAAGGTACCCTTTCCGTGTCGTTTGTCTTCCTTGAATTCGCCCTCATAAGAACGTCCATCCGACCATGTATATTTGCCGAACCCATGTCGTTGGTCGTATTCGTAACCACCCTCATAGGCATCGCCATTGGAGAACTTGGCCTTGCCATATCCATGCCAACGACCATGGTACCATTCTCCGTCAAAGATGCGTTGCTGATTGCCCTTGCCTTCGTATACCAAGCGACCCTTTCCATGAGGCCATCCCGATTTGGGTGATACGGTTCCCGTGTAGATTCCCTTGTCGCCGTACGGGTCTTGAACGGCTTGATCGACCACACTTTTCAGTGTTTCTTCGTTGGCTTCGGATACATGACAGACTTGGGCGGTGGCATTCCAGGCAGGATCACGAGGAGGAGGGGAAACCGCAACAGCTGCGGCATCGTCAGAGCTTCGAAATGTCATGGGGTTGACGTTGTTATCCTCCTGCTCGATTGGTTCGTGGTACAGACTGCTAATCTGAGGGTTGCTGTTGCTAACCTCCTGGGCGATAGGGTGATGATAAAGACTGCTAATCTTGTTGTGGACGTTGTTATCTTCATCCGCATGTGGGAAGGAATGTGGCTGAAAGGGAGTAGCTTGGCTGTTCACGGCACTGACGGATAGATCGTCGTCGTCCGCTTCCACCACAGGCGTCTTCCATAGATAGTCCATGCCCGAGAATCCCGAGCTTCCTCTGCTAGCCGTGAAAGAACCCACGCTGGGGCCCAAACTAGGGCCCAAACTGGGACCGACACTGGGAGCACTAAAGGTGCTGATGCTATGCATGGTCGTCGACAGCTGCGCGTCGTCCATGGTGGTATCCTGATCATCGCCACCTCCAAAGCCTTGTTCTTCTCGTCCCTGTTGACCCAGCTGGATCTTGGCATCCCTCAATTCGAGCTTGACGTCGGCCAGTTCTTGACGAAGGATTTGAATCTCTCGTTCCTTGTGATGCAACAGATTCAGCAGCCGTTGCTCGACCTTTTGTCGGTCGATTTCCAGGTCGTCAGAAGCTACTGCCACCGGCGCCATCACTTGATGATGATCAACCCCAAGGCCATCCTTCTGAAGGGTCTCGAGGACCGAGGTAGCTACCGACGTATGTAGGCCTGCGGGCATAACTGATGTTTCTTTCTTTATCTCTTTCTTTCTGCGGGTGGGTGGGAGGTTGTGAGATGTTTCTCGATCGATCGATTCTTGGGATGGGTATCCTTTGCTACCGTCGTCTAATCTTCAAAGCAACTATCGATCTACTCTCGGATAATGGACAGCTCTAGACTAATGGGACAAAGTTAATAGCGTCAGGTCAGAGAGGTCTCGGAACCGAGAGGAAAGCTGTATAGAGGACAAGACCATTTATTTGGTGACTCTGCGTCGACCAATTGAGCCACACACAGGAAAGCGGTACCACAGTCCCATTTGCTAGCTAGCTACTAGCTAGAAGTACTGTAGTAGCTACTGGTAGTACGGTAGGAGGCAGTGCAGGAACACAGGAAGACCGATCTTCCACGGCCGACTCCTTGGCGAATTTGGCACGATCAACTTTGGAAATCAGATAGTTGCGGTAAATATAGCGTTGTATACAAAAATGAGAAGTAAACATTAACTTTAACCCTAAACTTACCACATCTACCTTGCTAAAACTGTCTTCTCCAATTGCCAGCCCAACCCCAAATCAGCACAGCCACTCCCAACCAAGCAACATAACAGACCATCGTTCAAGTTGCACACCTTTTAACCTGTCCTTCTCAACCATTGAAGACAGCAACAGCAATTCGTAACCTGGACACCTGGACTATAGATATTAGAGGTCTTTTCATCGTTTGCGACTTACTCGTAACGAGCTAGCTACGGTAGCTAGGAATAGATAGATAGCTGGGCCGCTACTAGCTAGCTAGATAGTGGATGAAAAGGCAGCCAGCTATCAGGCGTGCAAATGAGGGAGGGAGGAAGAAAGCACGGTTTTGATTTGTGTCTGCAACAAAATCTACCAGGTAGCGACATAGACAGACAGAACATGGCACAGCCAGAGATGAGCCCGCCCTTCCGCCCTTCTTGGTCTGGCTAGACTAGTTCTGCTCCCGGATTTTCTGGACGTTCAATCGAATCGAATCCTCTGCAAACTCCCAACAGGACGCTCTCCACACTTTGAAAGAACTGTGCAAGCGCCATCTTGTCTATTGATAGTAGTGTGATAGGGGCAGTTTTGAAGGTAGCAATGCAATTAACTTATTTATGAGGGAAGACTGCAGTATTCATTCGATGCAGCGTGACAAGTCTTCCCCTGGCCACTGGATATTGCGCTCGCTTGAATTCATGATTCGATTCTGGCCGTACCGGTAGCCTGCCATGGTTGGACTCGGGATCCTCCTGTATCTATGATACAAAGATTTTATGCGTGTTTTGCAAAGCTAGCTAGCTAAACTACCAGCGGTTCTTGCTAGTTATCGGATCCAATTGTCCAGAACCACGGCAGTCAAAGTTCAAAATTCTGTCCGGTGAGAGTTGGAAAGCATGAATTGCATGGATTGGATTGTCCCGCAATTTCCCCATGGCAGGTGACCACTCAAACTGGTAACTGAGGGCTTTACTCTGGTTCCATATGAGTCTGATTCCATGCGCGGTTAGTCCAAGCTCCGTAGTTGCATCTCTGGGCTGTATCACACGTACTTTGGCCTCTGCCTGAATGGGACAGTTCTCCGTGCACAACAAGTGCAGTCGGTTCCCTGGGTGTTGGATTGGTGTTGGTTTGGTGGCACGCCAACTCACCATTTTGCTTCATCCAAACTGTCTATCCAAAGCAAATCGGAGGGACCTCCACAATGGGTAATAGATGAACGGTGATGAGCAGTAGTGTGTACATTCTGCTGCTCCACTATGAGGGTGCATTGTTGGATGGGGGGCTGTGAAATTGAAATATGGAAGAGTCACAAGTTCAGGCTGTACACTGGATAATGAAGGCATGTGTGGGCCAGCCATCACAAAACTATGGCCAGATTTGTTGGCAGCCTTCCGGATTGCAAGTTCCCTCCATCCTGCAGAGCTGTCACTGAAGGAAAAGGGCTGGCAGTGTGACAAGTTCTTTCCATCTGGGCGTCCCTTCCTGTCGAAGTTATCAAATGTTAGATGGAATGGCAGCAATCTACCAAGAAGGCAAAATTGGGGCTTTCTAGCTACTCACCACAAGCTATACTCTCCACCACCAGCATCAAAGTGTTGTGCTGAGGATTCTCGATGCACCAGTAGTTGGATGTGGCCTTGCTGTCTGATGCGACTGAAAAGATCTGACATGTCAGTGACATACTCCCCCCTGTCATGATAATGCCAGTGGAGACCAAAACCTAACACCAGAACATCAGCCTCTGCCGTAATATTGGCTACACCATCATCTCTAGGTGGGACCCTGTACAATTGATGAAACCTCAAAATGGCGTCCCTTTCATCCTCGGCCCATTCAGGGGATCGAATGTGAATTGTCTTGTTGGACTGGACTTGATGATACATGTGTTGGACTTTAAATATGGTTTCCTCAACTTTCACTTGGTATCCTCTGCGATGGAGCTCACATGACAGCCCATCAAACACCTGGTGATGCATGGAGTCACCAAGGAATGAAATGAGAATGTTATGTTTCCGAACAATCTCCACAATCTTGCAAATGTCGCATTTTGTATCTGAGATGGTAGCATCATTGTCTTCAAACCACTGGAGAGTGTGTTGTCGGAGCTGTGGAAAGTCTTGCATGCCTAAGCCACAAATGAAAGTATCCCTATCATGAATGGCACCTCCCGAGGAGAACGATCCAAGGCAACATGTGCGGGGGATTCCCTTTGGTGGCTGACAGCTTTGATGAGCAATGTGGTCCGTTACTCCTGGTTGGGCTAAGCCTTCGTACGATTTGTGTTCCCATGGCAGAAGCTCCAGCACACTTGTATCTCTCCAGTGGTTGTCGTTACTGTTGGAGCTTTCCTGAGGGACCGAGGCATCCACAGATGACTGAATTTTGGTTGCTCCCTCATTGGTTGTCGTCGCAGTCGTTGCCTGGTTTTGGAGAGCAGTACCATTCCGCAGTGCCATGGCTTGCTGAAGCTGTTGATGTTTTTTCTGCAAATCATCAATCTGCTTTTGGAGATTGCCAATCATGTCATCCTTGACGTCCAATGGTCCTTTCTGGTGTGGGTCATTTGCCGAGTAAATGAAACTACTGAGACTGCTGACACCCCTTCGAACCTCGTTCGAGTTGCACCAAAAGGTAACAATGGATAAGAGGAAAATGCCACAGACAAAGCACCAATATCTCCTTTTGCCAGTTGGTGGGACAGTGCCATCGGTGTCATTTTCATCTCCTCTCCTCCTGTTGGTTTTGTTGGTCCTTGTTGGAAGGAACCGCATGGTGCTGTCTGCGATGGTGTTTGGCTTGTGTTCAACTCCTTGTTTTGATAGAAAAGGCTATGATGCTAGAGCTGGCAAGCTATAGAGACTAGTTGCTTTCTCTCTCATCAAACATTTTAAAAAATTGATTGTGAAACCAAATTGTCGTGTTGTGCCATGGCGCAAGAAGTCTTCTTGTGTGCTTTCCTTTTTTGACCTTTTGTTTGTGACTTTTGAACGCATTGTGACCAACATTACCAAAGGGGTTTTGTGGCTTTTTATCCCATGTGCCGGAGTGCCAGTCTTCCTTGACTCGACTCGTGACTCGTGAGTCAAGGAATAAGACTCGAAGCCACCGCACCCGGACTGACACAGGCTGGCAAGTATAATAATAGTACCGGTACTGGTACCTCATACATGTACAGCTGTGTCGGTACTAGTAGAGTACACGTTTAGCAGATGGGATGGGCATTTCACAGAAGTGCGGCGTGGAAAGGAGGGATTGAGGGAAGATTGCTCGTTTTGTGATTGATGCCAAGCAGTCTCTTCGTGGCAGCTGCATTGGGTGTCGGGCTTTAGCATGAGGCAACCTAGCAAGCTGGACTGATCGAAAAAACACAGAGATGAGTCCACCCTAGCTAGCGGTGCCGACAGGAGTATATAAAAGTAAAGGCTACAAATGTACTTCAGTTGTCTTCAACCTGACCACACCCGGTGTCGTCACGACTAGACTTGAATTGCCAACAGACGCACCCACACTGAATTCTCACATTTAGAATCCCTCGGCTTAATTACCGCCGTCAGTGCAAAACAAAACAATAGGGTTGCTCCTGCATTCGTCGTTTCGACTATTTTGCTCTGAGAGTCTTGTCAGTCGATCTCCTCTCTTACGACATGAGCACATCGCAATCTCTCCATTTGCAACTTCTTCTTTGCAGTGAACACAGAAATGGAAGAAAGGGGAGTGATTGGTACAGGTGATCACGTTGCACCCGTTCTCGCCCAAGACAATGCCAATTTTTCCTTCTTGCAGATTGGGTGAGGACAAGCAATGAGGCCTTCGGCTATGTTTTCGACCTTTATCTTGTTGCGGAGGACTTTGCTCCGAGATCTCCGCTGCCCCGTTACGCCTACCAAAACCACAGCAAACTTGTCTCCAGCGGCATCGCCCAGCCTGTCAGGATCGGGAGATTGATTCGATTCCTCTGCCCTGTCAGAACATGAAAGATTCTTTTCATCGGGGGCGCTGTTTGCAGAAGACTCTTCGGAAAGCGTTGGTTCAGTCTTGATAAAACTGTTTTTGGTGGCGTGCTTCTGCTTGGGGGCATCCATAATTGAAGATGAAGACTGATAGTCTGGCTCAGCGACGTCCCGTGATGACTTTGAGTAGACGATTTGATTAGCAGCCCCTTTTCTAGAATTTTCAAAGATGGCCGTGTTGTCCTCCGAGCTTCTTACAAGCGCCTTCCTTAGGGATCCATCCGCGTTGTGGTGGTTTATTGGTTTTCTACAGGTGTCTCCAAAGCTCGGGATGGTGGTTTCGTTACTTCGCGCTCGTACCGTTCACCACCAATTTCCATGGGTATGTTCATGATTCGTCGCTTCTAGTGCGGCAAGTCCGATGATTAGGTAGCAACAAAGGATGGCTTGCAAGATCTTGCCTCTTCGTCCTCTCCCCGCAAGTGACACATGTCAGATAATGCCGGTTTTTGGCAGTTGCCTTCTCGACGCAAGCTTGACATCTTGCACTGGGATTGTTTTTATGAGTGCAAAACAATTGGGGCATGCCGCTATGACGCACTCCTTGCATGTCCGCATGCTGTCTGGTAGTGGCCATTGTTTCGAGGAAAACTTCTTCTCTTCTTTTTTTGTTCCACACACCCCACAGACCCTCGTTATGCTGCTTTGAAAGTAATGTACGAGTACCATAAGGAAGAACTCTTATTCTCTTGCTTCATCAAAGTTGGGAAACATTGTCCTGTTCTGCCATGCATGGGATCTGTTGATCAGGATCCAAAATTGCCGACGTCCACAACAATATCTTATAGACGCGGTTTAAAGGGCAACACCTATTACTAGTACGCCCCCGGCTATTAGATGCCAGCCAGCACCACACTCCTCTAATAGCACTGGAGGACATACCGGTACCGGCATAGATACATGCATGACCCCTTCGTTAAAAGGGCCCAGAGTATTGGATTATTTGCTAGCTAGTGTACGACTGTTGGCAGGGGTCAAGCTTACTTCATGCCATGAATGATACACAAAGATGATTGAAACTTTAAGTTGTGCAAAGCCCTTGCTTTCCGGCTGCTCGCGACCGGTTCCGATCGTCCGACTGAACTCACCATCCGCACTGCCCACAGCCGCAGCAGTCAAGTACACAATTTCCAGATCAGACGCCCTGTCATCATGATGCGAGTAGTCTGGTACGGAATTAAAAACGGGGCCTGTCAGAAAGGAAAAATCCAAGTAGGGACATTCGGATTTTTGTTATACTTGCTGAATGGATCGCGGATATCTATAAAAGGCGGTGGAAGTCCTTCAATCATTGGGAGGGCACAATATGGTGGACGTCATCAACGCATCTACATGAACGCTTCGAAAGAAAGGGCGAGCTCTCGCCTGGCCGGAAGCATGGGTTGGATTGCGTTCTGTCCGATGAGGGTTGGAAGACGTCTACGGTCTGTAATAGCTGGCTTCCCATTGCACCACTCCAAGCTCAAAACTCCCTCTCCAAGAACCTGTTCCCGTTGTGAGACCCGAGAGAATGCATGGATAAGCACCGACAACACCAACCTGGACGGGGCACCAGTAAACCTGCTTCCGTCACTGCCTGAATGGTGTCGGTTCTCAATGCACAGCAAGTGCGGATGGTTCCCTGGGTGTTGGCTTGGTGGCACGCGGCCTCACAATTTTGCTTCATCCAAACTGTCTATCCAAAGCAAATCGGAGGGACCTCCACAATGGGTAGTAGATGAAAGGGGATGAGCAGTAGTGTGTACATTCTGCTGCTCCACCATGAGGGTGCATTGTTGGATGGGGGGCTGTGAAATTGAAATATGGGAGAGTCACAAGTTCAGGCTGTACACTGGATAATGAAGGCATGTGTGGGCCAGCCATCACAAAACTATGGCCAGATTTGTTGGCAGCAGTCCGGATTGCAAGTTCCCTCCATCCTGCAGAGCTGTCACTGAAGGAAAAGGGCTGGCAGTGTGACAAGTTCTTTTCATCTTGGTGTCCCCTCCTGTTGCAGGTAACAAGTGTTAGGTGGAATGGCAGCAATCTACCAAGGAGGCAAAATTGGGGCTTTCTAGCTACTCACCACAAGCTATACTCTCCACCACTAGCATCAAAGTGTTGTGCTGAGGATTCTCGATGCACCAGTAGTTGGATGTGGCCTTGCTGTCTGATGCGACTGAAAAGATCCCCCATGGCAACAACATAGTCACCTCTGTCACCATAATTCCAATGGAGACCAAAACCTAACACCAAAACATCAGCCTCCGCCGTAATATTGGCTACACCATCATCTACAGGCGGGACCATGTACATTTGATGAAACCTCAAAATGGCGTCCCTTTCATCCTCGGCCCATTCAGGGGATCGAATGTGAATTGTCTTGTTGGTTCCAACTTGACGATAACCATCTTTGACTGTGTTTATGGTTTCTTCAACTTTCACTTGGTATCCTCTGCGATAGAGCTCACATGTCAGTCCATCAAACACCTGGTGATGCATGGAGTCACCAAGGAATGAAATGAGAATGTTATGTTTCCGAACAATCTCCACAATCCTGCAAATGTCACATTTTGTATCTGAGACGGCACCATCATTGTCTTCGAACCATTGGATAGTGTGTTGTCGTAGCTGTGGAAAGTCTTGCATGCCCAAGTGGCAAATGAAAGTCATCCTATCATGAAGTTCGCCTCCCGAGGAGAAGGATCCAAGGCAGCATGTGCGGGGGATTCCTTTTGGTGGCTGACAGCTTTGATGAGCAATGTGGTTCGTTACTCCTGGTTGGGAAATACCTTTGTACGATTTGTGTTCCCACGGCAGAAGCTCCAGCACACTAGTTTCTCTCCAGTGGTTGTCGTTACTGTTGGAGCTTTCCTGAGGGACCGAGGCATCCACAGATGACTGAATTTTGGCTGCTCCTGCATTGGTTGTTGTTCTCACAGTGGCTGCCTGGTTTTGGAAAGCAGTACCATTCCGCAGTGCCGCGGCTTGCTGAAGCTGTTGATTCTTCTTCTGCAAATCATCAATCTGCTTTTGGAGATTGCCAATCATGTTATCCTTGATGCCCAATGGTCCTTTCTGGTGTGGGTCATTTGCCGAGTAAATGAAACCGCTGAGACTACTGACACCCCTTCGAACCTCGTACGAGTTGCGCCAAAAGGCAACAATGGACGACAGAAAAATGCCACAGACAAAGCACCAATATCTCCCTTTGCCAGTTGTTGGGACAGTGTCATCCACATCTCTTCTCCTCCTGTTGGTTCGGTTGGGTCTGGTTGGAAGGAGCCGCATGGTGCTGTCGGCGATGGTGTATGGATAGCTGGTGTTCCAGCTAGCAAGGTAGAGACAGACGATCGAGTGGCTTTCTCTCACATCGAACAGATCAACAGATCTTGTGGAAACAATGGCAGGCATACATAGTCGCAGTTTGCTTTTTTGTTGGTATTGTGACCCCAGCAAATAAGAATGACGGTCACGGTGGCAAAGGAGGCTGCCTCACCACTTGTAAAGTTTTTACCGGATGTACCGGTACATTCCGGTACCGGTACCACAGGCTTATCTTTAAAATTTTGAAGAACTGATCGACTTTGAATCGAATCATTCGATTCGATTGCGGTTCGAATAATTATTCGGCCTAGTCCGTCTGCCGCCCGAACTGTGCGCATGTTTCAACCCTTCAACTTGTGCGGCCATGGCGATTTTCACACAACAATCACACTCACCTGCTACTAGCTAGACAGTCGTACAACTAAAAGCAACTCATCAAATAAATAGATAACCAACCACCGCTCGCTAGCACCATGTCTGACAACGAAGAAGAGGCCGATGTGGCCGCTATGCTTGATTTGACCAAGAAGAAGAAGAAAAAGAAGAAGAAGAAAGCCGTCGCCGCCACCTCGGAAAAAAGCAGCGGTGAAACCGGCGGAGACGCTGGTGTCCCCGTGGACGCTTCGGAACAGCAGCGTTTGTTGGCGGAATTGGATGCCGCTCAAGACGTGGGTGATCCCAACGATCGCAGGGCGGATTACACGTACGAAGAATTGCTGGAGCGTGTGGTGGATCTCTTGCAAGCCAACAATCCCGATTTGGTCGAGAAGAAGCGCACCCGTATCAAGCCTCCTCAGATGCAGACCATTAGCAGTCGAAAGTGTATGTGGGTCAACTTTCAGGAGATTTGCTCCATGATGCAACGTGATCCACAGCATGTCTATCAGTTCTTCATGACCGAGTTGGGAACGGAAGGATCCATTGACGGAAATCAGCGTCTCATTATTCGTGAGTCAATGAATGCAAAATCAATCCATCTGTGTGACTTATTCCGTAACAGCTCTTTCTCACTTGCTTACTCACTTACTTGCTTGCTCGTATTTCTTTCTTTTTGCTACTACTAGGCGGTCGCTACTTGCCCAAGTATATTGAATCCTTGCTGCGTAAATACATTCAGGAATATGTCACTTGTGGAATGTGCCGTTCTCCCAATACCGATCTGGTCAAGGATCAGGGATCGCGTCTCTACTTTTGTAATTGCCGGGATTGTGGTGCCAGTCGAGCTGTTGCGGCCATCAAGGCCGGATACCATGCCACCAATCGGGCCGATCGTAGGGCTGCCAGAAACAGAACGTAAACTGGGCGTGTGTAGCATTCAGCGGCGTGCAAAAACAGAACGACAATAATATCATCGTAATAGTAAAAAGCATGTTATTTGTTGCTCAAGAAGGATACTGTAATATGGTTGGTTTTGGTAGTAACAGCAGCTTGTAGTCGTAGTAAAACCATTGGTGTGGCTCTCCAAGACGATCCTAGGGAGAAAATCGGCTATGGCGACTCGTCTATCTATTTGTCTGTTGTGCCTCCATGCTTCTTGGACTGTTGCATACCATGGACAGGACATCCGATTGCCCTGGCCCACTTCAGCAGCTCCAGATAGATGACCAAACGCCACAGCTCCAAAGCAAGCCATTGCATTCAGTGAAATTTTTGTTTGCTCCTGAGCTCCTGTGAGATCTGTCTTTGAACTAATAAATGGCCATATTCAGCTTCCACAACACATATATTATATTCTGGTATTCGAAGAGCCGTCACTCTACCGGCACACGTACTGGCATCCCTTTTCGAGAGTTTCCAAGCAAACTGAATGACCGTCTCTACGGTACGAGCTGGCCAGATGCATTCCAAAGTGGACAACCCTTCCACATGCCAACCTCAAAGCTTCTCCGCCACCCGTTGAGAAATGTTGGCACTTGTCCTGTTGTCCTATGAGCAACCCTTTGGTGTCTACTGCCCCCATATCTGCCACTTCCATTGCTAGCTACATGTAGATTAAGCCTCGTGTTTGTGGCCTCTGCGATGCTGAACCCAGGTCTGCTGGTGCTGTTTACTAATCCGCTGGCTTCTACAGGTACGTATCTATTGTTCCGTGAAGCATCGAGTCGACACATACAGCCATCAGCCATCACGATATCACAACAACAGCACTCACAGGACCCAAATAAGTATTGCTGTCCTGCCTTTCAAGCTCATTCATCTGCATTGGGGTCCTGGAGCCCACTAGCTAGGTAGCTACTAGAAGTTTCCCATTGGGTTTCCTCCTTCTGAAGTTACTTTGTTTGTGGTAGCTCCCCTTATCATTCAAACGGAATGGTAGATACCCTGTAGATTCGAGTCGAATCAGTGAGATGATGGCAGCAGACTCTCTTTGATACTGTACCCCAAGAAAAAGACTAGGTCCACTCCATTTCTCATAGGATGACAGATCGTCCAGATCCTGAGGCTCATGACGTCCTGGAAGATGATACAAAGAATGATAGCAACAAGCACTACCATGCAGCCGCTCATACGTCGGCTCCACATGCACTGAATTTTGACGAAACGGATGATGATGATGATGACGACGACCTTCCCTTTCTTCGATCCTTAAAACGAGGAGATTCCGCGCTACCCAGCAGTGCCAGTAAGGCCCGAGGACGACACAATGAACGAGATCTACAGCCAAAGAGGTCTCACTCAGATCCTGCCAGTATTCGCAAACACTTGTTTGAATTGATGGATGCCGCCAGAAAACCAACCAATGAATCCACAGCAGGTGCAGTTGTTCCAACACCCCCAAGTCCCAGTCCAGCTCGGCAAGAAACGACAACCACAACTAGCACTACTACTAGAGATACTACAGGTGCCGTCAAAATGGGCACATCCAACTCGGCAGTATCCCTCCGCGGTGCTGCCGGAGTGACATTTGCCCCCAACACACACCGAACCAACCATAAGAATGCCACTTGGCAGCACACAACTACCAACAAGCAGCAGGAAGCCGGCCATTTCCGTCGTCGGTATAGTAGCTCGGCTGCCGTGGCGACCAGTAGCAATGGCAGCACACCGGGAACTCCCACGGGGCTCTCGTCGTCCACCAGCACATCCATTAGCACCAACACCAAAAATCGCGTCCGGGTGTACCGATCGTCTCTGACGGACAAATTGACAACCCGTGACATTGCCGCTTTGGACTTTTTGTTGGGCATTCCTTTGGAAGTGGAGGAATCCATTGTGCAAAATGGCTGGATGTTGCAGCAAATACGGAGAAAAACATTTCGGGCTCATAGTGGCGTTACCGATTATGATGATGATGACGACGACGACGATGATGAGCGGGATCATATTATGTACGATGATGAAAATGACTATGGACGACCACAACAACAAGACGATGTTGCCAAACGAGAAGAAATCAACGCCTTACTGGAACCACCTGGTAGTGCTGCAGCTGTGGCTACCACGGCTCAATTGGCGTCACATTCACATTCTCATCATGGACGATGGTGGGAGAAATGGGTACCACGAGAAGGCAACAATAATCCCTACATGACGAGATTCAACACCAATCCATCCACAAGCAAACACAAGGACGATGGGGAATTGGAATTACCCACTGAATCGACTGGAATGGGTGGTGACATGCTGCACGGGACACCCGGCACCGACATGACATCCACAACGGGAACCACTCGAACATCGGCTGCCGCCAAAGCCAACAATAATAACAACAACAACAATGGAATGCCGACAGCTCCCATTTACGCTCCAGGACGTCGATTGGAGGGAGACGACGCCGTGCTAGTGCAGATTCCACTCAAGGTGGACACTGTCACACGACAAAAGTCAATCGCACGACAAGCAGCCATTCGAGAATGGGAAATCAAGGTCGCTCACGGGCTCATGGGGGGCATGGATAGTCGAAGAAACCTTGCTACTACTACATCAAGAGCAACAGCATTCGGACAATCCACGACGAGTCAACAATCGCTACCGCAACAACAGGCACTCCTAGATGGTAGAATGTTCTTCTCCGCTTCGGGATCGTATCCACTGGGCGTGTTCTCCTTGAAACGATATGAACCGAAACGAGAAGAAGCTGCCCGGAGGCGGCTCAAGCTGGAAGCTCGTGGTGGTGGCGGATCTCACTTTGTCATGCCCAGTCGGGATTGGAGGGGTATCTCGTTTCGGGCTCTCCTACCTCGCAAAGCGCAACAAACACGCAGCCACAAGGGCTTTAATCGTTTCCTCAGTGGAGGAATCACGTCGGCGGATGGAACCACTGGTGATAATGGTAAAAGTCCCGCCAACAAAAAACGCAGACAACTGCTTCGAGATGACAGTGACCTGCCCAACGTGGAAGAGAACAACATTAGCAATGATGAAGACGACGAAGACAGCGATAGTGAAGATACACTCTCTTCGTCGTCTTCAGAAGACTCATACATCCCTGGCATTCTCGATGACCCCGAGATCAAATACGGCCGCCATCGGAATGTCATGATTGGAGATGCTGTCACAGGGTGCATCGTGGCTTCCACCATTCAGTTTGTCAAACCAACGCTGCTCAAAGCAGATTTGAACCAGAAATTTCGAGATCGCTTTGATGGTTGGGAGCCCAACAAATCACAACGCAAGTACATTGGTGCGAGGGTGGTAGACGGTGTTTACACGTTGATTGATCCGACGGAAAGTCAGCAGCAGCAAGATCATGCAACGGGAGGAGTGTTGGAACACGTTGATAAAGTGCTTGGCGACGCATCTGAACCTTCCCCCTCGGCTGCTACACCAGCCATTATTCGTATGCCACCCTCGTTGACATTGTCCAAAATCCGAAGTGTCAAGCGACAAGCTCTCATGGCGTTTGTCAGAGCCGACTTGGAAATTGGGACGATCGCCTTGGCATGTGTTTACTTTGAACGGCTGTGTTTGTCCTGCAGAGTTGACAAGACCAATCGACGACTCTGCTTTGCATCCTGCATCCTAATGGCGTCCAAAATCAACGAACCCAATGAAGTGTTGGTCATGAAAGAAGATACTGCTGCATCAGAAAGTGGGGATGAGGAAGAAAGAAACAACACCAACATCAGAAAGAAATTCAAACGGCTGGAGTCGTCAATTCGCCCCAGTAAGCGAAGTTCCACCATGTTTGCGTCCTTGTTGACATTCTTCACGCAGGAATGGAATCTTTCGCTTAAGCACTTATTCGCAGCCGAATGGGGGGTCTTTGCGGTATGTGAGCACTCAAAATATGGCTTGAAATGGTGATTCTATAGCTCTCTTTGTCTCAGATGATGCCACTGTTGTTGTCGCTTTCACTGCAGGCGCTTCGGTTTTCGCTGCATGCCACGCCATCACAAGTCGCCTTTCACTTCAAACGCTTGATGAAGACACTGGAGTGGAACCCAGGGGACTATCTGGGATCAGTAATGTATGAACAGTGGCAGGATGCCTTGGCAAAAGAAGAGCAGCATAATCTTGCACGAGAGAAACGGCGCGAAAGGAGACGACTGCGCAAAGAGCGGAGATTGCATCGCGAGTTGCAAAAGGAAGTGATTCGAGGCAAGTACAATCAGATGGCAGAGAAGGATTCAATGCGAAAGAAGAGTGCTACCAAAGGGAAAGGTACTGTTTTCTTTGAGCAGACCGAGAAGGAGGGCGATTCTCAGCAGGATGAGAATGCCGTTGGTAAGAAGAGCGCTGCAGCACAAAAGAAATCCAACCCCTCCAGCAATGATGATGCGAGTGACCATGCCAAACGCCCCGGCAGGAGCAGCTACCACACGCCTCCTGGTATTACGTCGTCGCATTCGGCCGACGAGATGACGATGGGCTCTAGTCGTGCCCAACCTAAAAGAAGCTCTTCTGCCCATCGGTTGCTACTTGCGGGCATGTCGCGCTCCCCCACCCCCCATGGCAGTCCAAGGAAGGAGCGACTGAGCTTCCCCGGAATGATGCCTACTGTACCGACTTCTACCACGAATGCCATGTCTACTGCCCGAGCCGGTGGCGGGGAGGCACCTCCAAACACACCTATTGCCAGCGGTGCCCCTCGCGGTCGCAAGAACCGTCAAATGAAGCTCTTTACACGCCTCGGAATGCGCCGACCCGTGAGTAGCGACAAACTGTCAGAGATGGGAAGCAATTCAAGTCGCGATAATAAACGTGAAGTGTCTCCTTCGTCGGCCTTGGCATCTTCACCGTCCATGCCCCATATAGCCCTTGCAGAATCTGAGCGAGATCACGAAGAAGAGCAGCCCAATACGCCCCCTTCGGCACGCGCTTCGAACACGACAAACAACGGAGAATCTGTTGCCATTGATATACCCAATGATGGCAACGATAATGATTTGGCACACGGAGAGGACAAGTGTGAGACGGACGATGACGATGACCTGGGGATTGTAGTTTAGCACAAGTGTCCGTTGCAGCTTTTGTAGAGTTGCAACATATCGGTACATGAGCTACATACCGTTGTGGTTATCGAACATGCAGCATTGTGGCAGTTGCCAACCCAGACTCTGGGCAGCGAAGACAAGTAAGCAGCCAAAAAAGACAATTCCTACCGGTACCAGTGCCGATGTCATCACACTAGCAGTTCTGGAAGATTTGGAAACAAAACCAAGGCTGGTTTTAAAAGCACAGCTGGGTCTCTATCCAGAACATCAATACCGTCCAAGGCACTACGTATCACGGATACAGGCCAACCAAAGAGAGCACAAAGACAACATTGAATGGTTGTGCTGGCTCTCTAGCGGGGATGATCAGAACGAGGTTCCTGAGCAACTATTGTAAACTTTCAAGAATTAGTTGAAGATGCTTTAGTAAAGTTAGACGTCCAGGTTCTGCTTTGTCCGATTCCTTTCTATTTATTGTGCAGCATTGTTTTGTCCAATGACACTGTCGAATGGCCCGGCGAGCGAGAAGTCGGTCGCCGTAACTGCCATCTCTTTAGAAACTAGCAGTGAAGTTAGAAGGGATCACCGTAGCATCGCTTGCACGCGAGGTCTGAGAAGAATTGCTTCCTTCATCCTTCAATGAGGCGACGCCTTTGCTCTTCTTGACAGAAGCTTTGTTGTTGGCTAGTAGGGTATCCAAGTCGCCCCCATCGCTGTCCATGCGAATGACGCGTTTCTTGCTGGCCGAAGGGAAGGGGGAACGAGACTCGAAAGCCATTTGACGTTCGATGCTGGCCTTCTTTCGAGAGTACCATGCCAGCTTCCCTCGATCATCTTGCTGTTCCGTGTTGAGTTTGTTCAAGTCTCCCCTAAGCACTTCCATCTTTTCTTCCAATTCTGCTTGCTTCAATTTCTTGGCCTTGATCTGGTCCTTGCGACTCTCGGTTTTCTGCTGCAGGTGTCCGATCTTGCCGGACAGAATCTTGAGACGCTGTAGTTGCTCGGCCTTCGTTGCGGAACTCATTGGAGATTTCGCTGGAGTCGCACCAGTTCCTTTTGGTTTCCGAGTCGGGGTCTTGAAGCGAGGGGTCGAAGGGTCGAAAGACGTGGCTCCTCGTGGCGTGGTCGTGGAGACCGGCGTCTTTTGAGGAGTACCAAACGAGAACGTAGTTCGAACATCAGGGCTTTTGGGCGCAGTAGCCCCAGAATATGGCTTGGCTCCTCGTGGCGTGGTCGTGGCGGAAGCATCCGATTTCTTGGAGACCGGCGTCTTTTGAGGAGTACCAAACGAGAACGTAGTCGCAGTAGCCCCAGAGTATGACTTGGCCCGAGAAGCCGTAGCATCTGAGGATTTCTTCTGAGGCGTCGTACTACCAGTTGCAGAGACCTTGATGCTAGCTGGGTCAACAGCCGAGGACTTGCGACCAGGTGTGGTTTCAAACAAAGAAGTACCCCGAGCCTTTGGCAACTTGTGAGGAGTTCCTGTGCGACGCTTGGTCGACTTCAGAGGAGTCCCAACGCTGAAGGTGACGTCTTTCTTCTTCGAAGCTTTTTGAGCAGGGAGAGGACCGAAACTAACTGACTTCTTGCCACGAGTTGTACCGGTGTTCTTCGCTTTGCACAGGCTGCTGGAGCGTTTGATTGCAAGCTTGACTGTTGAGTTGCTGATACGGCAAGTGTCGTCTGAAGCGTACCCAGCGTCGTCGTTCTTAGGTGCAGTATCCTTGGCATCCACAGAGTCTGAGAATGTAGTCTTGCGACGCTTGTTGACGGGCGTGGTTTCTTTTCCAACGATTGCCGTTGGCTGTTCCGCACGGTTTCGCTTCTTACTAGGCGCGTCGCTGGTACCGCTAGTGTCCGTCTTGCCATCTTGCAAAGTGTCGTCATGGTCAGGTGAACTATCCTTGCTTGTTGTCTTCGTGGCTCGTGTAGGTGTACTATTATTATCTTTGCCCGTCGTCTTTGACGTAGTAACGGTAGCTTCTGGCGTTTTGTCCTGCACAGTTGCGTTGCGATCTGCTGTACCAACCGTCGGTGTGGTCTTCGTTGTACAAGCTTCTGGCGTGCTTGTCGTCTTCGTCTCGCTTGTAGGTGTACCATCCTTGCCTGCCATCATAGTTGAGCGCGCTTCTGGCTTGCCATCCTGCAAAGTAACGTCGCGGACGGGTGTGCCAGCCGTTTCTGTCGTCGTCTTAGAAGAACCGCCAGTAGCTCCTGGACTATCTGCTGGGCGAGGAGAGGAATGGACTTCTCGATTCTTGGTGTTCCCTTGCATCTTACGGTTGACTTGGGTCTTGGTGCCGCTATTAGGAGGGCTTTTCTTCTTCTTCTGAAGAGCATTGTCATGGTCGTTTCGTTTCGGTTGAACTTGACGGAGATTGGGTAGCACGTTTTCGTCGTTGCCGTTGACTGTGGTAGCTTTGGCTGGAGATTTCTTCTTCTTATTGTTCTGTCGCTTCTTCTTCTGCTTGACAGAGTTGGGAGTTCCAATAGAAAGCTTGCCAGAACGGGTGGTCACCATGGTTGACGATTGATTGATTGACGAGTAACGAACGAAAATAGACGCGAAAGAAAAAGTCGTTTGGGTTTCTTCTTCTTCTGCGAGAGATTGTGAGCCAAGAGCTGCCAAGTTCGAGCACCAAGCTCAATCGCCGAAAGAAACCATTTTATTTCAAAATCTGGTTTTCAGGTGAAGGCATCGTTCTTCGGTCTTGCCACATGAACTTGTTAGTTTCGAAATTTCATTTTGAAATTCCTTCGCGCGTCTCGGTGGCGTTTCTAATTGAACAGGTACTACGCTACTACTACTACTACTACTACTACTACTAGTAAAAGAGATACGCTACGCCAATAGTGCTTCTCGTAGTTGTACGTACTAGTGTATTGGTCTCTTCTCTTGAAGAAAGCAATGCTCTGGATTGGTATTCTGGAGCTGCCATTGCGGTTGTTTGAAATCTCGAGTTCGTCTTCAGAGTTGAGAAAGATACCCATTGCACGACTCAATGTCAATGCGAAGATACTCCCTAACCCTACAAATACCGATACCAGTGTTAACATGTTCTATCCATCGGACCATCGGCACCATCGGCCATCCGCCTTTCCTGGCCTGTCTTGTTGTTGTCAATGTCAAAGAGAGATAGATGATGCCTCTTGTCTTGACGATCCTTGTGCTTTTGTTATCATTCCTGGGAGCGTCCTCGCTGTCGCTTCTGGACGCAAGACGTCGGCATTTGCTCCTCAGTCCAGCAGCCGGAGCCCTGCTTCCGGTATTCTCGTCCTCGGCCGCCATTCTGGAAGTAGACGAGATTCAGTCCACCATCACGGGTGTCCAGTTTCGCGATGATCGAATTGGTCAAGGAGATGTCGTGGGAGGAAAGGACGTAGTAGTTCTGCATTTACAAGGACTTCGCCGAGATGGTTCTGTGATTGTCGACACTCGAGAACAGGGGCAACCGATACTGCATCAACTAGGGAGTGTGGTGAACTTTGATGTGTTTGGTGGCGATTCCAGTAAACGTCCCATTATCACTTTGGGAGTTGAAGATGGGATTCGTGGCATGAGATATGGAGGAATCCGTCGAATAGTCATTCCATCGCCGCTGGGATATGGTCATGCGGGTGTCTCTCGGTACGATGCGATGAAAATGGGCCTATTAAAACCTGTGCCACGCGATGAGCTCCTCCGCTTTGAAGTTGAGATATTACGATGTGTGGATGTACCATTTGGAGATGCCGAGAGCAACCCGAATGGTTTGGTAGCGCAGGCATGCTGCACAGAACCAAGCTATCCATGCAAGACGGACAGGACGGATGATGCCAGGTAATCCTCTCAGTAGGGATTCACAGGAGAAGTGGACACCGTAGTCATGACGTGTTGGAGGTGTGTCGCTGTCATAGAAAGTGGCGAAAAGAAACTGGAAGATCGCTGTCTAGCTAGAAATTAATGAGAGAAGCAATCGCACCACCCAACGCTGCATTATTAGTTTGTTGTGGTCAATAGTTTGTTCTCGTTACTAATCTGCCATCGGTACTGTACTGTTTGGCCGGATGAAGCGATTCAGGCTTTCTTCCTTGCTATTACTGGCTCGTTCGTGTTGGTTTCTAGTTCATTCTATCCTCTATAGTGTTATTTATGTCATGCAAATGCATGTGGTCAGAGTCTGTCGTATGGTGATGTTGGGGCAGATACGTTCACAGCCAGTGAGGCATGCTAGATGGTAGCGGTACAGTGTAGAGGTAGGTTGCTGATGAAAGGAACGATAGTCTTTGAAGTTAGGTATAGATTAGAGTGGACTATGGGGGAGAATGGGTTCCCGAGGAGGATGAGGGAAAGGTGAAAGGAATGATGAGGATCTGTTCCAACCAAGCTCTTGCGAGATGTTGGATGCGATGCGTTGTTTTGCTTTGTAAGGTTAAGGGTAACGTTAGATGCACATCCGCAAATCTTTGTGTGCCGCCAACAACAGCACAAAGCCACACCATGGACACCACCAAAGTGATGGATGAAGCAAAGCTTAGCAAAAAAGAGCGCAAGAAGTTGGCGAAGAAGGAACGCAAGGAACGAAAGAAGAGAAAGAGAGAAGCAGATGTCGAAGCTGTGAAGGAAGCGAATACCTCTGACGACAGCGTCAAATCTCAGTCCGTCAAAGACGATCCAACATCATTGTCTTGTAGTGGTGGAACAGTGGAGTCAAAACTTATGCCAACAATACAGAACCACCAAAAATCCAAAGAGTCACCAGCAGAACCACCCCTTAAGCAAACCAATGAAAAGGGGCGCCATCCATTTCAAGTCGATGAAGCAGATCATTGTGAAACTCCCTTTCGAGCCTATCAAGATATCATTGATGTATTGGATCAAATTGCCAAAGCATGCGGAAAAGACAGAAAAAGCTTGAAGATTTTCGACCCGTACTACTGTGACGGAGGAATCAAGAAAAAGCTGGAGAGCCTCGGTTTCCACAATGTCATTAATGACAACAGGGATTTTTACGACGATATTGCCAACGACCAAGTGCCTCCCCATGATGTACTCATCACCAATCCACCGTATTCTGGACACCACATGGAATCTCTCTTGAAGTTTGTGACCAACAATTACTACCACAAACACCACCACAACGACAAAGATAATCCTTCCAAAAAGAGGAAAAAGAACAGAGAACAACCACCCAAGCAGGCGTTGGTTCCCTTCCTCTTGCTGCTACCTCACTATGTCTACACAAAGCCATTCTTCCAAGAGTACTTTGATTCCAATGCCCGAGGAAGAGAGGGACACAGGGAATCCGACAGCAATCCCAACCGAGAACTCTTTTACCTAGTCCCCAAGAACAGTTACCGATACTCCTACGAACCTCCTTCATGGGTCAGTGCCGACAAGGGAAGCACGGCTCTATCCCGTGGAAAGACACAAACAGCTCCCTTTCCGTCTTTTTGGTATTGTCATGTACCCAGTCTCATGATGATGAATATGATGTTGGAGCCTAGTAGCAAAACACAATCCTCATCTTGGTTGGTGCAAACCTTTGGACCGTCTGGATCACATCATTCGAGTAGTAATAGCTCCAACAACAATCACCAACGGTTGCACTATGCCAACTGTACGGCACATCTCCCACGTGAGTTCAAGGGAGAATTTGATGTCACTAACAAACGACCCAATCCTCGAGCACGCAAACGAGCGGCCAAGAAAAAGACTCTGAATGGCAACAATAACCAGGAGCAATCGTCACAACAATTCACAAAACCAAACCAGAATTCCAAAGGACGCCACAAACGGACACCCACAGGACAAGCTAATAGCGGCGGGAAACCAAAGAAGAAACGCTACTGAGGAGATGCAACAATAAGATGGGATATGGACAATGTTTCAAACCATCAATGTTTCAAACCACCAAGTGAGCGAGGACGCCCCTAGATCCAGTGGGCTTGCAAGACCATCGATCCACTCTAATAGCGGCGGGAACAAACCAAAGAAGAAACGCTACTGAGGAGATGCGACAATAAGATGGGATACTGTATTGGAAAATGCTTCAAACCACCAAGTGAGCGAGGAAACCCCTAGATCCAGTCGGCTTGCAAGACCTTCCATCCACTCCTGGACTAGCTACGATGTAGGCATGAAAGGTTTGATTCGCAGAATGCGCAAGGGGTAATGACAGCTGTAGCTGGCGAGCTCACTAACTTGGGTAAGACCTTGTTGATCTCTTACAACTAGCTAGCAAGCAAGACTAATGCATCGATGTTGTGGTATTCCAGTGACAGTCCGTTGATTTGCACAGCAGATTGCACCGCGACCGTGAACCAGGTCCTACAATGTGGCCGCCAAGCAAGTGATGTCTTGCATGATTGAATTCAATCATTCAATCATATCAGTTGTGCCAAATGACTCGACTCTAAAATGATCGGTTGGGATTGGATTCGATAACTTGTGGCGAAGATGCTGGTTTGTCTGGACTGGACTGCCTATTTTGACGATAAAATAAAGAGGGCATCGGCACCAATCGTAGAGCAACGTTCGAGGGCAATCCCCCAATCCAACAGTCAACCAACAAATATGTAAATGAGATCCCAGTTCATCTTGCCAGATATCTAGAGCCGACCTGCATCTTCGCTTTCACCCGCGATACATCCAGTACCAATGACTCTGCCCGCAATAAATCCCGAAGGCTTTTATCTCCTGGAAACAGCTACCGGTCATTGTTGCTAACCAGTGTCTATCCTTACACCCGCTTTACAGTTGTGTCTACCGGTATCTCTGAGGCTTGTATCTTTGTTGTTGCTTAGCGAGTGATATTACACGGTAAAATTGGAGCAACATTGGTCTCAGAAGCCTTTCCTTCGTCTTGATAGCATTAAGCAGTTTGACTGGCTTGATGACCAGGTTTTTCACAAGATACCCGATGACTTTCGCTTTTCGCCTCAATTGGTGGGTGCATCGACACATTTCCATCAATGGGGATGATGGATGGACGAAGACTCTCATCTTTTCTATGCATGCTACTACCTGTTGAGTAATAGTTCTGCGTGTCCATCACGGTCCTACTTCTTTGGCTTGATGCAGAACACAGAGACGAACAGGACCAAAGATTATCTTGGTTCTGTCCGTTCAAGGCTTCTCCGAGATACGCGGAGAGGATTGTTCATTGCTCATTATTTCATCTCTTGACCTTGCTTCGCTGCCAGTACACGACACTAATACACTAATACACTACGAGACTATGAACATGGCCATGACGGTTGCACCCTTACTTTTGTGCTCGAACACTCCACCCACAGAGCGTAGGTTATCGGCAGCTCTACTAGGAGAGAAAGAGGAAGGAATGCTCTTGCTCCCACCACTCCACATGCCAATGTTTGCACTGAAAGAAGTTGAGTCTAGTACTAGTATCAAACTTGCCGATAGAGGAACATATGTATCCAAGGCAGTGTCCATACAAAAGGAACAGGCCATAGATAAGCACCATGCGGCTCGGGTCATCCAAAGGTGCTTTCGCGGATACCTGCAAGCTTACCAAAGGCAAGAACAAGCCTTACGGGCAAAGTTGCAGGCAATCCAACTGCAAACACAATCCGATCTAGAGCGCATTGCAGTTCAAAAGGAGAGAAGAAAGATTGAACTGCTTCTGGAAGTAGGCATGGAATCACGAGGAGAGTTGGCGGTGGAGATTCAGCATTCCGAGCAAGTCCTTCAAGAGTCCCGTGAGAGCATTGACGAGCTTACGTGCCGTCTCAAATTGTTCAAAAAGAGCAATGCGTTTCTGCAAAGACGATGCAAAGCTCTCAAAAGAAGGAATCGACAGCTGCGATTGGAACGAAGGAAACAATCACAGCTGAAAAAGAAGGCCAGACTAGAAAGGGGAAAGATGGAAGAAGGTCAAGTCATATTGACGCACTACCAGAATCGTGTCTGCGAAGAGACAGCACGGGTGCAAGAGGTGAATGCACAATTGGACTGCTGTAAAAGTGGCAACCGACGCATCCGGCAAGTAATGGGGAGAATGGTGCGATTGGTAGAAGAACGAGAAGAAGAAGAAGATGTCGACAAGTGGGATCTTGTCGACAAACTGTATCAGATACAGAGGGACACGCAACAGAAGCGAAGGTCCTACAATACTCCTATCCTTTCCTGTGGTAGAGGTCACAAACGTGTACACTCCCTGCCTACGGACATGAAGCGAGCATTAGCTGACTGCCCAAATATGGCGACAACGTCTCAATAGCATTCCATTGGTGCTGCAAAACAGCATCTGTAACACGACTAGCTAGTCACCTCATCTCCTCATCTTCTAACTAGCCAATAATAGCCTACCGTAGGGCCTGCAAGCTATTCAACGGCGTTTGTTTTTGGTTGTGGGAAACAACATAATGGCCCACTCAGCACTGGCGTCAGTGGCACCACCAAAACGATGGACAACCTGAAATCCAACCTTTTCATGTGCTCTCATGGATCTTGTGTTGCGGAGGTCAACAGCAGTCACGACATAGCGGAAATGAGGTGCCATGCGACGTTGATACTCTCGGTACATGGCGGAGGAAATCCCCTGTCCTCGGTACTCCTTGGCAACGCACAGTTGACCCACCAGCACATACTTTTTTGTTTTGCTGTTCCTGTCCTCCTCACCAAGCCGATCTCCCTCGTATACAACGGTATCAATTTGATCTACCAAGGGAGCTCCAGCGGGTATATCATGACGAAACTCAGGCAACATGACGAGAGCATAGCCAATTACTTTTTGGGTGTCTGGTTCTTTGGCCACAACGTGGGGATGGGGACTATTCATGCGCTGGAGAACATCAAAATCATGTTGAATGGTAACAAACCCTTGGGATTCCGCTTCTTCCTTGGAAATGTTCTTGGGCAAGTTTTTGGCCTGTAGTTGCAGGATACCTTCAATGTCGGCATCGGTGGCCTGCGCGATGATGAAGGTTTCTTGTGAATCTTTATCGTTCATGGCGCTCGTTGTTGGAGACGCCAAGTTCTGAGCCGAAACAGCACCAATGGTCGTCATTTTGTCTTATCTTTACTGTTTCTTTTGTATCCGAACAAACATAAACAATGAATCAAAGATATTCTCTCTTATGTTTAGGACAGTCAATGCATGATCCGCTTCCCTCCATCTGGGATTTTGCTGCAGGTCTGGTCTGCCTCGTTTTCTCGCTCGACCGTTTCGTGCGGGTTCTTGAAGCATCCACTTCGTTCTGGTCAAAAGATTCTCTCGTTGGGTCTCGTGATTGTCAATGAACCTGTGAAAGCAACTCGATAGCTAGCACTACTTATTACTGTACTTGCTAGCTAACTTCCACATGTGCTATCTTGTATTGGACCACTTGTAGCAGCAGTGCAACCTGGTTCCAGGGAAAGAAATTATTCTATCTTGTTGTCCAAAGGAAGATGGATGCTGGACCCACCGTTACCGGTGCCCTCGAAGCTCCGACAAAGATCCTTCTTGGGTTATGTACCGGTACATGTTCTGATGACATGTCGTTCGTCACTGAAGAATTCACGTTCGTCACTCGGAATTGTGACTCGACTGCGCCAACCACCAAATCAAATCGCCAATCCAAATAAATGCAAGCTGTCACGCCGACACCAATCACATATCTGGTTGCGGAAGAAGAAGCATTGCTTTGGGCGCTACACGTGTACCAGTACTATCTAGCTAGAATTGTTTTGTCATTATCGGATAGAATCAATCCTTTTGCAAGAGTTCTGTTTTATTAAGATTTCTAGGAGGAATGTTGCTAGTGTGGAAGAAACTGGCGCTGCTGTTACTGGTAGCACTGGAGGCCCGTTCCTTTAGCGTTTCGCAACAGAGGAATCGAGTGGGAATTCGACAATGGCAGTCTCTGCTCCTGATGAGTAGCCGCAGTGCCGCTAGCCAAGAAAGACGAGATGAAGAGAAGCGACGGAAGCAACGGAAAAGTGACGTGGTGATTGGCAAGACTTCGGCACTACGGGATGCCTCTGATTTAGCCTTGAATCCAAAGGCTACCGAAGAAGAATGGATGAGACAGGCTTCCAGGGAGGACCAAAAGGTATTTAGCTTGACAGAAGAAGGAATGGAGTCTCTGAAAATGGTGGGTAACGCTTTGATCAATGTGAAAATTGGCTTTATCTCCAGTTCTGAGCCATTAAGCTCTGATTCTATCGGAGATACCCATTATGCCTCAATCTTATCCTGTTTTCTTCCCCTCTGCAAACAACACTTTCATCTCTCCCCACATTTCAGCTGGATTTGGAAGATGCCAGTGCAGCATTTGACGAAGTCTTTAAACTCCGTCCCAATGCCTATTTGTGGCAAGCCGGTATTGTCAAATTCTATCTGGACGAGTTGGAATCAGCGGCCAACATTTTCGCCAATTCGGCGGCAATTTACGAATCCAAATTCGGTTGTCGTGCCAGTGAAGAACGCATCTGGAGACATGCCTGTGAATTAAAGATGGCACACTTGGCCAAAAAGAATAAGAAAGGACGCATCACACGAGAAGATCTGGATCAAGTCCGACAACAGTTGCAACCAATACCAGAACACGAGGAAGATCCCGATTCCCTCTTTGCCGAAACACGAAAGGTAGTGCGGATAGCGGGGGATTTGTTCGAATCGTCTGTCGACAATGATGCTGGAGGAGAAATCTTATCCAGGGCCAAATTACGATCCATTGGTGGCAACTTTGATGATCTGCCTCGATTTGATATCAAAATGTGGAAGTTGAATGCCTGGTACTACCTCGGGCTCCATTATGAGACGCTGGGAGAGGAAAACGAAAGCAAGGAATGCATGAAAATGGCAATTCGCAATGCTCCCAATACAGCTGGAAACGGTGACAATATCGTCCATGTACTGCCGTTGCTGCACATGTCGGAACGAGATTGGTTTGATGATGATGATATGGATGTCGACCCCTTGGAACTATTGAAACCATCCAATGACAATACACCATTCCATGAGTCGGCAGAAACAGCAGCAACGGAGGCAAAAAAGTCGACCAACTCCAAAAAGGTTGTAGACGCGGATCCTTTATTTTCCGACTCGGTGCGGAAAAGCATTGCCAAAATGACACTGCCTGAAATTCAAAGAGCATTGCAGGTTCGGGGAGCGTCGTCGATTGGATACAAGACTGAGCTTCAAGATCGACTCTTTGAATCTCTCATGAATGATTCTGGGTTGGCACCATAGGCTGTCATACAACGTAGCTGCTCTTGTATCATAGGATGAATAATTTAAAATACCGCACGGTAAAATATTAGGGAACCCAACAACACACGAAAACTGAAATCAGCAGTTGGAATCGACTTCTGCAGGTTCTAGAGCTAGCTAGATGTGGCACCAAGCTATAGCCCGCCAGGTCAGCAGTTAAGTCCAGGAAAATTGAAGCTCACGGCAGTTCTTTAGCATGCTCCAGAAGGGATGTGGCGGGAAGACTTGCACCCTGGGAATCGAATCCCTCTTCCTGGCCTGTTTCTTTGAAGGCTGCCTCCAGAACGGGCCTGGGTGTTGCGGCCAATGTTTCGCATACCGGTATGTTTCTTTGTCTCTGGTTGCTTCATTGTTGTCGTCCAAAGGTGTGACTACTACCGGTAGCCTACCGGTAGCTAGCTCTAACCTGCTCAGATGGATTGATTATTTATGGGAAGGCACCGGTCGCCCTTACAAAGTCGTCGGCCAATGCGCCGTTGGTCATCACAACGTTCTTTGATCCGCATTCGTGCCGGTATCCGTGACTGATCAGTGATTGAATGAGAACGATCTTTGTGTCAACCAAAAGAGAAGCCTCCAAAGCGATCTTTCTTCGCTGATGCCTCCAGCTTCCTTCTCATCACCTTGTCTCAAAGCTCATAAAACAGAACATACAGTCAACAAGCTCTCCGAGTTCACTTCTTTTCATCATCTACGTACATCACCACCGCCATGCTCCGCTCTCCTTACTTGCTACTCCTCGCTCTTTCAGCTGCATCGGCAACCGAGGACAGTCATGAGATTGAAATCCCCAGTGTCTTCAACCGCCGGGACGGGAAGGTCCAACATTGCGAAGAAAACGCCGTGGTCGGAGCCTGGTGTAACAGCCACGTCTTTCAGGATATCGAATGTGGTCTCCTCCCCAATTTTGACGAGTACGGCTGCCAGTGCTTCAAAGATCCCAGCAAATGTCCGTCCGAATGCGTGGGTGGCAGCGAGCTGGTCGAGAAGACGCACTACGGGATTGTCTGTCGCCATTTGCCGCATGATTCTCCCAATTACGTGCTCAAGGAGTACCACGAAATGACGGGCTGCGAGAACAACTCGGTTGTTGCTGCCTGGTGCGATGACTATGTGAATCTGCATTTGGAATGTGGTCTCTACCAACAGCTCGATCAATACCTCTGTAAATGCAGTGGCAAGGCGGCCAACTGTCCCCTCGAATGCCTCGATGGATCCGAACCTCTCGTCAAGACACAGGGAAGTGTCCTTTGCAGTGGTATCCCGGCCGATAGTCCCAACTATATCTTGAAAGAACCCAAGAAGAAGAAGAAGGCAGAAGAGAAATAAATAGGCAAACTTGGTGGGCTTTCCAATACTAGAGTATGACTTGAATCATTCAATCTAGCAACCTAATAACGCAACCTATATGGCGGGTATTCAACATGTTTGTGATTTACATGTAGTACCGGTACCGTAGCGTAGCTTTCAGTGATGCGCGCTCAGAATGCATGTGAACATGCTGCAAGTGGGGCCGTGAAATTGCCCATACCGTATCGGCCTACCGGTACCGATACGCAACTATGCACTACCCGTGGTGGTACGGGATGACTGGATGAACGAATCGAATCAAATCCACTTGTGCGTCCCATGCAAAGCCTTAGATACCGGTACAGTGGGCTGATGTGAGAATGATGTATGTGTCATCGGAATGAGAGAACTATGAATTAATTCTATTCTAAATCTGCAAAGCCTACTTTTGCTTTGCAACTTTTGATCCTCTCTATGCAGTTTCCATTATGCGCTTTGTTCCTTTTGCCTTCCGTGCTATCGGTACCTGGTAGATCTACCGGTACAGTATAGTAGCGAGCACGCACACTGGCTACCCCGCTCTACTAGACATCACTGATCAACTTTTTGAAACTGAAGATTGTTCCAACAAGCCCAATGGCTCCCCCCACTACAAGGATAAACGCCGCCAGTCTGGTGTATCCCTGCAATTTGAACGACAGCAGGCCTGGTAGAACAAATGCCATTGCGGTTCCACTCGCAGATCCCACCAGGTCTAGAATGTCTCCCAGGTTGGGCGAAACAATAGCCAGGTAGGTGGAAGCGCCCCAAAACATGGTAGACAAGAGCACATGGTAGACCAGTGACAATTGCTTTTCTTCTCCCGGGAGCATCACTGGGATGCAGCCACGGCTGGGTCGTTCCTCAAAGATGACCGATGTGGAATCTTCCGCATCGTCATCCTGTTCATTTGCGGCAGTCTCTTCGTCCAGCAGGGGTTCCTGTAGTGCATCGTCCAAAGAGGTAGATTGTTGTTGTAGTTGTTGTGATGATGGTGCTGCAGCAAAGAGTGGCTGAATGAAAAAGACAATCAGGAGCTCTCGACACGAAAAGAACGGCAATGGAAATGTCAAGAGCATGGTAACACAGAGGAGTAGTTTGGCCAGATCGACAATTCGGAGAGGTGGATACATGTCAAAGAGGTCACTCCGTGTATCTTGCCAAAATGTCATGTACACGACCAACCCCACAGTGAGCGAAATGACAGTGGCAATGGAAATGGACCAAGAAGATACCCGCTTCCAAGTGTCCACCGTACGGATTTCGGGCCGCAGACTTTCAAAGGCGAGGTTTACCGTATGCTGTGACACGAATGTAAAGACAAAGGTTCCCCAGCTTTTATATTCATTCAATGTGTCATTGAAATTCAACAATGGCACAAGTGAGTTGACTTTTTTGTTTGTCTGTCTCCATTGCAATCTGATTGCTCTGGTCTACTAGCAAGGCTCACGCACCTTTCGACGTATCCAGGTCGGATTTGAATCCAGTTTTGGTAGGTTCCTTCTCCCTCATGCCGAATATCGGGTTCCGCACAGTATATGTAAAGAACAATGAGGACGATGGAACACATGGAAGCAATACTGACAGCTCCCAGACTGGACAAGGGTGTCATATCTCGGAGGAGACAAAGTGGTAGAATGACACAAATTCCCAAAACCCACGTCACCGTGTCTTGGGCTCCCTCTCCCGACAAGAATTGGTGAAACCAATTGTGATGTGAATTGTTGTTGTCTCCATAGAGAAAATGCCGTAGGGCGGGTGCAAAGTTATCCTTGACGACAATGATATACGCCACCAGACATCCAAACGAGTATAAAAACTTGGACAATAGCACGGCGAGGCGACCCATTCTTCCATACGCCATGTAGCCCAGTTCCTCGTAGGAAGCCGATCGCTGTTGTGGAGTCGGAGAATGTTCGACACTCATAATGACGACCAAATCGAGTGACAGCTTGGTCAAGAGCGCAAAGAACAGAATGGTAAAGACCGATATCAGACCGCCCGAGTCTGCAAAGGCGCCTCCCAGACCAATCGCACCCGCTCCCACAATGCAATTGGTAAAATTGAAAATGGCGCCTCCCGTCGAGGAACCATAGGAATCATCTACAAACAAAAACAATCACATGCCAACAAAAAGTCAGTGAAACTATCCATAGAGGGACAATCATCACGATTGAAACTAAGGAAACATACCGAGATCCTCGTGTCGCACTTGTGCCACTGGCTCGGATGAAGCGGCCTCCACAGCCGGAGACTCTCCTTCTTCTGTCGACGTTTCCGTTGGATTGCACATCTTGCTTGATAGCTAGCTACTGGAGGGGAAGAATTTTGTTGTGTTGGAGATCTTTGAGAGAAAGCCACAGACAGCAAAGCAAGTATGTAGACAGCAAGTAATCTTATCTCCTTTTGCCATCAGAATGATCAGTGTCAGAGTCGGAAGGAGAAGAAAAACTGCGTTTGGCTCGGAACGAGGTGGAAGCCAACGGAGTTGCGAATGCACCACCGACATGTACCGGTACCTCCCTCAAGAACAAAAATATATTTGTCTTGGTTTACTATTAGTAGTACAAAACTGCAGTACATGTACCTACATATATCTACAAAATTAAGGTAGAAAAGCCAGAGTTTTGTGGCACTTGCAGCAGCTCACTTGGAATGAATATATTTACATTAACTAAATGAAGGATGCTTGCCACCTGCGGTACCACACTTCATTCCCAATAATGCGATGCTAGCTCTCGGAGCCACCGCGCATCAATCGTGGAGATGGACCTCAGTTCAATGCCCCCTCTAGTTCCATCATGGGTCTCACAAAAGATAATGTATTCACTGCTGCTGCCATGCGAGTGAAACACACTGGCACGGCTGGGAGTGACAAGGATATTCTTGCGAATGGTATAATACCGGCCGTCGTTTGCCAGTTTTGCCACATTGAAAAAGAATCCAGCCGTGACGCATTTCCGAATGGCACGGCTGCGTTCTAGAGAACCGCCACCACCCGCGGCACCAATCCCCGCGGCCAACCCAAACGCCTTGATCTTGCCGTACTTGCGCAAGAATGCGGTGAGCTGGTTGCGAACCTCGAGTGCACGCCGTAGAGCAATAGGATGCAAGAACCGCTCGCGGCATTCGTCCTCGTCCACATGGATCCGACTGCTACTGATACCGCTGCGATCATCATGCTCGGCAATAATATTGGCGTACGTGACATGATCTCCACTGGGATCGGCAACTTCCGACATGGCAGCTTCGTAGTCCAACAACCGTTGCTGGCTCTGTCCGCCACCACCCCGTGGCTTGACAAACAATTGTCGTACTTGCATGGCACTGGCCACACTCAGGATTTCCCAGGAACAACCAATCTCCAACGATTCCAACAGCATACGCGCGACTCGAGGTTCGGTGGGAAACGCCGACATGTCCATTCCCAATTTGGTAAGATTGGTCTTGTCGTCAATGGCACCCAGTGCGTAGAGACATTCCAATCCATGGGAGAGGGCATCAATACTGGGCAGATCCAACAAATCAAAGGACAATAGATTGTCGACTCCCAGAGCTTTGAGCGTCAATATGAATCCTGTTAGATTCGTTCGTAAGATCTCTGGCGGAGTCTGGATTGGCATCTTGTCCACCATGTACTTTTCCGTGTACAGACGATGGCATTTGCCGGCTTGGACGCGTCCTGCTCGTCCCGTTCGTTGTCGAGCACTGGCATGGCTAGTTTCCGTCACGATCAATCTATCAAAGCCCGTCTTGGGATCAAAGTAGGGTAGTTTGGCCAATCCACAGTCCACCACATGGGTAATGCGTGGTACCGTCACGGATGTTTCGGCCATGTTGGTGGAGAAAATGATGCGACGACGTTGTTGCTGTTTCTTGCCTCCTCCTCGATCTGCTTGTTGAAAGACTCGTGCCTGCATCTGGTAGGGCAATGCACTATACAGAGGTAGGCAATCGACGGGTTTGAATCGTTTCCTACTAGAGGATGATGATTGTTGTTGTTGCTGCTGATCCAATGTTTCTTGTGCCATGCGAATGGCGTGATCAATGTCTTCCCCCGAGGGTAGAAAGCACAGTATGTCGCCAGCCATTGGTTCTTGGGCGTGTATTTCCAGTGCTGTCTCGACAGATTTCTTGATGTAGTCGGGTGCTGGTTCTGCCAAATACAGAACATCCACGGCGTGTTGACGTCCATCCACAGAGATGATCGTCCCAGTTTGCAGATAGTTGCTTTCTGGTTGTAGTTGGTTGTCGTCATTCTTTTTGGAGGCATCTTCTTCTTTGTTTTTGGGCTGATCCCATCGACTCTTTCGTTTCTTGGCCGGAGGTGGACTATCTGTGCTCTTGTCACCTTCCGAACCACTCTTACCCTTGCTAGTACTACTATCAGTGCTGTTGCTGTTGTTTCCCACAAAGAACTGCAAGAATGCTTCGGCATCAATGGTAGCACTGCACACAATGACTCTCAGATCGGGTCGTCTTTTTCGAATCTTTTTCAATAATCCCAACAATACATCGGAATTGATGTTTCGCTCGTGTGCTTCATCGACAATCACCACCGAGTAACTGGAAAGCAGTGGATCTTGTAGGGTAGCTTCTCGCAGCAAAATTCCATCCGTGACAAACTTGATGCGGGTCCGATGAAGCGTGGTACAATCATCAAATCGCACCGCATATCCCACCACACCTCCCACACTGCCACTCCCCTCTTCGTGTGCCACACGTTGGGCCAAGGTTTGTGCCGCAATGCGCCGTGGTTGCGTACACACTATTTGAAAATCATTCTCGTCCGATGCCCATCCATTCTCGTACAAAAACTGAACCAACTGGGTCGACTTGCCACATCCCGTTTCTCCCACAAGCACGACGACTCCATAGTGTTCCATGCTGTATAGGAACTGACGCTTGTGTTTGTAAATGGGAAGTAGCATCCGTTGCTGGGCCAACGGGGCACGGCTAAAGTTGAACGTGGGAGCATCCACGCCTCGATCCTCATTGTCATCTCTTAATACAGAAGAAGAAGATCGATAAGCGGAGGAGGACGACGAAGCTGGTTTCCAAAAACTCATGGTTCATATTTCTTTTGCTTGTAGATCTACTGTAGCATTTCAATTTCAATCTACTCAAGTCCAAACACCAAACGAAAGGTAGCTATGGCCGAGCGGTGTCGTTTCGTTGTGTGTTGCTGTGGTGCCATTGTGGTGGTTGCAAAAGATACCGGGCCCGTTCATTGGGTTGAACTTCCTTTCACAGCTTTGCTAGCTACTGTAACTCTGCTGTCTTTGAAGCAGTCAATTCTCGTTCCACGTTGACCAGTCGATTTTAGGTACATTAAAAACTTCCACGCTTGCAAAGCTTCCCTTCGCTTCGATGTCCACAGAACGGAGAGGTGTTTCATAATCTCACAACACCATCGGCAGCCGCCAAACTAAATAACCAAGAGCTTTTGATTGCATACCGTTACCATGTCTATGATCACCGACGACGAACCTGCTAGCATTGACGTGTTGTTGCAGCAGAAGGATATCTGGGTTGGGAAGATCTTGCCATATCTTGGCATGGGACACTATGCCTTTGTTGGACCTGCCAACAAACAACTCAATCATCTCTACAAGGCGTACTGTGAGAATGTGAAGAATCCTCCTTTAGTCTGGGTTGGATGGAAGAAAACTGTGGCAATGAGCACTGGCACCTTCTATAGTGTAGCATTCTACAATGTGGCGTGTGCAGAATTCTGGTACTCTCGACCGAAACATCCTGAGCAGGTCGATCAATGCACAGTCATTGCCAAGGTTGGAAGCATCCCAGTACTTCAGTGGGCACGAAAGAAAGGTATTCCATGGACTGAGTACACTTGTGTAGCAGCTGCCAAAGGTGGGCATCTGGAAACCTTAAAATGGTTGCACAATAATGGTTGTCCATGGAATGCTGGGACATGTGAAAGAGCTGCTGCATATGGACACTTTGAAATTTTGAAATATGCTCATGAGAATGGCTGTCAATGGGATTCATGGACATTCACAGAAAGTGCCAGGAATGGACATTTCAATGTTTTAAAGTATGCGGGTCAAAATGGATATCCATGGAGTGCTCGCACATTTGAAGGAGCTGCTGAAGGTGGGCATCTGGATATTATGAAATGGCTCCATGAGCATGGCTGTCGGTGGAATTGGGAAGCTTGTATAGCTGCCGCCAGAAATGGTCATCTCAACTGTCTGAAGTGGCTCCATGAGAATGGCTGTCCATGGGATCCATGCATTTGCTACATTGCAGCTGAAAAAGGAAATTTGGAAATTCTGAAGTATGCCCATGAAAATGGTTGTCCCTGGAATGTGGAGGTATTGATCAGGGCTGCCGAAGGTGGACACTTTGCAATCCTAGTTTATGCTCATGAAAATGGCTGCCTTTGGGATTCAAGTGTATGTGCAGAGGCTGCTAGATATGGAGATTTGAGCATGCTAAAGTATGCTCATGAACATGGCTGTCCATGGGATGAAGCAACGTGTACAGCAGCTGCTGAACATGGCCACTTGGAGTTGCTCAAGTATGCCCGTAATGGGGGCTGTCCTTGGGATTCAGCAGCATGTTCATCCGCTGCATTTTGTGGACGTCTTGACATTTTGAAATGGCTCCGTGCCAATCATTGCCCATGGGATGCTTTGACAGTGAGAACAGCTGCATTGAAGGGGGAGAAAGAAGTGATGCAGTGGGCACTTGAAAATGGCTGCCCAAAGTGGAGTGGTTTGGGTGGTGCTCTCACTGGCTAGGTCCTCAAATTTGTCACCCCTGATCCCACGGAACCAAGCCCCAAATTTCACCTCTTGCTTGTCTAAGCATGCCTCCCTGTTGGCTGCCATTAGATAACTTCCCTACTAGACTACTGATACTCTAAACTTCCTCCACAATTCCAACCAAAGTACATGTACATGTAATTATGCTCCCAACGGCATTGCAGCCTTGCTGGTTGGATCTTCCTTCGCGCAGCGCATTGGCATCGATGCAAAAGGGCATCACAGACCAAGAAAACAAGAAAACTTGGATGAGAATCCCTGCATCCATCGGCCATCTCCCACAATCCAAATCTCTACCGGTAGAGCTAGAATAGCAAACATGAAGCAAGCAGCATCTCCCCTCAATGGTGGTCAATCAACCAAGCGCCCTCGAAAGAAGATGTCTGACGATAATATTATTGGAGAATCCCCTGTTCATGTGGTCCAACCATCTCATCCAGATTTTCAAAATCCCATTGACACCAATCCGAACCATAATAATGGCAACAATCTGTTGTCTGATCTCCTGTCTCCCATGACGCCCAAAGAATTCATGACCCAGCATTTCCGGCAACGAGCTGTACATGTCAAAGGATCCACTTCAAATAATGAAAATGGCAGGAAAGAAAAGAAACAGAAGAAGAATCGCTTCCAACCAATAATCGAGGATGGCATGCTAAACTTGGATCCCCTGGAATTGGCCAAAGAAACCAGTTCCGATTCTATTTTTGTTTGGCTGGCGACTCATGATACCCAAAACAAGGAATCTACCCAAGACGACAACAATAAACCTTATCCCCATCCCCTGGTTCATAGCATTGAAGTGCCTGATCCCGAGAGTGCCAATGCCTTGCATCAGGCTGGTCATTCCCTTTATTGTCGAGCACCACCACCCGTTGAACAAGTCCTGGTCGCCCAACTACTTCGAGACACGGGACTGGGGTGTGGCCAATATGATCCTTCGGGAGATTCCATGACCAGTCTGGCACGGGGTGAAGTGGAAATGTTCTTGACATCTCGATCGGGTGGAGTCACCGATTGGCATTTTGATTTCCAAGAAAACTTTACCCTGCAATTGAGTGGTGTCAAACGATGGACGCTGCAGCGGGGGACCGTCCCGCACCCTCTACGGGCATGTACGCCACATTACAAGGCTACCAGTGTGGTGGAAAATCAACTCAAGGCGACACAATTGGCAACACAAGATTTTTGCTTTGAACCGCCTACTACTACTACTGCCAATAATAACAATAATACCAGCAAGCATGGTAACGATACCAAGGGGCACCACAATGCCGTTGGACCCACCGACACGGCAACGTTGCATCCGGGCGATGTCCTCTATTTCCCTGCAGGCATGTGGCACAAGATCGAGGTTCTGGAACCTGGAGTCTCCATCAACATCTCGCTCATGGCCGCCAACTATGCCACTGTCACTTGCCAGGCACTCCAACACTACCTGCTGCAAAAGGATGAATGGCGGCAAGTGTTGGTACACAACCACGACCACAAAACCCTCAATGCCGTTGACCATTTGAAACAGCTCTTGAAAGATTTGCCAAACATTATTCAAGACTTTGCACAAAACCAAGGCGGAGCCAGTGCCATATTGCCACCGGTGCTCTTGCAACCACCAAACTTCCAGCCAGAGGATGACGACAAGGAATCATCCGAGCCCGACGATGACCAAGAGGAAGAAACGAAACCACCCGCCAAGAAAGCAAAAGTCGATGTTAGTGCGGGGAAGGGTAGCGATGACGACGAGGATGACATGGAGGATGACGCCGTAGAAGCAGAACCAGATAAGAGCGAATGGGCGGACGTTGCTGTGGAAGAAGAGACAGACGACAACATAATCGACGCCTGTGAGTTCGAATACCCTGCCGGCTATACTGGTCCTTGTTCCATTGATGATGATGATGATGATGATGCTTCCAAGGAAACTTTCAAGCTGCTGAAGCAACATCGCCTGATTTGCAATCCTCTGGCCTCGTTGATTCGAATGGATCAGATCAACGGATACTTTGCACGACGGTTGGGCAAGGAAAGCAGCGACCAAGACAATCTGCTGTTTGTCCTCAACATGAACTATGCTGGGGTGGAAAGCCATGAAAGTGCTGTCCGAGTTGTCCTACGAGATGATGCTGACGGACAATTCCTGAACCAACTATACCAAAACAGGAAAGCTGCAGCCAAAAACGACACGACAAAACGTCCACAAAACCTTGTGGACGACAAGGCGATGAAGCAAGTCGTGAAGGATTGCCCCAAATTGATTCATTGCTTACTTTACTATGGCTATTTCATTCTGGTGCCAATATCAGCAAAGTGAGCTGGAAAACAAGGATTCAGTCCTCTTCATCCGACAACCCGATCCAATCGATTCCTGGTTTGCTCAGCTCCTGAAATAAGGAGGAACCCATGCCTGGTCCCACACCCACACCACCGCCAGTGGCCAACTCGGTCCGAGACATTTCATTGTTGGGCTTTGCTTTGTTCGCAACCGCTTTGAGTTGGCACGATGCTGGCAGCGGCTTGGTTGTGGCGCTTGGTTGTGATCCTAGCGAGCTTTGCTTTTGTGGTTTGTCTCCTTCCTCATCGGAAGAGGACAAGTCCAAAAGACCCGTGGCATCTTGCAACACCGATGTGGTCGTCCAGAGCTTGGCGGCAGAAGGTTTGGGTGGAGACTTGTCATAATATCTAGGAGATTTCTTTTTGGAAGTTTTGGACTTTTTCTTTTGTCGCTTCTGGGGTAGGACGCCTCCTTGAGACGAGAGACACTCGTTTGCCACGTCCTGGTCTGTATTACTTGCTTGACTCTGACTCGCTCGTTTGGCCGTGAACTGAGAAAGGTCTGTTCCAGGATTCTTCTTGCCAGCCTTATTGGAAACAGGAGCGTTCCGATCAGCCGCCACCTGCGATGGGCCCGATTGTTGTGGCTGCCTGAACGTTTTTGGTGCGTTGGTTGCTGCAAACTGAGACAAACCGTCCTCAGACTGGTTGGCAGTTACAGGAGTGGCAGCAAACTGAGACAATTCACCGTAGCATTTCTGCCCCGACGCCATTGAACCAGCGTTGGATCCATCATCCCAGGTTTTCTCGTGATACGCGGGATGTTGTTGTGAAGGGGTTGGCTGTACTCCAAAGGCTGCGAACTGGGACAATCCTGGCTGTGCCAATTGTAGTAGTGGCTCCTGGGCATTGTTGTTTTCCTTGCCACTTGCGTCATTGAATTCTCTTGTATCTTGCGACATGGATGGCTGTAGCACCAGCGGTTGGGACATGGTTACCCTTCGAGAACGGTTTTTGTTGGATTTGCTCTTCCGAGAAGTGTTGGGTTGGCGTTGAGGATTGCGCGGATCGGTGACTAGATTTCCACCCAATGGCTGTGTGGATTGTTGCCTCGTTGCTGGAGTTGCAGCAGTTGACATGGTGCTTGTGACTGCCAAATCGTTCTCCACTCTTTGTGACACTTGCAACGACTGGGATTGGGTAGGACCATCCATGATGGATTTCCACAAAATGGCATTGGGGTCGTCGTCATCTTGCAACATCTTGTCCGAGTTGTTGGATGGGAGTGGGCCAGACGGTTGGGGCTCATTGTAAGTAGTGTTTGTACTTTTCAGTGGTTGCTGCTGCTGTTGCTGTGACAACATGAATGGTCGAGACGGCTGTCGAAAGGACAACGAGTGAGGGTGCAACGACGTAATTCTGGGTCCTCCCAATTCTCCCATTTCGTCGTCGTCATCTGCAAGTCGTTGATAGCGGTGATCTCCATTATAGAAACGATCAAAGTGATCATCTTCTTCGTCCTCTTCGTCGTCGTGTAATTCCTCCATTTCGTCATCCTGCGACATACCATGATGATTGTTGCTATCATTATTATTATTTGCATATTGATTCTTATTGTGGAGATCATTATGATTGTCGGGTACTTCATTGAGTTTACGATTTTCCAGAGCCAACAATTTGTGGGTCCCATGGCGTGCCTTGCGTCGTTCAATCCATGCTTTGTACGTGTCTTGGTCAATCGTATTGCGCAAACACTGGGGAGTCCACACTTTGGTGACGTGTTCTTGTCGAATCAAGAGCATGCGATTGTTATTATTGTGTTCCTCCTCTCCCGGCAGCAGTCCATCTTGCAACATGAGACTCGCGTCTTGGATACACCAGACATATCCCGGTCGAATGTATCGTTGTTGTGCTGACACAACCAAGTGATCGGCACCATGTCGTTTTTCCGATTGCGCAAAGCCCGGTGCAATCCAAGCTCGAATCGATGCTCCCGTGTCATCTTGCAATTCCACCGTCCTGGTTGGAAAATAGAAAATATGATACACAAGTGGTGTGAGATCTTGAGTACACTACAATTGATGATTGGAGGATGACTATATACTCACCAAATATCATCATGATGACACGCCACCGACTGCACCAAGACAATCAGCTTTTTCCCCTCTGGTAATTTCCACAGCGCAGCATCACACAGTATTTGTGGCAACAAGACGTAGTCACTATCCATGTGTGGTCGCTGACAATGATACCGCGTAGCCATGACCATGGACGTGGTGACATCGGGAACCATCCATTGGCAGTCACACTGCATGGCCGTCCATGCTGGATACGTGGCCACAGCGACGGCTCTCGATTTGCTGGATTCCTCTTCTTCTTCATTCGATGGTCGATGCTGGAGAGGCGCGGCATCGTCTTCTTCTTCTATTGTTTGCGCCTGATGTGGTTTGTTCGTCTTATTATTGTTGCTGTTATTGTTCGACTGAAACCAAGCACCTGCCGGACCAGGAGGTGGATGACGCTTGCGTCGTTTGGGAGCCTTGCGGGGTTTCTGGATGATGGATGGATCTGAAGGATTATTATTGGGAGGAGGAAGCTGTGGATTGTGGGAAGAAGGTGGAGGCCCCAGTGGCTGGGGATTGCCTGAGTGGTACTGAGAGTAGGAAAAGGAGGCGTCAAAGCAATTGTAAGAAGAAGGATCTGCCATGGTTACTGTTGCTTTGTTTGTTTCATGCCTGCCTCAACTCGACTGTTGAAGCCTGTCATTCTGTCATTGGTTTTCTCGTTGTTCCCCCTTCCCAAGTCACGTTTATGACGTCACTTGACAATAAGATGAATGTGTGCGTCTGAATGCTAGCTAGGAGAGTCCCGCCAGGAAACTTCATGAGACAGAGACAAGAGACATGAGCCAAGAGCCAAGGGTGTTGGAAGTTCATGATTCCATTCCCTTATTCTGTATATTATTATTATTATGTGCGGGTCATCAGCAGCAGAACTACTCACTCTCTTCAATAAACTCAACTAGAAAGCTGTTTGTCTTAGCTGTACGTTGTCTTTGTGTTGTTCGCCCAACATTTATTGAAGAGAGTCCGGTGCTGAAGCTATCCTAACTCCATAGCATCGACAAGAAAGAAAAGAGGAGTTCTGAGCAACCAGGAGTGTTGCTGTGACTTTGACAGATAAAAGTTACTTTGAGAAAACATTGCATCAACCGCAATCCGAGACCATTATTAGTGCATTTGAGAACAAACAAGAATTACAGGAGTGCTTGAGATTACCTGGTTGGTCACCAGAGTGCACATACTGTTCTGTATCCCTGGAAAATTGGAGTGGCTCTATAGCCGGCTCTAGAAGTGCAGGTTACCACACCAAGAAGAGTCACGACGGAGAGAAAATATAATACTATCTCGTCTACGAACGCACCAACAACCAAGGCAGTCAATGAGGACAACTGTCAACTTGCTACATGAGGAACAAGTGTTGCCGAAGAAGCCACTAAATAACAAACACCAACAGGAATTTTATACGAGAAAATCCGAGTCCTCTGCTATCGCGCAAGCACGACTCAAAGCTAGTGAGCGAGCTACCACTAGAGAACAAGAGATAACAACGATCCCGACGATGATAACACAACAAGCTACGGCTACCGCTACCTTACCGACAAGAATGACGCAAAACGCACCGTTATCCGTGAAGATATCAATTTTCGCGATTTTGTGAGGCTTTCCGAAGCATGTCATTTCGAAGCCTTCTTCTTTCCACCGTACGTGGTGAAGTGCTTTCTTTTCCGTGCGGGTCAAGATCCAAAGCCTTTTCGATGTGCAAGTCATTCAGAATCCTTTCTGCAATCACAAGGATTTCCCGTGCTGCAGTTCTCGAGAGATCCTCAACCAGGATTCTTCCGTCCTCGAGCAAGATCTTGCGATCTTTCGAAGCACCATAATGTCGTACGTCCAAGCAAGCTCTCGTTTGAAGCTCTCCATGAAGGATCTTCGAAGCGCAGGAGTGAAGTGAGCATTCGCTCTCGAGTACGTCGTCCGATCAGGCAACAAGGATCTTTTAGAATCCTTTTCCGTACCGATCATTCCAAGCAATCAAGCCCTTTTTACGTCCTCAGGTAAGTTCCTATCCGGGAACATGTGGTTCGTACGTACGCCGAGAAACACATTTATTTTAGTTGGTCGTTCGCGAATGTGGCTTCATTCTTAACCATTTGAACCAACCGGAGGAGATACGCGGTACGCGAAGCCACATACAATACTCCCTCCAAACCGAATTGGTTTAAGTAAGCAGGGCTGGTATTGCACTATCATTACCGGTGTACCACGAAGCGATGGCCAGCTAGTAGCTAGAGTACCTGTACTAGTACTAGCTAGCTAGTAGCTTGCTTCGACCCAACAATCCAATGTATTAGAGTTAGAGATTCGTGAAGCGACTGATTGAGTCAGCGGATCGACAGGCTCGAGCGTTTTGATTGGTCCTACGCGAATTCCAAATCCATTCATCCGGCAAACCACAGCTCCACTTTTTTACTATAAACATTTTCTGCGGTTCGCCGTATCTGTGGATTTGTTGGCAGTTATTTCGATTTATTTTGATTTCGCGTACGTACGGACGTCATTTTGGCTGGTTAGGAACTTCCCTCAGCCTTATCAACAATACACAGGATCTTATTTGTGACGCACGGCACGACTGCCTACACATCCAGCCTCGTAGGCACTCTTTGCAGAGCTGGAAGTCATCTCCTTGAGAAGACGATTGTTGTCGTCCGCACCAGCAAGCTTGAGTCCGGCGAAGATCTTCTCCATATTCGTGGCCCACTTGATGGTCTCACGTGGAGTGTTGGAGCTATTGATGATGGCTACCTTGAAGGTGTACTTGGCACTGTTTGCATCTGCAGGAATAGGGCGAAGTTTGTAGATGGTGGCACGAGAATCGTCGATCTCGTTGTCTTCGTCATTGTCGACGAGAGGAAGAATGTGTTTATCACGCAACTGTTCTCGAAGTTGCTGAACGCATGCTTTCCTTGAGCAATCTTCATAGTGAAGGAATAGGTTGAGGGTAGCTGAAAGCTATTGTGTTTGTTAACAAAATGCACTACGCTAAAAGCTAGTGTAAAGATCTTTCGAGTGTTTTGAGTTTGAGAGAATGAAAGTTATGAGAGAGATTAGAAAGCTACGAAAACTAATCCATGAGAGAGATCGTTGTGAAGCTCATTGAACTTGATCTCCAGTGGGAGGCCTCGAAGTGTGATATCGTAGGTTATGGTAATGACTCTACGTACTCCACGGTCCAATTTCGGAACACGTGGAAACTTCAGCCAGTAGCTGTCTAGTAGCGTGGAAGCTTTCCACGCAGGCTGAATATCTAGAGCGATGTTTCATCGACAACCTAGTATGACTAGCAGTCATGAGAACCCTATCTCAATGACTATTCGCGAGGGACTACGTCATGAGTCGAACTCAAACCCTATCTAGGATCGAGTCGCGAATAAGGCTAAGAGCCGTGTATTGCATTGGATTCCAGCACGACCATGGGTGCTTGGTTTCAGCTGTCATCAACAGGACCGAGGCCGGATCAGGCGATGAAGCGCCGCCGACGAAGCTGTTGCTTACCCTCAACCAGAAGAAAGAAGACAAGCACATCCCTGTTGGCAAGGCCAGGATGATTGGTCCCGGGCCCAACAATCCCTACAGGCATTACAAGAACCTAAAGGCCCCCTACGTTATCCATGCTTGTGGTCCTGACTTTGGTGACTGTGACATTGCCGAGACGGTTGCCAAAGCCAAAAAGCATTTGCGCAATGCTTACAGGAATGCTTTGCATCTCACCATCAACAAGCCCATTTCTGACATCATCTTCCCTTTGATTTCTTCTGGAGTCTTTCGTGGCCCCTTGTTTTTGTCTGAAATTGCTGGAATTGCTGTTCGTGCCGTCCATGATAGGGCTGCTGAGAGCAAGGTTGCTTCCATTTAGGCCAACAACGTTGTGCTGTGTGCCTTCACCTATCAAGAGCTCAGCACCATCATGGAAGAGTGCGACGATCTGTTGGCTGGAAGGATCAAGATTTCCAAGGCGTGAGCATTGGATGGCATTTCAGAATTGAAAATGAATAGCATCACCGGAAAGGAAGGAATATAAGAAATATAATGAAACATTATCGTGTTTACTTGATAGATTACTTGTTGTTAGTTGTTGTGCCTCTGTTACGTGTTACGTGTTACGTGTTTCTTTCTTCTATCTAGCCGGCAACAGCTCCGATGGCAACAGCTCCGACGTAGTGTCTTGGCCAACGCGACAGGAACTCACAATTTGAGCTAGTCGTGGAGCATCGGTCGCGATGCGTGCATTGTCGCCGGTACCATGTGCCAACGCCCACGTCCACCGCCTTCAGGTTTTGATGGGTTCGCCGAGGATAAGAGCTACACCACACCATCAGCTCATAAATCAAAATGCGTCTCACTGAGCACACCTTTCGAGCTTTGGCTCAGCCAATGATTGTTGGCCCTGCATCTGAATTTGACCGTGACTTTGTCACTTACTTTGGTTGTTCACCACACAGCGTGGCCAAGGCATGGAATTGTAACAACTTCATTGGAGCGAAGCCGAAGCATTTGCTTTGGACGTTGGTTTGGATGAACGTCTATGGGTCAGAGAGAGTGCATTGCAAGATTGTTGGAGTTCGTGACAGATGAACTTTCCGACGATGGGTCTACCACTGCCTTCCGATCGTTGAAGACATGTTTTACGCCAAGGTTGATTGTTGCTTTGTTGTGGAGTTGTGTATTGTTGACTTCGGCTCACACGTCTGCTGCCTTCTCAGGTCAAATGGGAAAATCGCCTTTGTGGTGACAAATGCAGGACTTGCCTTGTCACTGTTGACACCACTGATGTTGCCATTCCCGAGCCTCCCTTGAAACCTGGACAAGAGCGCCCTCGCAACAACGCTGGCAAGCAGCTTCCATTCAACCTCAAATGGTACAGCAAGAAGGTTGGTGGTGCTGCTCTCCGATATGAGACTGCAATCTGCATTCAAACAGGAGACATTGTTTCAATCAATGGGCCCTTTCCGGCTGGTCGATGGAATGATCCAAAGATCTTTCACAATGACTTGCTTGCTAGATTGGGACCGGAGGAAATGGTAGAGGCGGATGGAGTCTACAAGGGGATGCCCTTTGATGTCCGCACTCCCCATGATCACATCAATGAAGCCGACAAGAAGGCCAAGAGCCATGCTCGAGCCCGCCATGAGATTATCCTTCACCGGATCAAGGAATGGAACTGTATTGGCCACCGCTTCAAACACTCCCTGGAGATGCATGGCATGGCTTTCCGCGCTGTCGTCGCCATGGTGCAGCTCATGATTGAAGAAGGCGAAATTGCCTTTAAAGTCGACTACTAGTGTGGTGGTCGTGGTGTGGTCGTGGACTGGACGGAGATGCTGATGCTGCTTTTGCCTGTTGCTGTTGCTGTTGCTGTTGCTGTGACACCATTACGTGGTGGTAGTCAAATAATTCTATTTAGTTGTCATGATTGGCTCTGGATGGCTTCGTCTGTTCGCTAGACCACAAGGTAGGCTCTCCTCCAATGCCAAGACAAGAGAGTCCAAAGGCGACCACTAGTAGACAGTGTTGACCATGCCATCGTGCTGCTGCCTTGGCCACCACCCAGCTCCCTGAGTTGGTAGTCTTGTAGAGGAGCGACTTGGGGTTCTCCTGTTCTTCTTGGCCTTTGCTTGGCTGGCTGGCTAGTGGGATGTTGGCTGCCATAATGATGCTCACAACCTTCTCCGTGGTGGCCGACCACGTCGCGCATCGTAAAGGACAGCCAGCCGAAGGCTAGTGCCCTCAACTTGCATTTTTCTAAAGGCCAAGGTATTTTTCTAGCCTTAACCTTGAAAGGGCAACTGCGCGCAATGTAACTTGCTGGTTTGACGGCTACCGGTAGCCTTAACCTTGCAAGGGAAACCGCACCATATGTACGTGTTCGCTTTGATAGCCTTAATCTTACTAGGGAAACCGCACCATATGTACGCGACACACACACACACGGCGGCCGCGGCGGCAGGGCTGGACGAGGAAGGGGAGGAAGAGCCGGAGGAAGAGGCAACGCTACCTCCAGAGGCTCCACAAGATCGACCAGAGGCCGCTCCAGAAGCTCCTCTCCCAGCAGGAGGCAGAACTCCAACACCAAACCAGGAGAAGCAGGTCCTCCAGGCGATCGACAAGGAGATAGAGCTCACATATGGCTTCATCTCAGACCCCGACCTCCATCTACACGACAATGTACAAATTAGACTCTTCATATGCCGGCCTGGTACTACTTTGCCAGCCAACCAACCTTGCATACCACGACTTACCACGACAATTAAGCCCCCACCAGGCCTCTACTCACTGTTGGGCCTGGGCCACAAGTTCATTCCTACACCTAGATACTCCCACACTTGGAATGACATCGAATCAAGCACCCTCACCAGGTTCTCCAGGGACCTGAGGGTGAAAGCCTTCTGTATTGGCCACATGCAGGAGGACAACACAGACAATAACAATAGCAGTGATGAATACAATCACGAATGCATCTGAAGTCTGACTGGCTCCCACCAGCCCATATGGTGCCACTCCAGTCATAGACCAGCGCCTTCAGCGCTTCAGCAGCTTCCTCCAGAGCAAATTCAGCCGGAAGAAGAGAGGCAGAGCCAACCTTCTGCCCCACCAGCGGCGTGCCCTCTGCCAACTCAGACGCAACAATGCCCTTATGGTCGTCCAATGTGACAAGAACCTGGGCCCAGCGACAATTGAACGGCACGCCTACATTGAACATGCATTCCGCGATCACCTTGATGATGAAACCACCTATGAATTCATCCCACCCCACAAGGTTGAGCACTACAAAAACAAAGTGAAACAGCATCTCCTGAAGTGGCTCAAGAACTATGGCAGCACTGCCTGCACTGACAAGGAGAGAAAATCCTCAAAGCTATGATGAAGAAGAATGAGGAACCATTTGCTTATTTCTACTTGACATGAAAGTCCACAAAACACCCCTCAAAACCAGGCCCATTGTCTCCTACAGTGGCAGCCTGCTGGAGGGGCTGGGCATCTGGCTTGACTCCAAGCTTCAGCCAGTTGCTCAGTCAATGAGATCCTACCTGAAAAGCTCCTTCGATCTCAAACAGGAGCTCATGTCCCTGCAGCTACCACCCAATTGCAAACTCTTCACAGCTGATGCTTCCTCGATGTACACCAACATTCCCACGAGGACAGCCATCACCAAGATCTCAAAGTGGCTCAAAGACAACCAAAGAACAGTTCCCAGACCTGCCCACCAAGGCAGTCCTCAAGGCACTGATTCTCATTATGGAGTTGGAGCTTCTTCCACTTCGGTGACACCACATGGCGGCAACTCAGGGCACTGCAATGGGAGCCCACCAGCCCCACCCTATGCCACCATCTACTTTGCCATCCTGGAGTCCATTCTGCTTCGATCCTTCATGGATAGTCTTGCAGTTTCTGCAGCTCTACAGGAGATACATCGATGATGTCTTCGGATATGGCACTGCCGAATGAAGACAACCAGCTCCTGTGGAGGGCTTCCAAAAGGCAATGAACAACAATGAGTACAAGCTGCACGGGAGTTCACTGAACTCTCCAGTCAGGTGGATTTCATGGACATGACAATCACCCTCACACATGACAACAAAACTGGTCACCACACTGTATGAGAAACCAACCAACTTGTATCTCTATATCCCATCCCACTCCTGTCACCACCAGGCCTCCTGTCTGGAGTGGTGTATGGTAACCTCTTTAGGATCTATACACTCTGCTCTGAGGAGACTGACAGGCTCGCCAGGACCAAGCTCTTCTTCAAGAGGCTCCGGCCAGGGGTACCAAGCCACCACACTTGGCCCCTTTTGAAGCAGCAATCACCAGGGCAAGGGCCTACACTGGCCCCCGCCCAACAACAACAAGAGGGACACCATGGGAATCCAGTTGCTGCACCTGGAATACCACCCCAAGGACCCCCATCAAAGGTCTTCCAGCAAGGCTGGAGGGATTGCATTGCCAATCCCACGAACCTGATGCCCTTCAAGCATGTCCGGATCCCACACACAGTGGGCCCCATGCGAGGCAACATGCCAATGGACTGGATAGGATGATTGTAGCCTACTCCAGGCCCCCCAATCTTGGCAACCTACTGTCCTACAGGAGGTTCCAGAACTAGATGGCTCCCCCGTCTCATCCTTTTTGGATTAGAGGCCTGTCGGGGAGCCATGGCACACACACCCACACACACACACACACACACACACCACCCACACACACACACACACACATCCAGCCCATCGAGGTATTGGATTTACGGTTTAGTTTAGCTTGGTTTCGGTCTATACCGTACCGGCTCTATGTGTCTATTTCAAAATCACCACAAACAGGGTACCCTTGCTTTTCTCACAGCCTACCCGGCTTGTATCTTTGCCATCCCCAGCTTGCTCCACTGATGAAGCAAACAGCGAAATTCCTAAGCTCAGAATTTGGAAATCAGCAAGCAACGTATACCCCATGGATAAACATCCAATGGTAGATTCGTCGTAGATTAACTCTTAGTAGTGTCTACACACATCTCACACAACATCACACATCTCACACAACACTCAACGTACACACACCTACACACACACACACAAGATAAAGTTCAAAAGGCCCTCAGCTTGCTAGCTGGTAGTTGAGGGCAATCGTAATCTATCGTAATACCTGCCTCTATTGCCTCGAACAAGTCCAAAGCAAGGAGAAAGAAAAGAAGAAGAAAACAGGCTCCGCGCGATGAGAAGGGGTGTGGACATGTCACCAGTTCCTGAAAGGACAACTCAACTCTCCACGTAAGCGCTACTGTAGCCAGCCAAGGAAGAACCCTGCACCAACCGACTATGAGAGCTAACCATGATGATCATCCATGACTGCTGAGAAGCTCCACGAAAAGCAAATTAAGCACAAATGGCCGGCCACAAGAGAAGGCCGATGTGTGTCGTCATCAGCCAGCTAGCTGGTGGCAAAGTCCTTGAGCTAGCAGTACGGTAGGGTCCGACGGTACCTTTACGGTACCAGTACATGCAGACCAAGGACGAGGAAGCAGGAAATCCTCGACGCATCGACCTTCAATTCTCGCCACCAAGCTACACGTGGTGGTACATTATTCCAAGAAAAGTTCATGTAGGACTACAGCGAGGCGAATGTTCAAAAAGAGCGAAAGAGGAGGAATAACCTCTGACGTCGTCCTCCATACTGTAGCAACTGCCAGAGCGTTTGCTGACCGAGCAACGGTCCCGAGATCTTGCCGTCTTATCTATTCTGCTGTCTGTGGGCTGGTGGTTGCCAAGTGCCATCTTTTACGGTGTACAGTCACTTTGGAACAAGGTGCTGTTGCCTTTTCGATTGAACTTATCTTGAAGGGCAGATGGAAAAGATTTAAAAGTTTCTGGAGCTTTCTACGAATGTCAGCTGCAAGGCCATAGCCCAACAGCCCACCATCTTCAACAGCTTCTTCAACTCTTCAACTGTTTCTGGAAAGCTGGAAAGGAACTTTCTGTTCTTTTTGTAGTCCCTTCGTCCCTTCGTAGACGCTCGCGGCAGCTGCAATCTCCAACAGATGCTAGACGAGCTGCGAAACGTCAAGTCAGATGGAGCTTCCTAAGGTCTCGCAGGAGGATATATGATAGTGGTCAGCTGTGGAAGCTCAATTGAAAAGACCTTGATTCCGCAGAATAATAGAACACTGTCAGAACACAGGCAAAGGTGAAGTGGTGAAAGGAAAAGTCTGGATCTTAAAACTTTCTTGCTTTCTTTCTCGGAGTAGGGGCACATGACCAGTATTGAAAAGCTATTGAAACATTGTGGCTTAGGGAAGCTAATTATTGGATCCACGTGCAAAACCCAACCAAATTTTTTGAGATGACAGCAGATGACGGTCTGGGCTGGGTTGATCTGGAGCTGTCTGAGCAGTTGTCTCAACGCCAGCCAAGAAGATTCACCTTGCAGGCTGAACTAGCTATGAGCTGTGACCGACTGTGGTAGCTGGTGACCAGGGCTGCCTGAGAAGTCCACGTGGGAAGTGGGAAGAAGTTGCTCCAGCACCAGCAGGTCAAACTGGTCCAAGGGAAATTGCCGAAGCTGCTGTGTGCACTTTTTTTCATTTCCCACAAGAAACAGTGACTGCCAACTCTATTCTTCAACAAAGAGCAGATTAGCATACACACTCCAAGATGAATGGATCCTCTCAAGCAACCCCGCCCATGACTCTGGTTGAGCTCCACAAGAAGGCTTGCATCGAGCGTAAAAACACGGCAGGAAGACGAGCCTTCCCCCCTCCGTCGTTCCGCAGTCGTGTGGGTCAAGCAGTGTCAAAATTCCAGGCTACCGTCCCTTACACCGAAGAAACGGCCCTTCCTCCTGCTCGCAATGGGCTTGTTGCGTTGATTGACGATGCGCTGGCGGCATCTTCTCTTCAGGACACCCCTACAAACAGAACAAGCACTGGCAACTTTCCCTGGCAGCTCTGAGTGACTTCACAGCGAACAAGTTGGATTGCGACACTGTGACTTCCCTCTCTGATCAGATGGAGGGCCTTGTGGTGGTTTGTTGGACAGACGCATCATCGGACTACGATCCTTACACGTTGTACATAGCGGTAACCTTTCATACTAACTGCGTGTTTAGAGAAAACCCCATTTTGAATCGAGGCTTGGCTTGCCTTGGCCTAGCGAACTGTCCTGAAGACTTTGCTTTTGCGGCACCAATGTGTCGCTGCTCGGCCATTGCAACATCCACAGGGGGGTGCTCGGCCATTGAAACATCACCTCGCGATCACTGTAGCATGAATGGTTGCCTACTCACAGTGCTCCTGGTTGGAAGCCAAGTGACTCCAGTTTGCTTCATCGCAACAACAAAAAGTCGTTGGCTGTATGACGCAAATCGTTCTTGGTGGTACCGGTAGATACCCGTCAACAAACCAGAGAGGTACCGGTACTACCTGGTACTGTACCGGTCTGTGTAACAGCTTCCAATCAGCGACTATTAATAGTCACAGCTTTTTGGGCGCGGAGACCCTTGACTTCGTAGTTACTGAAGTGGTGAGTAGCTGTGCTTGGACAACAGGCTAGCTAGCTTCTGTTGCCAGACAGGCAGGTACACGTACTCCTCATCAGCCACGGTGGTGCGTGAGAGCTTTGCGCTTGTTGTCTCAAGTTTCTGTCTGGGCCCAACCATGAGTGCGTGTGGCTTGTGAGGATACGTACTACTCTCTGAATTCTTGTAGTCTAACTTATGAGGATATATTGATGATATCTACTGAACAAGCAAATCTCCTTTGCTCTAAATCTTGATTTCTTCTTGCTGTTTCTGTTGTGTTCCAGCCATGCACTTGTATCTTTCATCTTTCAATAGAACTCTCCCAGCATCCAAAATAGGATGGTGCAGCAGTGCGGCTTCCCTCCTACTAGAACACCCGCATAAAAGAGCTTGACTGGCACTGTTTGCTTTCCCTGCCGCAGTCATCTTTTGGTTCGAGGAGTGAGGTTGACGCTAGCTTACTGGCAACATGAGCCAGGGGGTTGCTAGCCAGACTCATATAACATCGTCCGCCCTGAATCTTGCTTGTGAGGAGTCCAAGAAGGTGATGGGTCCCTGGCAGTGAGTGGTGGTTTGGATTGGCAGGCGGGATGACTACTTTAGAAGAGTGGGGCCTGGGCGGAGATGGAAAAGCAGGAATACTTGGTATGTGTTACCAAAGTGCCAGAGACGGAGGGACACACCTACTAGCCTATGTGGCTAGATGATGGCTTTGGTATGCATAGCTCGATTATCGCGGGTCTCCAACCCATTTTTTCAATAGAGCACCATTAGAACTCCCACCTGTTGTAACCGCAAACTTTGAACGGAAAAAGGGCAGGTCTACATACTGGACTTCACTCCACTCGTCACTAAACTCGACTGAGTCAAGTCACTCGACTGTGACTCACTCGTCCCGAACAGTACCTGGTACTCCCGCACGGAAGCCGGCAGTATTTTGTTTGTATCGCGGACCTTAGATTTAAGAAACCATGTGACTTGGCGACCCAACACGACCCAGCCACGAAAAAGCGGCAAAAAAGACCATTCTAGCATTGAACAGACAGCAAGCGCAACTACTTCATTCGATCACCCAGCGATCACAAGTGATAGACCAAAGTAAGGAAAACTCTACGATCGATCCCAGAGAAAAGAATCGACCTCTCCATTTCTCGTAATCGTGAAGCAGTTGCCCAGGAAATTTCGATTCCATTAACCTCTGCTACCCCCCAAACACAACAAACCCTACACGCAATACCTCTTGTTGCTAACCCACACCACGCCAAAAAGACCAAAAACAGCGATCACCAATCGATTATTATTAATTCATAGATGATGGAAGTTCCAGTATCCTTCGAACGCTACGATGACGAATTCAGGTCTCTGATTGGTCAAATCGAGAAATCGCTGGCACCCGAAGAGACGGGGAGTGCCAATTTGACGCACAATCTACTGCAGCAATGTGAAGATTTGATCAAACAAATGGCTCTGGAAGCCCGCGGTGTCCCCAATCCCAACATGAAACGCAATTTGTTGGGAAAAGTCCAAGAGTGCAAAGCGACATGGCGATCGTTGAAAGATCAAGCCAATCAAAAGGAATTGCTGTCGTCACATGTCGATGGCGGCGGCAATGGCAAATACCGCGATCGGATGCAAGGCAATGAAGACATGCTCAGTCGACAAAATGACACGTTGGAGAATGCACGACGCATCATGGAGGAAACCGAAGTAGTTGCCTTGGAAATCACGGACGAATTGGGACACAATCGTGAAAAATTAATGTCGGCGCACGGACGCATTCACGAAGTCACTGGTATGACGGGACGAGCGCGACGACTCTTGGTCAGTATGAATCAACGAGCCGTGCAACAGAAAATGTGCATGTATGGTGTGGCCGTGGCGGGTGCGCTATTGATCATCTTTGCGTGGTGGGGAATGTAAAGAAAAAGTTAATGACACAAGAAATATGACAAAGAAATGCAAGCAACAATAATACTCCATGGACCAAAAAATGACAAAAGGCAACAATTATCCACGGGCATTTTTACGTCAGAGAGTGGCCCGTACTGACACTGTGAAGAAATAGAGAACAGCAATAGTGCAACACTCGATACTGGCTAGTAATTCGCAGTTGATAAGTTTGTGCCGTCTTCGTGGAGAGCTAGCGCGGAGATTGTTCTTCGCGTTGGAAACCTAACCTGCCAGTAAAACGGAGAAAATATCTCGGGGGTAGTTTTCGTAACCTGTTCTCAATTTTTGTCGAACGTTGCCTTATGTTTTATTTTGGTGGCTGTTTTCGAATGAAAATATCATTGTCGCCTCCAAGAAAATGGTCTCAACTCACCGTACCGGCAGCGAACAGATCCAGAGCCAAAGACTCTATTTTGCGGCGTTGCGTGCCTACAGTACAGTCGGTATCTCTTCCAGCCATTTGAAAGCACGAACTGCGTTTGCCGTGCAATATTTGATCAGGACTTGCACGTCAGATGGCCAGCCCATCTAGCTAGCTATCTTGACTTCCAGGTACCTCAACTACGTACAGTCGTCACGTTGGTCCTCTGAAGTATCCCTGGCGACATGGTACCATCTAACTCTTACCAGTAAATTGCAGTCAAAAGTGCACCGACACAAGAGCAAACCAATGCATACAGTATCCACTTTTTATAACTTGGATCTAACCATTTAGATAGTGCAGACTTTGTCGATCAAGGTACTTTCTTTCTTTTAATCTGTAGCGATATGTTTCGATTCGATTCATATCCAACTGAACATGACTCGAAGAACTGCAATTTGAATGGTCAAACAACCAATCAATGAGCTGCAGCAAAATACCTGGCTACTCGTACAGGTGTACCCGTCCGCATAAAAGTCGAATCATTGAATCGCTCGGTTTGATAATATCAATCAATCAAATGTATAAACCCACCGATAAGGGTGATGCGTAGTCCTGTAAATTGTTGCATTCTTCACTCTTTATATCACTCCATTGTAAATTGTTGCATGCTTCACACCTTGTTTACTTGTTTACTTCATCTCATCTTCATTTCTTCCCTTTTCTTCCCTTTTCTTCAGACTTCCAAGCAATTTACCCATGAGTCCGTGGATCAATTTGTTTGCGTTTGGAAGAATCTTGCAGTGCCTTTTGAAGATCCGAGCCACCAGGCTGTGACAGGACGGCAGGAGTAGACTGCTGCAAGGATGCCCCAAAGGCGTCCCAATCGACCGTGCTATTGTCGGCAGCCCTTGCCGTCTGAGCAAACAGTGCGGGCGTCATAAAGACCAAAAAAGATCGTCTGGTCCAAAAACCGTCATCAGAGACTTCTTTGGGCGCTGCCCATAATAAGGATGACGATGACGGTGCTTGCCCCGAGACTGTGGGCGCCACCACACCAAACGGAGATGCAAATGCGGCAGAGGATCTCGCCCCAACAACCAAATGAAACTGCATGACGATATTGACTGTCAAGAGAAGCGCCACAAAGGCGGTGCTCACAAAGGACATCGGTGTGTTCTTCACCAACATGGGAAGTATCATGGTCAGGAGCGAGATCATCTTGGTTGTTTGTACTTGATTGTACCGGATGGATGGTCGAAAGAGCAAAGAGTGGACAAAAATGATGCAGATATGGATCCAAGCTGAGCAGTGTGGGGTTGGAAGTACTAAGTAGTTATCGCAGATTGCTTTTGGTACTTAAACGTAATGATGCATTGGAGATTACAGAATAAGTCTCTCAAAACCCACGCATGCGAAGCCACTGAGGGTCACAAAAGCTCCAAAGCCGCAAGGGTCTGTCAACGACAATTCTCGTTTGCACTCAACTTGCTTGTTGAGGTGGACGCTGTCTTGTCGCCATGGTGGACTATGGGCTGCTCTCCAGTGATCGAATGGTCAAGTCATCGACATGGAGACATATAAACTCAATAAGGACAATGGTGATGAAAAACATGGATAGACACATGAAAGAACAGACAGAAATACTCCATCGGGATGGTCCAGGAACACAGATGGATGGTTATGACGTCGAGGAACCAATCTGGAGGCCATGTTGAAACAGAGAGGTCACCATGGCAACCTCATTCTGAGGTGGTGAGATACTTGATGGAGAAATTTGAGGAGGAAACATCATTGCTCCTGTAAAGTGTGCTGCTGGTACACCCCTTGGCAAGATTTTCAGGGAGGCTTGTTGAGGTTCCAACCGGCTGTAAGACATTGTGAAAGGTGTGGAAAGAGGAATGCAAAGACGAGGATCGTGAATGTTATCAGAGGAAAGATGGTACTATTATGAGTTTCCCTTGAAGCTTCCAGGGCAGCGTTGCGGTACCACAACAAAGAGAACGATCGCTAATGGATGTTTCTTTGAGCCAGCAAAAATCGAATCTTGCGTGGCTGTTCTGGCTGATGTCTTCCACAAAAACGACAACCATCGTACAAAGTATCTGCAGGGGGAATCGTTTGACTCATCTTCACGGATCCTGGTACATGTACTGTAAAGTTAGTCGTCAACGAGAGCAGCGAGTTCTCGACTTACATCAGTTCAAGTGGGAAGAGAATATTTTTGCATCGCACTGGCGGGACCGCAGCAACTAGTCAAACTACGACCGACAAGACCACAAGGGCTGCATGTGCACAAAACGATCCAACTCAGCGCTGGTCGTTCCAATTAGTGGGGCTGGGAATGCAACATAGATCAATCAACCCAAAATCTTTCAACGGATCTCGGAATTATGCCATGGGGGAAGAAACTGCCAATTGACAAGCAACAGGATCCTTCACAGAGTTGCCCAAGTGGAACCGGGGGTTGAGGAGGACAGTTGAAATCTTACACTATTACACAGCAAGGTGGCTTTGCAAGAGCAATAGAAGAAGACACCAGCCAGTGTGAACCTCGTGGGAATCCAAAGCTTCACAGAGACATCAACGTTTGGGAAATGGAGGGTACGGACTCCAGACTCCAAAGGAAAGCGGTTCGGGATGTCGAAGGGTTCTTTAGGCTCGAACTTCATGACATTGTCACAAGTGCACCCCTCGCACCCTGCCCTGGATGCAACACGGAAAAAGACCAAAATCGAGCGACTCAAAACTAAGTCTTCGAGTTGCCGTCAGCTGTGGGGCCGTCTGTGCTGGTTGACAAAAAGGCGCAACGATCGAGGCAATCATGAAAATTCCAACGAACCAGCGCGACGGCGCCAACCCTAGCACAGGAAGGATAACAGGTTAAGCACTAGGTACTAATAGTGCGAGATGGTCAGGCAACTCGAGTCTTTCGTATGCCAGTGCATGTTATGCACGTCGACTTCAGGTTTTAACATGTCTTATCGCGCTTGTCCCGATCTTCGGAACCTCGAGCATACCACAAGAACAGTCGCAGCCAGCCGGCGATGGGGGCCATCATCATCAAGGTCTGGACGGACAGGCGAAGCAACGCAATAGCGCCGCTCGATGCATCCGTTGCATTTGCCATGGTGCGTTGTTCTGTTGTTTCATTGCCCACACATGACATGGCTTGACAGGCATGGTAGGTGGGTTGCTGGGTAGGAGCCAGCGACGACGAGGCCAGTACCGATGGGCTGCCCGTAAGAACTAGCGACGAAGAGGGCGCTTTCGTGCAATCCGGGAGAACAAAGTGTCCCATCCTCGGTTTGTATGAGCAATCGGCATTCTCGCAGGGCGTGGTGGGGCCTTGTGGGCTCATGATCTTGGTACATTTTAGGTTTGCCGAGGATATCGCCCTATTCGCGGAGTTCTTTGTCCAGCGGAAATCCCTTCAAACCGCAAAAGTACATACCATCTGCAGTAGGGAGGTTATCTACGGAAGCCAGCAAGGGCCAGGCTTGGGCAAAGAAGAGTCGAAACCCGGGACTGGCTAGGTTCCATGGGATCAGGGGAGATTAATTGAGGACCAACATGGGGGCCTAAGGGTTTGGCTTTGCAGGATCCAGGGAGACGTAAATGAGTGGCTTCGGCAAGGGAAATCGAGTTGCGGGCCTGGATGAAGAACTTCATTTGAGAGTAAGAGTCCTGAGTTTTTACGTCCGCTACCACTGTTGATGAGAGAGTTGAACCACCAAAGAAGTTGAACAGCAAAAGTTTGAACTAGCAGCGACACAGTTATGGAACACAAGGAGAGAGGGAGGTACTGTATCACGTCACACAATTAAGTTAATCATGACAGATGCATAGTTTAAAATTAAAGAACAAACCAAAACCAAAGGTAATTTGGCGCATACAAAAGACCCAACCATAGCTTGGGACAATCATATAGCGATGAAAAAGCATTTGGATACGCTTCAAGCAAACCAACTGAACAAGCTTCGCGGCTTGGCATCTGGCTTGTTTCTATGACATATTTTCCGTGATGAATTGTTTGATATCTGCCAGCACTTTTTCCTTGTCTTCTTTCAGCTCGTTGTGTATTTCATGTAGCAAGTCGGGGTAGATTTTCAATGTCTTTTTGGTAGATGCACAGTTTTCGTAGTATTCTTCCGAGCCTTTTGGATCGGTAATAACGTCTGCTCCACCATGAGCCAAGAAAATGGGAAGAGTGACTGTTTTGGCAGTTGGGATAATCTCTTTGCGTCCCGATTCCAAGAGGGAGAATGCCAAGCCGACGGCGATCATGGGATGTGTCATGGTATCGCCGTTGAATGCTTCTACAACATTTTGATCTCGGGACAGTTTCTTGTTATCCAATCCAGCATCGAGGCATACATTGGGGACGACTCCCCGTAGACAGCTCAAGAGACCAGACATGGTTGTTTGGTAACAATTCTTTTCGACTCCCAAGGCCGCCCCAGTGGCTACAACGGCCTTGGCACGCTCCTGATTTTCCTTGGATACTCCAATAAACGTCAAGACGGTAGCGCCGCCCATGGAATTCCCGTAGAGAATGGGTTTTGTCACCTTGTGTTCTTTATCAATAAACTCCAAAAAGACACCCAAGTCTTCTGCCAAATGAAACAAATCCTCGGCATGGCCTGGTTTTCCTTCGGAACGGCCACAGCCACGCACGTCGTAGGTGTAGATTGTGATGCCGGTGTCTTCTAGCACGCTCAAGACGTTTCCGTAACGATCCGAATGTTCACCAAGCCCATGATGAATCACCAAATCACAGCCTGGTTTGGGAGGCACATTGTTGGGGATCCATCGTTGATAAAACAGCTTGAGTTCTTTCCCGTCGCTGTTACCCTTCTTGGTGCTGTTCAAGGGAACCTGAAAGTGACCCGTTTCGTGCTTGTAACTCATGGTGGTAGTGATTATTTATTTATTTTAAAAAATAGTTGTCTTTCCAAGAGGAGAGGTTTTATGTGAGAAGAGTTCAATGCTTTGGCTTGGGAGATCGCTCCGGTGAATCCGTTCTGTGGGATGATGTGTCAATGTTCGGCTCGTGGCATCACCGCTCGGCGGAGTTCGAGAGAACCCGCATGTACAGTACATGTACCGGTAGAGCAATTCTGGGGTATGGGGAAACAATACGTTTGGCAGACACCAAACCAGCTGCACCAAACGTAACATACGCGATTCCAGAGGGGGGATCCATGCATTTCGGCATCCAACCCTGTCAAAACAAAACCAAAAAACTTTAATTTTAAAATACTAAATAGATACTTTAATTAAGGAGCAGGGGGGGGGGGGGGCTAAGCCAGGCAGAACGGTGACATTGTTAGTGGGTAGCACTGGGAGAGCAGGGAGGCTGGGAGCGGCAGGGCGAATTCAATCGGTGCTACTGTAGTGGGGGGCAACCGGAGGCAAATTAACCAACCAACATGCATCACGGGCAGATTAGCAAGCAAAAGTACGCATTTATATACCGGTACGAGTACCGGTACATGTAGGGAATCGAGGTGGTTGCCCCATACCCCTGGATAAAGATTTTGAACCCTAGCCCTACACAAACTTGTCAACAAAGGGGCACAGTCACCGAGTGCCCAAGCCAGCTTGAATAATATTATGAAAACACAAAACAGCACGGCAGTTTACAGTCACAGATCCAAGATGAGCCGACAACGGCTGTGCTCCATTGCTGATGTAAATCACAGACGGAGGCTTAGAGTACCGGAAGTACTCTACTGATGCCAGTGAGGATACCTCGTGCGGTTATAGAATTATATGCTCCCTTGCTGAGAAATGATACTGTATACTAAATCAAAGAGGGCGGGTGGCGGGTGGCGGGTTTAGAGTAGGTAGATCATCTAAGATCGAAGGATCGAAGGATCGAAGGAAGGTGCGGCACTCCAGGCCCAACACCAACCACCGGAACCCCCGGACCAGCTCCTACCAATCAAGAGTCCACACCAGGACCAACACTAAGTTCTGGTACTCCCGGCCCAACACCAAGTTCTGGTACTCCCGGCCGAACACCAACCTCTGCTACTCCAGGCCAAAATGATGAAGCTGGCACTGGTGACCCTCACTTCAAGTCTTGGGGTGGCAAGTGGTTTGATTTTCATGGAGAATGTGACTTGGTCTTTATCAACAGCCCCAAGTTTGGACAGGGAACTGGATTGACGAACCACATTCGAACTAAGGCCCGATACCAGTACTCTTTCATCGAGTCTGCTGCTGTTCAAATTGGAGACAGCTTCTTGGAGGTTGGTGTATATGGTAGCTACTTGTTGGATGGCATCTCCAATGCAGATCTAGACTCAGAAAATTGACAGTTACACTGTCACCCACAAGAAGGCAATTCCAAGCAAGGCACTTTCACTATTGAGCTTGGAGAGGGAAAGCAGATCATTATCCAATCCTTCAAGGACCTGGTCAGTGTCAAGACTGTGGGTGCTGGCTTTGATGAGTACGGCGACAGCCAGGGTCTTTTGGGAGAGTTTGGAACTGGCAAGTGGACGTCCCGCAATGGTGCTGTAATGACAGATGCTGATGGGTTTGGCAAGGAATGGCAAGTCCTTGAAACTGAGCCCAAGCTCTTCCAGGCCAGCAGATTCCCACACACCCAGTGCAATGCACCATGCCTGGCCCTGAAAGAGAAGGGCGCCGCCTGAGTGAATCCGCCATTTCCATGGAAGCTGCAGAGGAAGTCTGTGTAATTGGGGTGACTTGAAGGACCAGTGTGTCTATGATGTCGTGGCTGCTGGGGATTTGGAGCTTGCCGAAGCAGGGGCGTTTTAGGCAACCTTTTTGAGTGTCTCTCCCTTCGCGTTATTCCTGATGCCCACTGCAACTAGCTAGTAGGGCCCAAAGGATACTGTCGTATTTTATATATTTAACCTCTTCATTGCATGTTCCATTCAAAACTCCATCACCCGCGGTGGCAAAAGTAGCCTCTGGCATCCACCAAAAGAGTCTAGGCTTCTGAAGGATTTTGTTGACATGTCGAACTCAAAGTGGAAAAGGAGAAGAGCCAGCTATAATACTGTTTGCTTGTGAGACGGGTTGTCCGCCTCTGTTCCTCAATGTCAGTGATGATGTGAGTGGTGGAGGTGGCCTTGATGATCAACCCTTCAATTTTAAATGTGACTTGACCTTCCCCAGTAGCCCCAAGTTTGTACAAGTTTGAATATATCCAAATGAGGATTGAGCCCAGGTACCAACTAACATTGAGCTTGCTGCTCTCTGCATTGTGGCTATGGTGGATAAACGCTGACCAATTTCATGCAATGGTGCCAAGATGACTGGTGCCAAGTTCTTTGGGAAAGCATAAACTGTGCCCGAGCGCTGGCATCTTACCAAGGTAGCTGCAGAGAAACCCTGTGAACAGTGGGTAGGCTTGAAGGACCAAATTGTCGAAAACGATTTGTCGAAAGCCCCAGATCAGAAAAGTGGTTGAATCACTGCTCTGGGTGGCCACGACTGTGTTGATCTTGGGAAGGACAACAATGTATTTGCCTTAAGCTAGATCTAGTAGACTGTTTGGGTAAATTATGAGCTATCTAGATTAGGTAGATACAGAGCCAGTGGCTCCGTTCTATGACTATGTCCCTGTAGAGGGTATCCAGGGATACTAAAATCCCTCTCCAGGCATACCAAGACCTCTCTTGGCATCCTTACAGTCAGGCCTATTGCAGTATTGGTAGCCGCACCAGCAGCCACATAGGATCCCTCCAATTCAGGCAAGAGTAAGGAAGAAGAACTTGGGTCTGAAACGGTATACCACTGATAGCCATAACCAATGAAAACATTTTCAAGTGGAAAGACATTCTGGCCATCAGGCAACTGGTTTGAGTGGACCAGTCCACCCACGCAGAAGAAATGAGGCGATCCCCTGGAGCTGCCATGCCTTGTTGTAGATATAGCTGTCCAATCTTGGCCATTGATCTTGGGTTGGACAACAATCCATAGGCGGAACCTCATTCGCAATTCCCAGTTTGGCAAAGATGTTGTGTTCTCGCACGAACTCCAGTGGTGTCAATCCACCGGAACGTCTTTCAATAATGTGAGACAGAATGTACGAAAATGGCAAGTTGTTAAAGGCACCCCCGTAGGTCGGGTCGGTACTCGATTGCTCTCAAGACATCTTGCAGGGTCTCCTGAACGGGAAAATCCAAGTCCTCGGGTCTAAAGAAGAAGCAAGCTTCATTAGTGCCATTGGTTGTTACCAAGCCACCCCTCATGGTCAAGAGTGATTGCTTTTCCACAGTCTGATCTACCGCTTCCCAGTCCGTGTCTTGGTCAAAGATTTCTCCCAGCGATTCTTGTATTCGGACCAGATACAGATCCACCATTTTCCAATCAATAGGGTTGCAAAAGCCTTGGTTGCGGACCACATGGGAAGGCGACTGCTGGGAGTGTTTCCATTGACATACCCTTCGGCTATTAATTCACCGTTTTGCGCAATAGCATAGCCCTCGTTGAAGAGAGGAGACATGGCCGATTGGATGTGGCAATAAGCACTGTTTTTGTTGTACAGAGCAGACCTGTTCCATGGTTGGGATAGATCTATTACGGTAACCTCCTGGTCTTCCACTGATGCACTGGAAGATGCTACAAATAGTAGATATATCAACAGGATTCCATCAAAGACGGATGCAGGGCGCATGGTTTCATCTCGGCAACAATAGTAAGACGCAAAAGCTCGCGATTGTGTGCTTTGAACAGCTCACAGATGATACAAAGCTGTTGAAACATGAACATGGATAGCCAGACTTGCAATGGCCGGGAGGTGCTCCTAGCAACCGTCAGTCTACTAGTAGCTAGTCCGCTTTGCCAGCAAAAGATCGAATGAAAAAGTCCACATCATGTTCCTCCCCGCTGCTAGTAGCAGGTGCAGCAGAGAATCCGGCTTTTTCCAGGACTCTGGAGGACGCTGGATTTCCGTGGGCAACACCAGCATGCAGGGTTCCTTGATATCCCGCCTGCTGCAGATGCTTGACCAAACCCTTGAGCAATTCCGTTGCGAGCCCTTTGCCCCAGTGATCTTTTCCAAAAATATATCCAATATGCATGTCCGTGGAAATGTCATCGTCCTCCTGGGATGATGGCACGGTGCGAAGCATCAAGAGCCCCGTCAACGCTGTCGTGTCGGTCGACGACAGCCGGATGGTAGAAATCTTGTTTTTGCTGGTAGCAAAGTCAAAGGATCCACCAGCAAATGCTTTGGCCCATTCTTCCACCTTGGTTTCTCCCGGTTGAAAGAGTAAATGGGGCGGCAAAAATGCCGTCACATCGTTATCCAGAATGGAGGATAATTCCTTGCAGAGGGCTTCGGGATCTTCAATCATTGGGGTATCCCAGGGCTCGATCAAGAGTCTCTCGGTTTGGAACTGTCCATGTGACCGTAACGACATGCTACTAGTAATGAAAGAAAAGACTATAAATGTAAGAAACAGAACAGGGAGCATTGATTGTCTACAATATACTTGGGCTACTAGAGTAATGATGTTCCCTTTTATTTGATGATCGAGAGAAGAAGGGTTGCAGCAATGCGAATGGCGGACGCGGATCTTTGGTTGGATTTCAAAATAAGCCAGTGGGCTGTTTTGCTGGAAACGAAGCCCTTTTCACCCTGAACCTTACTGTACCGTACGTTCCCACCAGTTTCTTGTTCTCTCGATCGCAACTCATTTCTCATACTAGTATAGTTCGAATCGATCGCCACCATGTCCTCTTCAGCCATGCTAATCCGCCGTTCCTTTCAGGTATTTGAGCGCCTCTCATTGCGTCCTGGCGCAGCTGCCCTCTCATCGACCGGAGGGTATCCTACACCGGACCGCCGCTTGGCATTCCTGTCGTCAAAAAGTGGCGACTCTGGTCGACAACCTGCCGAGTGGCGAAAACAACAATTGGATGCTTTGGAAAACAAGTTTCAGCAGGGTGATGAAGATGAGGCATCCATTGCGAATCTCATTCAGGATGATGAAGACCTGCAACCAATGTGGAAAGCAATGGAGAGTCGAGTTAAAAACCGACGCTCGTTGACGGTGGCACAAGCCAGCGGTAAAACGGGACGTGCAAACATTCGAAAGACAGACGAAGATGTTTGGTTGCAAGAGGGGCTGTACGGCGACGAAGAAGAAGGCGACAATTCACAACGCAAGTCATAAATGGGTTCCCCAGAAATTTGCAGAAGATCTTTGGCGTATCTCCAGCTTGAAGGTTGACAAGGAATTGCTATTTGCAAGATTGTCCGTTTGGCGTGCTTTGGAGAATCGAATTATTCAAAGCTTTGATTGGCAAGCAACAAGAAGCGGAGACTGAGCGGAAGAATACATGTACCAATGGAAACCACTGAAGGGTTCAATCTACAGGAACCTTGCACAGCTAACTTGCTTCTAGCTAGGCATGTCACGGCGGGTATGGTACAGTCACGGGGAAAGATTTGCACCGAATACTCCTCGGTGGGATTGAATTCCAGAAGACGTACGTAATTCATTTGCTAATTTCTCAATTAATAAAAAGAACTACGTAGGATTCAAACCTAAAAGCATGAATGTTCAGCTGCAGCTCTCAGAAGACCACGCCCTCTCTAAACCCTGCAACTTTCTCTCCATCGGGCCCGGGTGTTGTCGAAGAAGGTCTCTGTCGCTTCTCTGCTTCTTCCTTGTGATTTCGGGCAGACCTTTGCTTTCGGAGACAGTCTCGAGACCCATGTGGATTCCTTCTCATGCGCCCCCCTGTCGCTTCCACGGACCGACTCCTTGTCTTGGGTTCTTCGTCCGGCGTGTCATCGTTGGATGACCTTCGTACGGGCGATTTACTTGGTCTTTTGTGGCATTCCCCTTCTGGATGGCTCCGCCTCTTGCCATTTTCCGGTGTCTTACTGTTGGCAGCGTCAGCCGCGCTATCATTCGAAGGCCTGCGAACTGGAGATCTACCGGGTCGTTGTCCCTTCTTTCGACCTTCCGCGCCCTCTTTTCCTCCGGGTGGGCTTCCATCCTTGGGAGGCCGCTTCCTGGGAATTGGAGTCTTGAGATGATGACTATAGTTCGATCGGCTCGATGGTTTCTCGCCTCCCTCGGACCTGGGCGAATGACCGGATCGATTGACATCAGTCTCCGACCTACTAGTACGCATAGGCGACTTCGCACGACTAGTGGGTTTCTTCCCTTCAGACCGGGTCGAATGCGCAGATCGACTGAGCTCAGAGTCATGATGTCTCTTGACCTTCCCTTCAGACCGGGTCGAATGTACAGATCGACTGAGCTCAGAGTCATGATGTCTCTTGACCTTCCCTTCAGACCGGGTCGAATGCGCAGATCGACTGAGGTCAGAGTCATGACTCTTCCTGCGAAAACTTGGCTTCTTGCGAAAACTTGGCTTTTGGGGCAGCGGTGGCTTCCTGGTATTCCTAGGCTTTTCTCCGTCGGCTTGACGTCGAGGCTGCACTTCGACGTTGGCCGGCAAAATGTCTTTCAGGTCCCCTCCAGCTTCGACAAAGAGGCGAATTTGCTCTCGAAGATCGGCTGCAGAGGGAACGTTATTTCGTGCGCTAGGACTTTCAGGGGATGGAACATTGGTGGGCTTGGCAGTGTTTTGTGGTCCAGATGTTTTTCCCTTGGTTGTTGGTTGCTTAGTACTTTCAGGCCCGGATGGAGCATTTGTGGGCTTGGTAGCGCTTTGAGGTCCAGATGTTTCTTCCTTGGTTGTTGATTGCTTATCTAGTGCAGTGCTTTGATGATTCTTGGCTGGCACTTCTGCCGGCTTTCGATCCTCAGCACCCTGTTGTCCTTCCACGGCCTTAGGCGAAGTTGCTGAAGCTCCGACTTGCTGTTCTGCTACAGGGGATTTCGTTTCGTCATCATTTTCAGGTGTTGCAGCCCCCTTGACTTCTCCTGTAGTTACGGCTCCAGAGGTCTTTTCGGATATCTGTTCAGATTTCTGCTCAGATGCCTGTTCAGGTGACTGAGTTTCCTCTTTCTGTTCGTTTTCAGTCTCGGGTTTTGGCCGAAAGTAAGTTGCAATGCCTTGGCTCTTATTCACGTACAGCGGCATGCCCCACTTCAATTCCATTATCCACCCCGGGGGCAAAGGTTGTTCTTCTTCCTCCTCACTTTCACTCTCCTCGTAGGGCCAGTAGTTTGAATCATCCAGCGGGTCTCCTGTGTCTTCGCCCTTCCTCCCGTCGTCGCTTTCCTCATCAGGCTCTGGTTCTGGTGCTGGTGGCGGTGCTGCCTTTTTCGGGGGAACCGCCAGTAGATTGGTTTCGTCAATGCTCCCAATGGAAGAATCATCGTCGTCAGAGTCGTCGTCGGAATCTTCGTCGGAATCATCGTCGGAATCATCGTCGGAATCCTCCTCGTCGTCAGAGTCATCACTATCATCGTCGTCGTCATCGTCTTCACAAGATACCGTGGCAGCTGTGTTTTCTCCACAGGAAATGCCAGAGCCGTCTGAGATTCGTTCAGTTCCTTTGGTTTCTGCATTGACAGCAGGTGCAAGTGCCGTAGGCGCTGTGTCTGTCTGGGTTTGAATGAACTGAGATATCCTGTCAAACTTTGCTTGAGCAGCTTGCTTCTCGGCAGCTTCTTGTGCATCCGCCACCTTCGGTGCAGCCTCCTGTTCTTGCACCACATTGGTATCATTGACTTGTGGTGCTGCCTGAACCTCTGGAGACATGGACACATGTCTGTCTTGCAGCTGAGGGGTGAAAGCTTCCCTCGTAGGGGTCTCCACCTGAGCCTCTTGAGGAACAGTCTCAACCTGTCGGTAGCTCCCTTGCTGTGGCGGTGCTGAAACTTCCGGCTTTGATTCGGTAGGAGCTTGTGGCCTTTCCCATTGCGATGTATTGTTGTGTGCGTTAAGATAATAGGTCATTCCAGAGGCTGGGTCAACGTGCTCTGACCAACCTGATGGTAGCGGACTCGTTCCCGTGCTACTGCTAGAGGGACTTGCAGCAGTGCCCTCCTGAGCACCAACAGCCGTCGAATTGCCACTGCTGGCATTATTGGAGGCGGCATATTCCTGTTCTTTCTGTCGCTGCGCCTCGGCCAGTATGGCTTCGACGTTGTGATAATAATAGATCCCATCGGCACACTGAACGTACTTGACGCCCGCATTGTAAGCTTTCCAAGGATCCACATTGGGAGTGGGATTATACTCCAAACCATACTCATCTACGTAGCACAGTGAGTTATCTTCATTGCGATAAAAGCCAGGCTCTGTCATGGTCGTCTTCTCTCCTGTCTGGCCTTGGTTATTCTGAACAACTTGTTGGCATTCTCAACTGCCATGATAGTCAGTGTCTAAAACGGGTTGGCCCCACCGTAGAACAAGTCGAGAGACTTTCACCAGTGTGACGTGGGCAATTGCCACCAAAGAATGTTTTATCCGGAAGGGGGCAATAGATGCTTCCTTTGGTGTCCGGTGGACTATTAATAATTATCGACGACAACTTGGCTAAGAGTACGTTAGTGGTCACTATGGATGGGACAGTGGGCTTGATTTCGCCAAAACAACAGAGCGAACAGAGAAGGAGCAATTGGTGTTCTTCCACAACCAGTGTTCTTTGAAATGCCACTTACCGGGGGATGGAGAAAATTAAAGCTCTCCAAGCCTTGCTTTTAGTGCTACTAGTACCGTATTCCACTTCCCACCACTGTCGTCAAATACTGTCATTGGACTACTCAAGTTTGTCGCACAGTCGAAATATACTGATTGTCAGGACTGCTGTATCACTTACCGCTGTTTATTATCATTATGGTCATGGTTTACCTACCTTTGTTGGCGTGGGATTGCCTTGGATTTCTCCACCCCCCTATAAAAGTAACAAATCTCTGCCAGTACCGGTAGCGGTAAGCTTACCGGTACCACCCTCATCACGACCCACCCATCGCCACTCATTGATGCAACCCCTCTCTTCGCTTGAGACCATAACGTATCATACGGTACCTACCGGCAACTCATTGCTGAAATCGTATGAGCTACATGCAGTTGAGTTGGAACGGTAATGTTCCAGCTTGCTTGTTTCCTTATTATTGTTGAAAGCTTTAGAAGCTTTCCAGTCTCCTCACATGACCTCATTCTTGCTTCTGGTCATCAAAAGCTATTATTTGCCTTTTTCTTCTCCCAGCAATACTGGTGGTGGCTTCCGGTGTAATGAAGGAAGGTGGATTTATGATTCTTCACAAAGTTGAGGGGTCCTGAGGTGTAGATTATGCTTTGGCTCCAGCCATGCTGCAAAACTAATACAGTGGTGTCTGCCCAACCATACTGGTCAATGGCAATGGTGTTGCTGGTGCTGGTGCTGGTCGTTTGTACTTGAGTCGAGGATTCAAAGGTGGAGGCCGCGGAATTAAATCATGGAGCACATTCACCACAGTGTCTTGTTCATTTTTGAACCCCAGCCAGAAACCAGTCAATGTCGACAAATGCAGCCCATGCCACTGGACCAGCAGGCCACCCAGTCAGACTGTCTGTCTCCTCTTGTTGTGTTCTCGAATCATATAGACACAAGTGACATAGGCTTCCATCTGAGGTTCCTCTGCCATGGGCCATGGAAACATGCATGAAGATGCCAGGGCATGACTACTGTTGGTGAGCTCCATCCCATTGGGTGTGGAATTCTAAAATTGTCATGAGATAGAACCCAGCCGTGCACACAGCTCTATGCATTCAGAGCGGTTCATTTCGGGCAATGGCACAAATGGCAGCCTAATGTGATTTGAAGCTGTGGATAGCACCTCGCTTCTTCCAGTTGGGCCCGGAGTCTCGTGGCATTTCCGGGGTGCAGAACCATGAAGGCAAGAAGAGAAGGTGGAAGAGAGCGTAATGAAGGTAGTTGAGGTAATAAATCGGTTAAATTTAAAATTATATTACCACACCTACCTGTATCCCAAACTCGTCTTCCAACCGGGGAAAGATAGATTTGAGTGTTCCCTACCGGTACCAGGTAACTCTGACCGTAGAGTCGCCGAATCGCCGTTTTTTAGAATTCCTTTTCGATTACGCGGAACTTTCCATTATTACCACAACTTAAGCAAGGTCGATCAGGACCTGGCAACACAATCGCTGGCCAGAAAACACATTTGCAACAAGAGTAGAGGACAAGAGAGATGAGTGTTATCGTTCTGGTGCTGAGATAATTCAAGAGCTGTATCGAGATAACCAGTGATACCCTGTGGTTGATTTTTGCCACGTTGAAGTTGTTTCCCACTTTCCCACGCACTTTTTGAAAGCCCGATCAAAACTACCTGGTTAAGGCCCCCAAGCCAGTCAACTCATCAAGAGATGTCTCTTCGCAAATTTGGAAGTAACAACAGTGCCAGTCCCTTGAAGAAGAACATGGATACCTTTCACCGCTCCTATGGGTTGGCAGATCCCCAACAGCAGCCACAACACGACCACGAATCCAACCCATTCGGCATGGGTAATCCAGCAGGAGAAAATGCCAACGATGATTATGACTACGACGCAGAGAAAAAACAACGGGGGCCTGCACCAAGTTCTGCCAACAATATCCTGGGAGTCGTCCGAATGCCCGTTCCCACTTTGGTTTCCATATCTCCTTCCAATTCCCTTGATAATGGTATGCCTTCATCATCTACCGGAACAGTAGGCCCCCCACCCATCATGCCCACACTGCAATCCAACCAATCACAACCACAATTTATTACGACAAGAAACAGTATATTGCCAAGGCGAAAGGATTCCAACCGAAAATTACAACAATCCGCGTCACTCCCCCCTCCCTTTGTCATGCAAGTCACCGCCATTGCTTCTTTGGGGGGTGTCTTGTTTGGATACGACATGGGAGTCATTGCGGGAGCATTACCTCAACTCAAAGAGACATTTGACCTGTCCAGCAAACAAGAAGAATTGGTAGTCTCCATTCTCTACGTGGGAGGAGGACTGGGAGCCGCCTTTGGGGGAACCATTTGTGATTTTTTGGGCCGCAAACCTGCCATCCTCTGGACCGATGTCACCTTCATGGTGGGAGCCTCCATTTTGTTCATGGCACCCCATGTCTCCATGGTCTGTGTGGGACGTGTCGTGGTGGGGTTTGCCGTGGCCGTTTCGGGGATTGCCGATGTTTCCTATTTGCACGAAATTGCTCCGACGCAATGGCGAGGTGCCATTGTCAGTGTCAATGAAGCCTGCATATCATTGGGGTTCTTGTTGGCATTTGTGATGGGAACAGTCTTGACACCGCCAACACAACAAGACGACAATGGTGATGATGGCATCCAACCCCCACCGAGGGGTTGGAGGTACATGTTTCTATTTGCAGGTTTCATGGCATTTATACAATTCGTGGGTATGTGGTCCATGCCCGAATCTCCCATTTGGTTAAAAGAACAAGGACGACATGACGAATGCAGAGCAGCCTTGCGGAGAATCAATGGTAGAGATCCCGTCCCCGTATCGGACGAGGAGGATGGCTCGGATCATGCCAGCGACGATCTGGACCAGTTTCAGGACGAACAGGAAGATATTCCCAACAATCACTCGCCTCCTCGTAGCCCTGAAGATGTGGCTGGAGAAAGCAAGACAAGTTACGAGTCTCTGGCACCACACACTGCCACAACGAGTCCAGGGCCACCTGGCAGCCACAATCCACTGTACAAATGCGTGGAGCTATTTCGCAAACTGCAACGTGGTTGGTGGAATCTGAAACGAGTGCTGGGCAAATACCGACGACAAGTGTGGATCGCCCTGTTTCTCTCCACGACACAACAATTTTGTGGCCAAACCAGTGTTTTGAATTATGCTCCCTCTATTTTGGCGGCAGTCGTCCAACAAGACAATGCGGATGGCAATGACGCAGTCTCTGGATGGGCGACCCTGTCTATTGGACTGGTCAAATTTGTGGCTACGATACTGGTCATCTGGAAAATTGAGCACATTGGTCGACGAACACTCTTGTTGGTGGGGATGGGCACGATTGCTTTTGGGCTGCTCCTGGTGGCAGTTGCCTTTAGTGCCAGCAGTCCGTATCTACGTGAAAAGCAGGGCAGCTCTTCGGATGGCATTGTACAAAGCGGAAGTGGCATTTACTTTGCCCTTCCTGGGGTGCTGCTGGTCGTGAGTGGCTATTCCATGTCGTTTGGGCCCTTGACATGGCTTTTGACGTCGGAATTGTTTCCAACCGATATTCGAGGACGAGCTCTTGGAGCCAGTACCATTGTGACCTATCTTTGTGCCGCCTTGATAACCTACTCGTTCTTGACGGCTCAGTCGCTGGTCGGTACGAGCACAGTGTTTTTGCTGTACATGCTTGTGACTGTTGTAGGCATTGTATTTGCATGTTTGGCAATTCCTGATACAGGAGGAAAATCCATGGAGGAGATTGACGCCGATCTATCCAAAATGCCATGGTGGCGACGGTTCGGATCGACTAGAACAAGCTCCGATCGTGACCTGGACGATGAACCCAAGGCATGGCCGCGGCCGTCGCCCACGAGTTCTACCAAGAGCTCTCGCAGTCTGGGGGATCCACCCGGTTCCATGTTGGTACCGAATAGCATCGATAGGCGACTTGGAGAGGCTGAGCTAGCATAAGCATATACTAAAGAATCAGGTTCAGATACGGACGGACAATTCCATGTTTTTAACATACTACCGGTACCGTACAATGGTTTTCCGTGTCCTTGTGGGTTTACGGTGCAAGAACATTCCCCCTTTTGATCTTTTCTCTTTCTTGTTTCCACGCCGTGGAGCTTGTGGGACTTATCGTGGTGGCCATCCAATGAACAGGCATGCTACATAGACAGAGAGCGGGCTGAAATTGTCCGTTCATTCTGTCGCTCACTCTTTAAGCAGGAAGCCGCACGATGAACGAACGGAACCGGGCTTCGACAAACTAAAGCGCAACTAACACACGGGAAGCACTGGCAGTCGACGATACAGCACAGGGGTGATAGCTATCTATAATAGAACAGGCTGTTCAAGCCGGGGCTTCCACCCTATTATTATCTGTTCAGAGTGTGTGGGTACGAATGAGCAGGTCTTTAATACCCCTTCTGAAGTAATTTGCAAGTGGAGGGTGTAGCTATTTTGCCAAGTTAAGAAGAGTCCATTGTATACCCCTTTTTCAAAGCAAGTCTTGAACTACACAACAATCCTCATTCAGTATTGATTGATCAGGGCCATGGGAAAGAATCGAGCACCTCGCCATCCACAGGATCAGGCCAATAGCAGCAACATGCCTTCGTCTGTGCCGCGACGGCCACCCCACAATCCTCGCTCTCAGCCGCACCATCATCATCAATCTGCCAATAATGGCAACACCAGAGGCAGTTCCTTCACAATGACGGCTTCGTCCTTGACAGATACCCAATACAAGGGAACCTTGGGCATAAGCAGCACCAGCCACAGCACTGGCTCTCAACAGAGTCAGAGCACAAGAGGAGGCCAACAACAGACCAAGTCGTACATTAGCTCCTCGTCTTCCACTCACAGCAAAGACTCGGCGCAACAAAAACTCTTTTACACATCTCCACGATGCGAGCTACCGGATGCCAAAATATTTCCTACATCTCCCGTCAAGAGAAGCTCCCTCACAAATGTGGATGACAGATGGAATACCATGAGCCAACAGGCAGGGCAACATCGACAAGATTCCTCAGTACTGCATGTCTCCAGGCGGCACATGACACCTAGCGTGCTAAAAGCGGGCGTATTGCCTCAGGTGGCCATTCGAGTCAAGGAGCTACACTTGCGTCTAGAGCAAGCAGAAGACATGCTACCCGAATGGCTAGATGTCATTTCCTCCAAATTCCAAAACTTGGAACATTTGGTACTCACCCGCGACAACCCCGAGAGTCCCAGTGCACAACCCAGTCGACTGAGGCGGCTCTATATCCTGTATAGGCTGCCACATTTGGTCGCTATTGACAATATACCCGTCACCAAATCAGAACGACGCTTGGCGAGACCAGATGATCCGAATGGGCACAAAGTAGTGTCAAAGGACGAGTGGTATCATTTGGGCGAGGGCGGAGCCAAGCAAAAGAACGGCACTTCTAAAAAGAATCAAAAGGAAACAACTTCACCACGACGTAATGGCAAACAACAACAAAAGCAACCGCCAGAACCCACGGCAAAGCAAAAAGAACGGAATGATACTGGCAAAAAGTCTGCCAAGAAGCAGCAGCAGCAGCAACGAAAGTCACCCAAAAGGAACCACAAGAACGATTTTGCGGCCAAGGAAATACTAGACTTTGTGGACATTCTAGAAAGAAACGACGACGATGATGATGATGAGCACGACAATGCAGACGATCCCATGTTGTCATCCTTGGCAGAACTCATCAGCGAATCGGGAGAGGAGGGGTATGAGCTGGACTTGGATCTTGCCGATGCGATTCAAAGAATCACCGGACCGAACGGCAAAGACAACAAGACTGGTAGACCGGAGTCGCCTTCAGCGGGGCGAAAATGGGATGGGCCCGATGGTGGCAACCACAACAGCCATCATAATAAAGATCACCACAAGTCCAAGTCACCTCCAAAGAAACCAGGCAGTAAACATCCATCTCCCAGCAGGAAGGCAACAAGCAAACCAACGTCTCCCAAAAAGGGAGGCAAAGACAACAAGCATGGCAACAACAACAAAGACAATGGCAATGGAACAAACAGCAGAACAGCTCCACCAACAGCACAGGCTGCCATGAGCAATAGCATTTGTGAGCCTGGTGATCAGACTGTGGAGGACTACTTGGAAGATGATTCGACCGTGACGTCGACATACGGATACGGTCATTGGAGTGGTGCCTGTTTTGCGCCGTTTCAAGTTTGCACGAGCCAACCAAAAAAGAAATCCAAGAATGGTTTCTCTTCCAAAAGCAAGCTGCAACAAACTGGTGTGAAGGCAAAAGCCAACATTGTGGCAGCCGTTGCCGGGGAGATTGCTAAGAATCGAAAGCTCCAGCAACTGCAAAATGGTCCCGTAGAACCGGTCAAGAATCGAAAGAGCCAGCAACAGCAAAGCAGTGCAGCACCGGAGAACAATCGAAAGCAACAGCAAACTGCCGTCACTACACTAGCTCTTCCGTCAGCGCTCAAGAAGCCTCCTCCATCAGCAGCAGACCCTCCTCCCGCAAAAAAGACGTCGGACCCACCAGAAAAGACGTTATCTCCAACAACTTCTAAATCTCACAAGTATTCCACGATGGTGGACGAAACCAATCAAAAGCTGGAAATGAAACACCGAAAAAAGTTGTTTCGTGAATCTACGACAAGTGCCAGCCACGGAGGATCAACCTCGGCGCCTTCTAGTAGACGTTCTCACAAGTACAGCAAGCTCTTGGTGACGGTAAATGACAGAGTGGGCGCCAACTCGAGTGACGATGATTCCAGACGCGGGAGTTTGGATTCTTCCAAAGATAGGATGCGTCTAATACTTGGTCAACATGCAGAGCAAGATCACGAGACATCAAAGCAAAAGCTTAGAGTTACTACAGCTCTCGAGAAACCACAACGGCAATTGCAACCCTCCCAACCCGCTAATATGTCGCCATCCAAGTCCCAGAAACAATCGCAACTTCATCAGAGACAACAGCGACCACAGAAGATTGAACCGCTGCAACTTACATTGTATAAGAAAGAACCACAAGGCGTCCCATCAAGGGCCAAGAAGAACAAGCCCCCATCAATACTAGAAGAGGACGAAGTCGGGACGATGACTGGAGTCAGTATTGATGTCGTTCAGGATGCAAATTGTGGCATGTCAGTCGCAACAATACCATCAGTGTTGCAACGCCAAGCCAAAGTCTATGACATGGAGCAGAAGTTCAAGAGTCAAGTCACATCCCTGCAACTCATGGCCCCGCCATCAACTCAGGCAAAGGTCCAGTCCGGAGCGCAGCCCAAGCCATCGACCGAGGTCGGAACTCTTGCCGCTCGACGGAATCTCGCGGGAGTTACGATTGATGTCCCACCTCATTCGCCAGAAGACGAGTCAGAGCCACCTTTCAATCAACCGAAACCAAAGCAGAAGACAGGCCACACAAAGAAAGAGAATGCCGAAGTCAACGACGATGCCAAGCACCCAAAACAAAACAAGAAAACGTTGCAGCGACAAGAGTCCAATCATAGTGACGCTTCCAAGTCACGAAAACAACGAGTGACGACGAAAACGAACGAGGCAGAGCCAACCGCAGCAGGCAAACGCAAGCAGCTACTATCCGCTGCCATGGAAGATATCTTGGGGGCCAAGAAGTCAAGTGAGTCGTCAGAGGGGCCTACGGATCCTGAAATAGTTGACATGGTGCTGAGCAAACTTGGTAGACATTTTGCAACAGGGCCATCAGCTCCCGCTGGCGTGCAAGGGTCGGGACCAAACGTTTCATCTCAGACCAAAAGTGGTCGAGGTGCACCTGACGTGGTGATGCAACAACTAATGCAGATGGAAACCAAAGGAGCGTCCAACAGTGAGACTCACCGAGACCTGCAATTTCCCAGGCTCACTCCGACATCAGATGGGACGTCAAAGAAGTCATCAGAAAGGCGAAATCTGCAACTGAGGCTGAGCTCCAGATCGGCCGAGGACTCACAGCTCAAAGCATTGAGTACACAGGAACGTCCGTCAGGAGAAGAATCCAGTGCATCCGAAGATCGAAGTGATGCAAAGAAACGAAGCAATGTGAAGACAAAGAGCCAGCTGAACGTGTCGAAGCCAAGGGGTGTTGGTCATTCCTCAAGTACAAGCGAGGAAGATCACAGCAGCGCCAGCAGCAGCAGTAGAAACAAGTACAAGACACGGAGTCATCACAAGAAAACAAAACCACCATCACAGCGTCCTTCTTCTAGCGAGGAGGTAGAAGAAGCGAGCAGTGCAAGCACAGCTCGTAAGTCTGCATCACATGGAAGTGGCAGTCGCAGCCAGGACTCATCATCGAACCAGAGCAGTGGCGCCGAATCCAAAGAGAACTTTCGCGAACTGGAAAGTCGTCTGGACACCCTCATTCACAACGCTGTCGCAGCCAGACCTTCCTCCGCCCCACGGCACACGACAGCAATCCCACAATCACCACCGGAGTCGAAACTTTTGTCTCCCGCGGAGCAGAAGCTGATGGCAGAGACAGTGAGCAAGCTGGATGAGAACCTGAGAAATATTCTTGAAATCCAACAAAATTCACCTGAGCGTCGTATCTCACCGGCTGAGCGAAGAATACGTCGCAACCAAGAAAGATCAAGCTTGACCAGTACACCGAACGATGAGAGGCGACCGAATTTGCCTGAAGTTGGGCGGCAGCATCATGTGACAATAAACGCTCCCGATGAGACTGATGCATCCCCCCTCGAAAGGCTGGAAACAACGATGGCTGGTTTGTTTGCGTCGATTATGTCGCAGATGTCTCCTTCAAAACGTCCACGTCAACTCCCGGCTCCAGATGTTGGCCATCAAGCCAAGGGCAACGTTGGGAACAAGGAAAAGAATCGGGAAACATTTTTCTCCAAGGACACAAAGAAAACGCTGGATATGCTTTCGAACGACGAAGACTCGACTCTGTTCGTTGTGGAAATTGAAAAGAATGAGGTCCTTGAAAGCCTCACAAATGACTACCAGTTTCATCCACCCAAAAGCAGAACAGGAATTCAGGCTCCATCTGTAGTCCACCTGGTTGATCCGTCCGTGCAGTCTTCCGTCACAGCCTTCAAAGCGGCACAAACGCAGAATCTAGAAACCTTATCGGTTTCGCCGCTTCCTCCTTCTACGCAGGGCGGCTTTGAGCAGAAAACGCTGCCGACACAATCTCCGTTTTACGAACAATCCAAAAGGCAAGAGATTGAATCCATTGCTGCCACTGCTACCAAGGTTGCAGCACTTATTATGACGGATTCCGAACTAAGACTTGGTCAAGACACAGGGCTCGGTATGAACGAGACGAGTTCTGTAGAGATTGTGCACACCACCACAAGCCAACAGGACACTGTGAATCAAGAGGGTGTACACGACGATATTGAGATTATCCACGACTCTTTAAGTCTTCAGAACTTTGTTCGTGGTGGGCGAGCCCACGACATTGAAATCGTTCATGATACAACAACCCCTCAAAATACGAAGCATGTGGTTCTTGTTCAACAGCAACGCCAAGTGACGATAGTGCCTGACGCCGCTGGTCGTGCCAGCATCCAACATGTCGTACACGACATGACCGGAGTCGAAATGGGGAAAGACCCCACGATTATTGATTTGACAGACAAGAGTTCCACTGCAATGTTCCCCTCTGGTCAGATGGACGGTGGATGGCGTGCAAAGAATGCCGATGATCCGACAGTGATCAACTTGGTGGACGTCCAAAGCGTTCCGGACAAACAACTCCCCAGTGGTCAAGAACAGGCGCAGAAGACTCTCCCTGACGAGGAAGGCCAAGCGCAAACTCAGAAGCCACCAGTTGAGATCAAAGTGCAGCAGCAAACTCAGAAACCTTCGCCTGAGACTCAGGCTCAACAACCACCCCAGCATCCCCACCAAGAGAGTCAATCTCAGCGGATTCCCCCGCAGGAGATCCAGGTCAAGCCCACAGAGAAACCTGCCGGCCTGCTGCTTCCAGCTCTCACACACGCAGCGAAGCCTGCAGGGAGTCCTCAATCATCAACTCCGGTTGATACTGGAGGAAATGGGAGGGCAACGGACATTAGTCAGCAAGGATCGAAGTTGGGGATGGTTGTGAACCTACCAACGGTGTACGAAAACGAAGATCCAGCAATAGAAGAGGTCGATGGTCAATGTGTGGCAGCGGCGGCTGCAGGAGCAGCAGCTGGTGCAAAGGCATCTGGCGACGATGTTACTGAGCCCCCTTCGGACCAAACTGTAGCAGGAGAAACTGACTACTGTCCTGAACCCCCTTCCGATCAAACTGTAGCAGGAGAAACTGACTGTCCCTCCGATATGATACGTACTAATCAGAATGTAGGGGGAGACAAGACTCTGCCCATTCTCCCAAAACCGCGGATTGTGCCACCCCAAGAGATCACGACCCCAGCTGTCAATCCCATCCTTGCAGTCCTTCAGGCCCCAATCAGAGAGGATTTCTCATACAAACAGCGTCTTACGGACAAGTCCATGGGTTTTCCCTCTGAGGTGGTCGTCCAGAACGACAGTGGCTCGGAAAAAAGTCCGAAGGAGCCAGCGTTGATCGCTGAGCTATTGACGGCGAAGCCGAAAGAGTCCACGCTGTCAATGACGTCCAGGCGAGAGGCATATTGGCAGAAGCACCAGCCGGTAACGCCAAACAGCGGGCGGGTGCAAAGCGGTGGTAACGGGCGGATGGACAGCGAAGATTCACGTCGCGATTCGCCTCCGTCTCCCAAGGACACTAGACCTACGCTGCCAAGAGAGATTGTGGCTCTTCTTCAAGAAACGGAAATTTCGACTTCTGCAGAAGCGATTGCACTTCTACCCAGCGAAATCGTGATGAGAATCGAGAAAACTCTTTCTGATGCTGGTTACAATGGGCAGTTATCGCCTGGGTCAGGACCACCGGGAGATATTCTTGGTGCTATGCTCGAGGAACACTACTCACCACAAAGGTCATCTCTGCCGAGAAACCCTCTATCAATCCCGGATGACATTCGTATGATGTTGTCTCAGGTTGAAATTGACAGAGTTGCAGGAAGAGGAGACACTAGAAATGGAGACATGGACAGCCCTGCCTTGACCCAGACAAATCTATCGTTTCCAAGGGAAGTCGTAGCGATGCAAATGCCGCAAGAGCCCAGCGGCGACTTCGCCAGCGCAAGTTATGATGGCGAAACGCCTGGAGTGTCGCCAACATATGATACGGAACAGGAAATGTCATGGCACTTGAAGTCCAGACTACAATATCAACAAGATCCATCCCAATACCTTAGCGCGACGCCCTCGGCAGATAGTAGTATTCCCCGTGGCGGATTGACATCTTTTGAGGGGCTGCCTGAGGAACTGCTTCTGGCCAGGCAACACATTCTGACGAAATCGTACGAAATGCAATTTGCCAAACGACCAGATTCTCCTGAAACTGCTGGATTCCGGGTCATTTCCGAGAACGGTAGTGACCCATCACACCAACTGTCAAATCGTGGTCGTTCATCAGCAGTGCCAACTTCTCTACCGTCAAAGATCGCGGTCAACGATCAAGATCATCAGGCACGGCATGAATCTTCACGCTCCCCTTCGCTGCCTTCGAAGATCGCAATGAACCAACAAAGCGGTCCCCAGCAATCAACCCGACCGCCGTCAATCCCATCAAAGATTGGTACAGACCAAGGAGAGTCGCAGCCAATCTCAGCACGCCCCCCTTCGCTCCCATCGAAGATTGGTGGTGACCAAGGTGAAGGTTCCCAGTCCCAACCAAACTCCACACGGCCACCTTCACTCCCATCGAAGATTAACATGCAAACTCAGCCACCAGAACAGGAATCGGCTGTTCCATCCAAAATCGCAATCAACAGAACTGGAGAAAGCGGTCCAGCTGAGGGGGGCAACCAAGATGAAAGCCTTCAGCAGCGCCCTTCTTCCCTGCCATCAAAGGTCCTGGTGAAAGCAGACGGTGGCAAAAGCCCACCAAAGACGTCTCCAAACAAGACAACTGCACCTTCTCAATCAAAGTCGTTGTCGTCGCCATTTCCACTCCAGTTTCGGGCCAGACTGGTCAAGTCTCTGAAGGCATCCGCACAGCAGAAATCTTCTGCAACTGCTGCAGCGGTTGCCGAGTCCACTGCAAAAGCCGAGAGCAGCAAAGCTGTTGCTGGCGATGGCAGTGTTGCTTCCTCTAGTAGCCAGGCTGACGCCAAGTCTTCTACATCCACCGATTTGCCCCATCAAATTACAGTCGACAACAACAACAATAATGCCACAACCAACAACGACAACAATGCTACTTCGTCACTGCTCGTGGAAACCATTTCGATTACACCTTCTCCAGCGGCTCGCATTTTCAAGCCAGTCTCATCTCCCTTGCTAAAGTCTCGTGCCAAAAAGGTGGTGGCGCGATCCAACGGAGAACTTCCACCGCACAATCCAGCGAGTGAGAGACGATCTATCAGTTCTATAAGCCCTCGATCGGACAAGATGAACCGAGCTATGAATCGTTGGAAACAGCAACGGAATGCCCGTTCCAACTCGATTATCGATGACGAGGAGGAGGAGGAAGAAGAAGAGGAGGCCCAGCATACGGACCACGCCGTCTCCTATACCGAATGAAACTAGAACGTGTTTGCAGTCGCAAGACTAGGTTTCCCTGTAACATTAGTAGGTCTATTGACACAAAACCCTCTGCAGCTAGTATGCTACTTTGAAGTGTTCTTCAATCAATGTCGTGTCTTCAGTCAGGCTCCGCTGAAACTAAAGTTGTCTACTGTACATGGCTACAGGTGGGTACGTAGATTGGTTCGTGAAAGCAAAGAGTTCAGAGCCGCCCATGGCATTCCTCCTTTTCTTGCCATACATGCTTCTTCTACTAAGGGTATGTTCAGAAGCGCCTTTGCTCGGTGGCATGCCTCTTTTGCCATACTTGCTTCCACGACATAGTCTGCCTTCTGAGACTGGAGTGGTCGACACATACATCGTGCTGCAGGTACAATGGCGTGTGCATGTGCATGCATCCATCCGATCTGCTGATTGCATGGATACGATACTCTCCAATCATGAAATACCACATGTCATTCAATCATTCCACTTGCTGTTTTCGTTTCTTGGCATACCAACTCCCTTGCACCTTTTCTTTCTTGTCTCTTTGGACCTCTTCGACGGGTTTTGCAAAGTTGCATTTGGTGGCGTCGTCCTTTTTCTTGGCACAGAAAAAGAACCAGGATCCCACGGCGCGGGAATGTTCCGTGACATGGGATCGCTTGACCTTTTTGAGGCGACTGGTTTCCCCACAATCACAGGGAGGTGATGGAATGGCTTGCATCTTTTTGGCTCGTTCAATGTCTTTGGGAGAAGGTTCCACTCCGGGTTGATGTGTGGTTGTTGTTTTGCGTTTTCGCTTATTGTGCTGTTTTCTGGTGGGGCATTGCTGAATCCAATGGCCCGTAATCTTGCAGAGATTGCACACGTAGCCGTCGGGTGGTTCTGTCGTCTTTTTCGGTTTCTTTGTGTCATCCGAGGAAGTGTCCTTGGACGATGGAGCTTGTTCTGTGTCTTCTTGTGGCATGATATTATTGTGAACAAATACGGAGTCTTTCAAGAAAAAGACGTCCAACAGAATCACAAAGTGAGAAATTCAAAGGAGGCGTGTATGTATGTATGCATGTTGCTCCGCACGGCAGCCGCTCGAAATTAAAGTAATATGGAAAATCAAGCAAAGCAGTAATGCTAGTAGTGTGTACAGCGGAAGCAATGATGTTGCGAGGGTGACAAGCGTTCACGGCGATCGATACACCGTGAAGCAATAACTTTTCTCGCAGTCCTCCAGGTAGAGGCGCAGTGGACACCAAAGACAGGTTCACGAGCACGATGATCGAGTACCTATAGGGCTGGTAATTATACAAGTCACTCACTTCTTCGACGACAGCGACAACGGGTTGATCTTTGGCAACAAGAGGATGCTTGGAAAGAAAATGGGAAAGCGGTTTCAACAATAACAGCAGCAAGGCTGGTGGCTGAGGAGGAAACAGCTCTGCGAGCTTCTTATCCAACCCCAGAATCGAATCGAATCCATGCACAACATCAAAAACGGAAAAAGATCCGGGCCTCCAAAAAGACCTTCATCTCACAAGAACGGCATCATTCCTGTCTTGGTGTTTGAAGAAGAGAACCAAGACGACTTTGTGCGGTGACGATGGAAGGAGAGGCAAACTTATTAAAAACGAACCGGTCCAACGCCGGGCCCGCTGGGCGACCGGAGGGAGGGAGGGCGCTGGGCGAATGCCCAAGCCCGACCGACCGGAGGCACCCAAGGGAGGGAGGGCGGAGCCCGACCGACCCGGCGTGGTCGGCTTTGTTTCAATGGGAACGAAAACGGCTGGTCTGTATTTGCTGGCTTATTCATTCAATTTTCTCGCACATTGTTGTTGTTCTCAACCGTTGAAACAACCGACCATGGTGTCCACTCGAGGGAAGTCCGGCACCATCAAGGCTAGAGGAAGGTCCCTTTGTTCGCAGATGGTTGCCATCCAACAAGATACAGAGGGTGGAGACTTGGTATTCACTCAAATCGCTGAGGAGGAGGAAGAAGAAGAGGAAGAAAAAAGTGAGAAAGAGACAGTTCGAGACAAACCATCTTCTTCTTTGTCCTATGAACAGCGACTGTCACACCCTGATGCTGCAGAGTTTGTAGTCAAGCACTTTGATGACTCTAGTAGCAGTGAAGAGAGTGATGATGAAGAAGAGGACTCCAAACCAAGCAGTCGCATTCCACTCATGTCGCAGCAACTCACTCTTCATTCTTCCGACGAAGAACTCTCGCCAGAACAAGTTCAACCCGCCGGCACTAAGACCAGGGCACAAGTAGTCAATCGTCAAGTGTCACAAGGAGAAGCTGTGGTGGTTGGTACCAGAAACTGTGAGCCTTTCCATCCTTCGAGACAGCTCTTGACTCAAGTGAAATTTGAGAATGATGATGATTGGAAGAACACAGCAAATCGCCCAGAGCATGAATTTGAAGACGACACGTTCATGGCTCCTACTTCAACTCAACTTGCTGGAGCTGATCTTCTCCTTGGTCTTGCAGCTGCATCAACAACAGCCCCTGCCCCGCCACCAAAGCAGACTGTCACTCGGAAAGAGAAACTTCAACTTGCAAATGAGATTCGAAAAGAAAAAGCCCGTGATGATGTCAAGGAAAATGGCTTTTCAGAGAGATTCCACGCGCAGGATATGGAATTGGGAGAAAATTTGGCATATCCAAGTGCATTTGTCCATCCCACTACAGCGGCCACACTCCCCCCAGCCCCAAATGCATTCTCCGTCACATACAACCCGTACAAAAAGACAGCTCCTCCAGTACAACCAGTACGTCAAATGGCTCCAAAAGACAGTGAAATTGCCGACAGAATTCTTCAACAAGCAGACAATGCATTCGCCAAGCTGCCAGCTGACAAACAGAAGCTGATCAAAGGAACCAAGCGAGGCAAGAACACAAAAGAGACTGAATCGCGAAAGCAATCGAATGAGAAACGCTTCTTTGAAGAACTCCGGACACATGGTGGTGCACTACGCTAAAAGCTAGTGTAAAGATCTTTCGAGTGTTTTGAGTTTGAGAGAATGAAAGTTATGAGAGAGATTAGAAAGCTATGAAAACTAATCAACGAGAGAGATCATCATCAAGGGATCGTAGATCTGGCTTCCCGTGTTGGTTGCTAGTAACACTCTAGCTTAGTAAAGGTAAAATACTGTTTTACTGTTAAGCTATTTCCAAGAAGTGATCTTTCTCCATGTTTTCTGGGATTGATTCAACTTCAAAGATATAGTGAAGGGGGTACCATATAGGTCAGTTAAACTCCCCATGTATGTAACTAGAGAAGATATAGATATCCCCTATAACTAGATTGGGATAACGAATAATTTGTATTGAGGTGTCTGTAATACAACCTCCAACACACTCCTGCACGGTTCCATAAAGGATACCGTGGAACGAATAATTAATGTAATATGGTTGCTCCATAAGGAACAGTTGTTGTCGAGAGACCACTTGCTAGGTTGCTCGGCATTCCGTCTTGGTGGCGAGAAGCTTTTCATCCATAGCAGTGCTGACAAATCTGTCACAGTCAGTGTGGACATGTGGACAGTGTCGTCATGAAAAGCCACTGTGCCATCACTCCTGTGAGTTTTGCCACTCCTGTATGACTTGCTGTGGCGGTTGGTCCGTCACTTGATGTTGCTGTATTCGAAACTGGGAAGTTCCGATCACTTGTTGAACCGTGGACTGGGAAGTCCGGTCACTTGGTATTGCTGTAGCGGAAACTAGGAAGTTCCGGCTGCATTCTCGTAGACTCAAACTGTGCTCTACTGGCGGTGTAGACTGGAACTGGACATCGATATGCCATGGTCTCAATCGCCAATGATGTGTGGAACATCAATCCATTCAGGCTTGATACTGGATTTGGAAATCAGGTGAGCATGAGTCTGTGCAATAGCTTGGTAGCTATCTGGAGTCAGCTTGTTGTCCATTGGAATGGAACGTGAGCTGTCTCTTCTTGTTGGATGTCCAAGAAGTGTTGGATGTCCTGCTGTTGTCTTTTCAGAGGAATGGAATCCTCTTCTTCCCAGCTGGGGAAGTTTCTTCCTTCATCACGGCCTCCTCTTCTTTCGAATCGAATGGCTGTGACTTGTTGTACATGAATGTGTGCTTGCTTGATGTGGACCTTGGGTTGCACCTCTTGTAGATGGGTGCTGGCAACTTGTGGCATTCCGTCGAACTGTTGCTTGCTTTGAGCTGGTTCCATGGTGGAACTGTTCCTGTGGAACTGTGGGAATCCTCTGCAGAAGATATCCCGGTAGCACTGGTGTGTGGCTACCCTTGCTTGAGTAAGCTTGCTCTGCCTTGATAGGCTTCTGTGGTCACACTTGCAATCTCATGATGGATCCTCTGAGTCGATCCCGAGAGTCAAACTGAATCGATCTCGTGGTCGCTGCTTGTGATTCGATCGCTTCGTGTCATTCGATCTGGCATGATCGTTTCTTGTCAGTCGATCTGGTGTGTCAATCTTGATAGATCGATCGGAGAAGTCAAAGGAAGGTTTAAAAAGGTTTGAGACTTTGGTTTGGGTGGGTACAACTTTATCAATACCACTCCTGCTGTCACTGTTGGCGCACTCCTGTGAGCTAGCTGTGGCAGGACTTGTACTTGTTGTAGCCAAAGCTGGCTTGGTTGGTTTGGACATTGGATGCAACTTGGATTGCTGTGCAGCTTGAGGCGGTGCCTCTAGGATTCCTGAGAATCGATAGTAGCACTCAAAGTGTCTATCAGTGCTTGGGTAAGCAGGCTCCTACCTTGGAAAGTAGTTGCTCGGCATCCCGCTTGGTGGCGAGAAGCTGAGCGGTGAAGACGAGACAATACGGACATTGTCATCATCAGAAAAGTCTTTGTGGCTGGCACTCCTGCTGAGAGTGATGCCACTCCTGGAAGACTGGTGTCGGATGATACCGTCACTTGGTGTACCTGCGGCTCAGACTGGGAAGTCTGGCTGCATTGACACTTGATGGGGCTGGAAGCCCTTCGTAGATGGAAGCTTGTGGAAGCTTTTGGAAATCGTAGACTTGTGAGAAGTGATGCCCTATTGGAAGGTGCATGGAAGCTGGAAATGATGTACTAGTTTAGCAGTGGTTTTGAGCTTTACCAGTAGCCCTGGTACAAAATCCTACTCAGCGAATGGCTCAATACCCACTTTGGATTTACAAGTGTAAACGGTACTCAATAGACTTAACACTATAGTCAAATGAGAACATCCAAGAAGGCCAAAATGTGACCGAAATCAACCTCTTTTATTAAAGTATATGCTTGTCTCTTATGTTTGAGCTGTCACAGCAAATACAAACAATAAAGCACATTAAATTTGGAGTTAATTGCACTGGTGTTGATCCATTCTTATTGGAGTTAACAGAAGTTGTGGACTATTTTACAGCCAGAAAAGGAACTGTGTACTGTTTTACTATAGCGAAATGGATGTATTTTTTTCATGGCTCAGGACCACCCTTAAACTAGTAGCTTGGAAGTCACGGACTTGTTGGGTTCGACTGAACCTAGTTCTTGGATGGTCTCGATGTCTGAAGATGGAATGAGGAAATGGTTGAGTTATTGTTTCCTCTTGTCATGGTTGTTTATACTCATGTGAGACTCGTGGCTGCTGGTGTCGTCACTTGTGGTGACTGGTGTCGTCACTTGGTGTTGCCGTAGCTGAGACTGGGAAGTCAGGCTATAGCGATACTTGGGAGAACTGTTGTAGTAGCTGGAACTAGGAGGAAGTTCCTTGCCACAATGATACTTTGAGTTGGGGCTAGAAGCCCTTGGAAGTTTGGATACTTGTAAGGAAGTATTCGGTAGTAGTTGTGGATGCTCCAAGTTGATGGGCTCCACTGGACCTGGACGTGTCACGGTCGATGATGGTTCGATGGTGATGTAGTCGGTAGATCCTTTGGTTGGTGATGCCACTGCTCTTACACTCCTGTGAGATGGCTGTGGCAGTAGTTGTTCGTAGTTGTATCTTCTGTAGGCTTGATTTGTTGTACTCATGTACTTCTGTTGGTGTGGGACGAGGTTGGTTGCAATCTCTGTACAGTAGTTGCAGTGGAGCTGAGGTGTGCACCCTCTTGTTGTTTCTATTGATCAGGTTCCCGCTTGTGGGTCAAACTCTGAATGCTCCAGCCATCCTGTGGCTTGGTTCCTTGTCTTGTGAACTCTTGAGTTGCTTGTAGCTAGCTACTCGGTTCAACGTTCACTGTCGTTCTGCTGTTGTTGCAGTTGCCGTTATTGTAGATGCAATTCGAATTTGGTTTGGTGTCGACTTCGTTGTAATCGGTTTGGTAGCTGTAGATACCGTTGTTGGCTGTTGTTGCCATTGATGGTTGTTGGCCGTGTAGTTTGTGGCCATTGGTAGCGGTAGATACCGTTGTGGGCTGTTGTTGCCATTGATAGCGGTAGATACCGTTGTGGTTGATGTTGGCTGTTGATGTAGTCGTTTATGC